TGACCGCCTTAATCTGCTGGTAATCTGTCAATAATATGCAATAATGCAATTTTGTTTTTGCCTGCTGCCATTTCACTCCACCCTACATTACACTACGCGTATTGGAAAGCCCTCATGCAACTGCTTAGAAACGCCATGCCGATAGGTTCCATGCTCTTCGCGCAAAGTTTTCGGACTTGAGATGCACTCAGCTGCGTAAGCTGCTGCTTTTTTATAATGCAACTCGATTAGTTTACATTGTAAGATCGGCTGGTCTTGCTGAAGGCCCCAGGTCCTGATGGCATTATCAACCTGGTACTTACTTCAGATGGCGAAAGAATAAATTGCACTACACCTTGTGCGCACATACAATCAAAGCCTCCAGCTCGAACATCTCCCGAAACCCTTCAAAAAGTCTATCACAGTAATTTGGAGGAAGCCAGGTAGAGAAAACTACACCGCGCCCAAAACATACAGAATGGTAGCACCCTTGAACACGGTCGGCGAAATCGTGAATGCCACAATAGTCAAAAGACTGAGCTACCTTGCCGAAACACACGGATTGCTGCCAGACAGTCACATAGGCGGGAGAAGATACCGGCCGGATGAACATGCACTGCATTAATCTTGAATGGGAAACTTGAGCTAGAAACAGATTGGTGAAGCGACAGTGCGTTGAATTTCAAGTTTCCTTGGATGCCGCAAGACCGACATCAACGTAGGCGGATTCCGATCCGGAACATACAGAATCAACACTGGTATCCCACAAGAATCGCCCCTATCACCAATACTCTACTTCTTCTACAAGGCAGATCTTGAGAAGCTGCAACGAATACGGGTACACGACAGCCGTCGGCTTCATCGATGATACAGCGATCCCTGCCGCGGGGGACAGCATTGAGGAAACATGCCAGAAACTTCAAGAAGCGCTTCGGAAAGCTGGGAAATGGGCACTCACTCTTGCCTCCATCTTCGCACCCGATACGTTCCAGCTTACCCACTTCACACAAGCGAAGACCAGATCCGACACAGAGACGACACTTCAGAGCCTAGGGGCAGAAATCGAGCCCAAGACAACGTGCGAATACCTCGGTCTAATCATGGACTTAGCCCTCAAGTAAAAACAACACATCGACGAGACAGAACGCAAGGTCACGAGCACCATCACATCACTTGGTAGCTTGGGCAGCTTCACATGGGGTGTGATGGCTAGAGAGATGAGGACTATCTAGAAGAGAGTCGCCATACCGCAAATGATGTACGCGTGCTCGCAGTGGTCCAACGGACGGGGAGAGAAAGGGCACACCAAAAGGACGGTTCACAAGCTGCAGAGGCTCCAAGCCAGAGCAGCCAGCGCAATGAGCGGGGCGTATAGAGCAACCTCGTTCCCGGCACTAGGTGTGGAGATGCATCTCCTGCCAGTCGAACAATACAACATCGCCATCATTTGTGTATAGGCAAGGCCAAAGCCCCTTCCCGGAGAGCAACTAAAACGAGTCAAGACAAACGACGACGAGATGACTGCACGATGGACAGGACGCCCACACCGAGCAGGACAAACCTATAATTAGCGCCCTTTATGACCCCACTGTGGTGGCAGGGACCGCGTATTCGAATGGGCGAAGGCGCGAAGCAGGCTGAGCAGGCACATCAAAGAGGTTTGGAACAGAACACTGACGCAGTACACAGCTACACGGACGGCAGCGGGATCGAGTCACTACCACACAAAGCTGAGCATTGGGAGAGTGTAGGTAGTTGGAATCGTCACACGAGGAGCAAGACCTCAACAGAGCCTGAAATACATATATTCATTGGTAGAGAACCGCAAACTACACTTGGTGGCTGCCAGGGAAAGATAAGATTGAAAGGCAACGCGGGAACTTTGGAGATAACTCGTCTATGTTTTGCATTGGTGAGTTGGGGCGCTATGGATTGACGCCGGAACGCGTCGGCCTTTGGCCGAAACCCGCTATGAGAGCAAAAAGAAGGATTGTCGCCCCTTCAACGTACGACAACGTCTGCGGAACCTGTGCACGAGCTCTCATACTCAGTAATTGGACGAGTCGGAGCGGCTGGAGCATTGTGTTTCGCGGATTGAGCCTGGCTCCATGCGGTGGACGGCGGTGGTGGTCGCAAGATGGAAATACAAAGCCACATGGGAACCCGGCAGGAGGCAGCAAAGAGATTTACAGATTCAACTGAGATACGGTACAGGCGAGTCTGAGAGGATGCAGACAAGAGAAACAAACGAGGCTAAGCGCTGGGGGGAGACTGTAGGTACGCGGAACCAGACATGGTGGTTACCACCAACAGAACCGAAGCAGGAAGACGCGAAAGAGGGAATTCCGAGGCAAGAAAAACAACCATGACGGGGGAAAACAATGCAGCAAGAAAAGACTCTTCAACAGAGAGAATCAACACGAGTATAGACAGTGCAGCGAGGAATTTGGAGATAGCTGGCCTTGATTCAACAGCAGGGCGAAGTGGGGCGTCGCGACTTGTCGTGGACGCGTCGGCTGTTGGCCAAACCTTGCTTTCCGGGCATAGCTGCTGACTAAAGCGGCCGAAACCGAGTAGGATATAATCAAATCAAATCAAATCAAATCAAATCATATGACTAAACTCCGTAAAACACTAACAACAGCGAGAACGAAGTTTCTGAAATTGGAGCAAAAACAGCGCCACAACACACTCCGAAAGGTCAATTGGATAGCCGTGTGCTCGTCGTGAAGCCCATAGCGACGTAGGCATCATGGCAACCCCATGGCCCCAGGAGCAAACATGGCCAACGCACCATCGAGAGCACGCCACTCAACTTAGCAGACACCTTCAGACAGCACTCAAATCAATCGACACCGCAAACGAACACCCCCTTAACCCGCAAGCCGTGAGAGCCACTCTCATTGCCACCATCTCCCTGCTGGCCAATATGCAGAACCTGCCCGAGCTCGGACACCTCCACCAAGCCATTGATAGCTTACGTGCGGAAACCAAGACAGCCAACGAGAACAACATCCGCGAATCGAGAATTATTAGGATTGCCATGCAGCAGAACACGGTCGAACTGAAGGAAAACATCAACACAACGCGCGCAGCCAAAGAGGCTTGGAAAGCCAGCGAGCTGGCAGTCAAGGTTGTAAAGGATATCAAAGCACTGGAGCCGATGAATCAGGGGAACACCGTGCAGTCATATGCCAGCGTAGCCGCCCGAGGAGGACCTGCAGGGAGCATGCATAATCCCGACAACCAGAGAGTGTCCCAGACCCAGACTCTGCGTGAAATCATTGTGAACATTAGAGACCCCACCGCCATTGCCAGCATAAGAGCCATGAACCCCCGTAGCCTTAAGGCGCACGTAGACCGCGCCATCGAACAAAGCAGCAACGAGCATATCTGCAAGCTCAAGACCGTGTCCGCCAATCAACTCAAGAGCGGCGACCTGAGCATCAAGACAGCAACGACGAAAGACATGGAGGCACTCCGGCAGTTTGCCGAGGACTGGGGAAACCACATTGGCAACGGTGCGGCGGTGCGAGTCCCAACCTACGGGGTGCTAGCGCACGGCATAAGAACCAGCTCGATGAACATGGATCACTTCACAGAAATCAGAGACGACCTGCTGCAGGACAAGAAAGCATTCATCCCCAGAGCAAAAATTAAGTACGTAGGCTGGCTGACCCAGTCAGCCAGCAAAAGGACGGCATCATCAGTGGTTGTGGAGCTCTCAAGGGCAGAAGACGCCAATATGTCGCCCAGGTGTCCCCGGATCCCCCGCCGCTTCTAACGTGGTGAGCTGGGGTGAGCACGGGTGAGCGGGGTGAGCGGGTGGGTAAGGATTCGGGTTACGGGAACGGGGTCACTGTTATCGAGACTTAGATGATCACCAGCTTTCCGTAACGATTGCGTGCACGTGTAATGGTTTTTAGCACTGTGAAATACGGCTTTACCGAATGAAGTTAAAGAGCTGCATGGGACTTCGGAGGCGCAGTCCTCTCGCCCAATGAAGTCCCAATACCGCCTTAATTATGAGACTACTTGCCAGGCAGCAGCGTGGCGATCAGCGTTGCCTACACAATGTATCGTTCATGGTGCCTTTTCAATTTGACATTCAAGCCCGCATTACTTCAAGCCTATCCAGGGAGCTGGTACCTACAAAATCTGAATGCTCATGTGGAGGAGGACGGCGAAACTTGGGTCGGGAAATTCGATGGAGGCGGCAGGGGCCCACCAACTATCAGAACAGACGCATCAGACAGTTTCCGACAGTCGCAATATAACCATAAATGTCATCAAAATTTTCCCCACAGCAGATATGGTCAATTAAGGGCGTTACAGGATGAACGGATGAACGGCAGCAACAGTCATGTCAAAAGGGCACAAAAATTGGCTTCATCACTGTACAAGAAGAGCGGGCTCGCTGATACCAGAAACTTGGCGAAGTGGTCTATGCAAATACAAGCAAGAATCGGGCTGCGGATCGTGGAAGGTCTCAATGGGGGGTTGGTTCAACTGGGAACGGCGAACAGCCCATCTCGTCGGCGACACACTGTACAGCTGACACGGCGGCGGCGAGCTGGTTAGAAGCAATTAGCTTTCCAGTTACTTCAGGTTGCTCGTCATAAACGGCAAAGTGTAGAAAATGGAACAAACAAAATGAAAGAACATGGCAGCAGCCGTACGTGGCCAAGATCCCGTAAGCAAGGTACATGAACAGCATAGACCCAGTAGTTTAGGCATTGGAGATATAGTCTATTCACATAGACTTCGTTAGGTTACTTGGTTCGAGACCTTTCATCAGCTACCCTTTGCTGCCGATGCCTCGGCGACCCCGTTCACCTTCAGTTACACCGTATTGACTGTTGCGTCGCGATTTCCTTATGTGCCTCGCGGTTTGCGATACGCAACCTTTCCACCTTCATTACGTATCGTTCTTGGGCTTCATAATCCAAAACGATAGCAGCATAAATCATCTTACACTCGTCGTCAGAAAGTAAATGCCTGCCATCCAAAGCCCTACCACTGATGGTATTGGCAGTTCTGGCGATGTACCGTTGTATCATGTCACACCTGCAATTGCTGTGCTCCAAGATCTGATCTCTCAGCGAAAGCACCTCGGTCTTTAACGCTATTACATGAGCCTGAACATACATCCGATCTTGCATCGCCTGCATCTCCCTAGCAGCGAGATTGATCTCGTATCGCTTTGCCTTTTCTCGGCATCGTTTCGCAGCGGCGTGGTTCTTGACGCGATATGGGCCCTTTTTCTGTTGCTTTTTGTGACTGACCTCTTCAGTTCTGATCACGAAATCGTGTGTGGTTGTACCTGCTGTGGGCACAAAGGAGCTTGTATCCTTGGTTGTTTTCATCCCAGCGGGCGCCTCTTGAGGAGTTGTTGACTTTCCCCTCCGCCCCTCGTTCGATGTGTTGTGCATGGCATTTTCTACCGGTCCGCCGCTTTCTGTTGAAGTTGCTTTGGTTCGGATATATGAGGGGTGCTACCAGGCTGCGTTCGTAGTAGGAAGAATCCCGATAGCAGCTGGCCATTGTGCCGGCTGGCTAGAGTCTTCTTCATCGACTTGGGCTCCTAGCAAAGGATACATAGACCCGGCATTATATTATAGTCCGGGACGATTAAAGTCTCTGGCCGGAACGAATGATGGGTCTGTGTTTCCGCCTCCCAGTACATAGGGCTCATTGTACTAATTAAGCCATCTGGAGAGAGCAAGGCACCCATCGTAGGCCCGGATGAGTCTGGTTGTAACCACTGTAGACATTCTTTATTGCCGCTAACGCGCAATTGGAAGGGTTCCGATGGCCACAGGTCGATGTACGTGTCCATCTGCTGTGTCTCGGCGACTGACGGTAGATCTCAATATGTCAAATTGGCGTCCAAAGTAAGTAGTAACTATTTGCCAGTCAATCGTTTGGGTTGAAACTGATTGAGTCCGCGATTCATCGTCCTTACCGATCAATTCGTGATAGATTCCAGATCCGTCAACGCCGAACAACCCTGTATATCTGACGGGACTTGCAGGAAAGGAAAACCTTATCCGGCGGGAGCTGATACGTCACGGACAGGCAGCTGCACAAACCGCGACTGGGTCGAGGAAACGCAATCGAGGGTACGCGATTTCTTAGAAGGGATGCGTGAATACATCCTCACTTCCGATGCTTAATAAATACGCGAGATAGACGGAACTAGAAGGGCTGGGATTCACAGAAAACAATGGATGCCAAACTTCCATCAGTTGCGATGTGAAGATGGCCTGACCGCAAACGTGGCGCTTCGCTACAGGTCCACTCCAGACCGTGGCGTTCATCAGAAAGACAAGAAAAGCTGGTGCCCAATCAGTTCTAGTTCCTGGGAGTCGCTATTTTACACATCGCTCGCCGGTCTCAATGTCACCGCTGCAGGGAGATGTCTCGGCGCAAGGTATGACATGTCTATGCTGCTAAGGCCTTTGCCGTTCAGCAGGCGGCAGGAGTTGTCTCGGTGGAGAATATGTAAGTAGCCCTGAATAGCTTGGCCGGGCGTAAAAAGCAATGTTTGTGTATATGTACACTCGAGGGGTTGTCTATACGACACTTGGCAATCAGCTTGCCGATCACGCATGGCTTTTGCCGGTTCAATAAGGTTTCGAAGGTCTCTTCCTCCTAAGCATATCCCAACTGCAGCACTAGCTCCTAAACCCGCCGGGTGGTGACTTACCCGCAAGTTCCTCACGGGCCAGCACTTGATCCAGACCACGGACAGCAATTGCGGCAGTTAGTCACAAACGTAAGTAAAACGTTCTAGGCCTCCAATGCACCTGACTACGCACCAGAATAGCAAGACTGAATTGGCACCTGCATTATCAGAACCCCATACTGTTGCCCATCACTGTCTCTCATCATGCGCTGCTCCCTTCGATTGCCTCACCCTTGGAGCTCGACGACAGAATGCCGGTTTTGACATACTGTAACTCCGCCTCAAGCAAGCCATTCTTTGCGTTTGTCAGATCCCGAATGTGGGCATCCCTCCTTAACTGATACGCCCGTAGGTATCCGCTTAGGCTCCTCTGCACGATACGAAATTCCTCATCCGTAGTGACTTGGGTTTTGTCATCCAGTAGTCTTCGGTTGGCAAGAATTAGCCCTTGGATCTCAATGAGAACACCGCAATCGGCACATGCCGGGAACGCTCGTCTCTCATCATCAGAGTTCAGCTCGGCACAGAAGATGTGATTGGGACTCCAGTTCACACAGCTTCCATAAAAGTGGTGAAATTTCGCAAGGTATGATGTCCGTGCACATGTCCTTGCGCCCGTCACGGCACAAGGGTGGCCGAGACTGCAACCACGATGGCTCGGGTCGGTGGCTTCCCAAAGTCCAGTGGCGGCATAAAAGGCCATAAGGTAAGTGCCAGTGCGATCTGAATCCTCGCTAGGGTAATCTTGTGAGATTCGTCGAAAATGCTCGCCGACGTCTTCCGTGATGATAATAAAATCTGTGATATGATGGACTTTGCAAATGTGTGATTTCGTTGTCAATTGCGAAGCCAGCTTATGCTTTATGGTAATGTCTGTGAGGGCCATAGCAGAGAGATATTTCGACTGAGGCAGAATCTTGAAGGTAGTCAGCAGAGTGTTGAGTTAAAAAATAAGAATTTTGAAGTCGTGGATAATTCTTTAGATTCAGTAGCAGCCAGGAACTTATAATTCGTCGATTTCGGGTATCGCTCTCTCTGCTACGCATCGCTCGTATGTCATAGGTGCATTAGTCCATTCGTCACACTCTCGTCATGCCCTCAGAGCGATGGTCTGCCTGGGTAGCATCTATTGGCCAAAAGCTGAAGGCGCAAAAAAGAAAGGCCATGAGGTAATATGGAAGTCGTCACGCTACGGCTATGTGTATTCCAGCAATCCGCCCTTTACTCCAACGACCTGCCTCCACACTCTTAGGAAGGCCCTGGACAAAGAAGCTCACATTTAAGCTGCTGACGATGGATGTCAAGAGGTCATTCTCCCTGGTCCTTTCGAACCGGCACGTCGTCAGACTGTTCCAGCAGCTGGGCTGGTCTCACAGCTTGACCAGGCTGATCTTCAGCTTTTGCCGCCACAGGGCATCCACATTCGGACTAGAGAAGACCAGAGTAGATGTTCCCCCTCAACTGCGTGGGCTGCCTCAGTGCTGTTCACTTTCTCGCAGTGCCTTCATACTCTGCTTTGCGCAGATGCTTGGAGAAAACGCAAATGTGCGACTTACTGGACGCCACCAATGACTTCCTAGGACCTGTAACATCCACTACAGCCGCATGGGCCCGTCTTGACGATCTTCGGAGAGAAGCCAGACAGTATGAGGTACCGAAAAACATGTGCCTCTTACCATCCTATCATCTGGTGAGGCACCCGCCGTAACAAAGCCCCGCCGTCACGAGCCAGTGACATTTGTCATCTGCACGCCAGCAAATAAGGAAATGCATTGTTATCAGTCAACCCGGTCTATTAGGTCGCTGCTTTTGTCTTCTAGGGGTCTGGGCCCTCCAGGAAAAGTCTTGGTGGTGTAGCTGCCTTGGGTGCATTAGACAGTCACAATTCAGAGCTGTGAACCGGTATCTGAAGCTGGTCACCCAAACATGTGCTAGCTTCGACTTCGGCTCATGGTTTTCTCTAGTCCTCAAAAGCAAGCCAGGTGAACGCCAGCGAGCCACCGACGGTGTAGTGGATGTGTGAACTCCATCTTGTAAACAGTCTCAATTTGGACGGGATACTCAACCTCCACCCCCGATCGTTTAGTAGGCAATGGTAATGCGGACTGATCAAGTATGGTGTGACAACAGCTTAAGTATCAGAAGCTTTACTGAACATGAACAGGCGTGCGTTAGCTGTAGACAGCTCAAGTCGAAGTGCGACGAAAATAAGCCGTGCAGGTGTTGCCGGGAGAGGGGCATAACTTGCGAGTACAAGGATCCCCTCACGAAGTCAGCAAAATAGTCTTGTACCTCTTTACTAGCCTGACCCTCAAAAGGATCGATACGACAAATACAGCCATCTTGAACGCAATTCTCGATTTGAAGACCGCGACGCTTGACAGTCTGGCCCGGATAGGCGACAGACTGAAGAGTTTGGAAGATGAGCAGGTCTCACGACAAGCACCGACTGAGCAACATGTGTCACAATCACAGTTGAAGAGGATCATGACTTCTCCTGAGGACAGCCAGGAGCCCGATCTGACGTCCTGGGCGGATCCCACACGAGGGGATACTCACGAGTATGAGAGGGGACATCAGGCTACACCTGTGATGGGGGAGAAAGATTCCAACGACTCAGCACAAGGTCTCAGAGAGCACCAAGCACGTCTTTCGCTGTCAGACTCATGCGAAAACGGTACTGACTATAGCGAAAGGCAGAGATTGGGCTTGTTGCAAAGCTTCGAAGACGACATACTCACAATTTACCCTATACTGAAGCTACAAGACTTACAACATATACGCCGTCTTCTCCAATATGATGCCGACTTATCGAAAACAGTGGAAGCTCAGCCTACTGGGGCTGTCAAGTTCACCAACACATGTAACGTAGTACCGATGAAGCGCAAGCGCTCGTCTGCTTCTGGTGAAGAGAACCATACTCGGCCCCCTCGGGAAGAGTCGCGAAATGGATCGGCGCTCGACAATCCTCTTTTGTCGACAGTTTTGGCCTTGGGCAAGATCTGCCAACACCAACAGGAGGGTTGTGATTCACAACAGCACACGCAGAAGTGTTTTCAAGGCCACGAAGCAAACATCAGGTCGTTCACACTCGATTACAAGTCTCAATCCTCTCGTCTCATGAGTCGACCTCATGACGGAGGGACTCTGGAACATGTCCAGACATACATCTTTGCTGCCCTGTACCACAGTCAACTTGGTAATCTCATCGAGAGCTACCAATACTTGCTCGACGTCGATCGATTTTTGCGAAATTTCATGGAGAGGTATATGGATCCGCCAGACAGATAACACTTGCTAACGCATCTGCCACAGCGATATGAAGCGTTTCAGCCTGATGGAACAAGGTATCGCCCCAGGACAGACTACAGTGTCCAGTGATACGGACCATATGGTTCTTGTTATGTACTGGGCATGTTTTCAGTTGGGAAGGCAAGCAAGAAAAAACCATCCCTTGCGCTATTCCAATATCTCATGAACTTGCAGCAGCCTTCGTGCTCTGTGCGGTTTACCGCTACCAGCCTTTGTACACAAGTGCAGTCTCAGCCTCCCATCGCCAAGGTTGGAACTGTTAATTCAGCATCTCCCACAATCGGTTGCCAAGAAATATCTGGTGCGGTTGGATATGCAGCAAACCATCACTCGGATATGCCGGATCATGTACGGTCCAACCGCCTCCAACGTGCCACTTGTAGATCTAGCTCAACGAACCCTTGAGGTAGAATCGCGCTTAGGAAGCTTGATATTGGAGACAGCTGATCCTTCTGGAAACGCTTCTGCACATTCAGGGGAGACACAGGCTGAGGGTTGGGGCATACAGGTCACACTGTACATTCCCTTGCTCGAAGCCATGGTCAGTAATCGGCCTACGAGCCCACACAGGCTGGCCAATCGCGAATCCACATCTATGTTAGAAATTACTGAAAAACTGGCTGTTTTCCTTTCAGGGGGGGAAATCAACACCGCTCAGGATCTCGCAGTGGAAGTCATCAGAATGTCAAAGCAAGGTCTGCTTGCCCTTATGGAAAGCACTAAAGCACGATACGGAGCAGGCAGCATAGACGCTCTTGATACTGACTTTTCCAACACCGGGTCTGAGTAGGTACTACGAATATAATCTGGGAATTCACGCTCACTTTTGATAGGACGAAGAACAACTTGCTACTCTTAGCGGCTGCCTGTTATGACCCTCTTCTTTGCCGTTATGTTCACAAAGCTCGTTTCGAAATTCTATTGTCTCAAGCGATTAAACTCCATTCGCCCACGAGCAACACTTGTCTGCTGGGAAGAGATATACTTGAGAGGATCAGGCAAGATCTCCTCGCTCCTGAAATTGAGATATCAGCAGCCATCGCTCTCTCAGCAAGACCTGAAATATCCTAGGTCGTATAGCTCTCCATCACCCGAGAAAATAGCCGCTCAGCCTCTTGTAACCAGCCCTGCCTCAAGTGTGTCACCGCTATTTTCCTTTGATGCTTAGCGTGTCAGGATGATCAGCCCCGAGCTTCATCTTCCTCGTTTCCACCACCTGAACCTCTAGCTTCTCAGCCTCTTCCCACCGGCCCTGGTTGCTATATGTCGACGCCAGGTTGGCTATGCTGGTCAGCGTATGGGGATGATCAGCCCCAAGCTTCGCATTACTCGTCTCTATCATCTGAGAAAAGAGCCTCTCAGCCTCCTCCCGCCGGCCGTGGTTCCTGTGTATCACCGCCAGGTTGGCCATGCTTTCCCTGCGAACTCGCACGGCCTCTTCTGCAACCGCCTCAGCCTTGTTGTATTCACCCAGCATAAGTAAGTACTGAGACATATTCGTCAGTAGCTTGCTCCATTCTGACCGGTTACTTTCTCCTGGCGGCTCTTCGTTCAATAGTGGCTCTACATGGGGCGTTAATATTTGGCACTGCTCCCACGTTTCGAAGACGCCAGATAGAAAGTGTTTTGAAGCCGACCGAAGAAATAGTCTCTTCCATCGTTTTGCGTGACCAAATTTCGAAATCCAGACCTTTGTACAAAACTGTACTAGTGAGTGCATCTCGCAGAGTCCCGATGTAGCTGTCATTGTAATGAGCGAGTAGCCCCTGAGTACATTTAAGTCGTCCTCAAATTCTCCGTCATCGCCTACTCTATCGCCGTTGTCGTCATCGTCGTCGCTCTCTTCTTCACGTACAAAGCTGCTATCATAGCCGAGCAGCATATACTCGGGTATGTTTTGTGCGTGGAAGTAGCTCATTAGCGAAAGAAGATTGGCTGCCCGAGGCTGCTCCTGTTTGATCTGCTCAAACGTCATCTGTCACGTCACAATGACATAGTTGGACACCCCATCGTATCGTCGGATATCCCCTCCATCGCTGCAAAGGAGGGTGCCCTTTCGCTTTTCACTGTTGTGGAATTCCTCCAAATATGACTCAACGGTCACTCGCGGACTTTGTCTGTAGATGTACGCTGCTGCTTGGTTGACAGCGAGCGGGATATAATCGAGAGTGCCGATCAGGCGTAATGCGGCAGTCTCGTCGACATCTCGACCAATCTTCTTTTGGAGGAGCTGCAGTGCCTGCGGTTCCTCCATAGTCGGGACTCTAAAAATCATCTTGCCGCTACCCGTCAACTTCTCCGCAGTATCCCAGCTGCGCGACGTAAACAGGATCTTGCTGTTGTTTGCTTTGGGCAGATACGATGCTACTAGCATTTCATTATTGTCCTTGGAGAATAGCATATCAACGTCATCTGCATTATCGAGAACCATGAGCCACGGGCTCACGTCCTGTCGCTGTAGCCAGTCCCGGACCAGCGCTAAGAGTAAATTGCGCCATCGAACAAAGCAGTAACGAGCATATCCGCAAGCTCAAGACCGTGTCCGCCAATCAACTCAAGAGCGGCGACCTGAGCGTCAAGACAGCGACGACGAAAGACATGGAGACACTCCAACAGTTTGCCGAGGACTGGGAAAACCACATCGGCAACGGTGCCGCGGTGCGAATCCCAACCTACGGAGTGCTAGCGCACGGCATAAGAACCAGCTCGATGAACATGGATCACTTCACAGAAATCAGAGACGACCTACTACAGGACAACAAAGCATTCATCCCCAGAGAAGACATTAAGTACGTAGGCTGGCTGACCCAGTCAGCCAGCAAGAAGACGGCATCATCAGTGGTTGTGGAGCTCTCAAGGGCAGAAGACGCCAAGAAACTCATTGACGAGGGACTCATCTGGCAAGGCCAGGTGTTCCAATGCGAACGATATGACAGACAGTGCCGTCTGAGGCAGTGTTAAAAGTGCTGCGCATACGGCCACATAGGAACCCAGTGCAAGGCAACGACAACATGCGGCTACTGTGCGCAAGAACACGCGACCCGAGATTGCCCCCCGAAAAGCGACACAACGACCCCAAGGAAATGCGCCGCATGCTACGGCGAAAACGAGGCATGGCACGGCGGATGCCCCACCAGGATCCGCGAGAAGGCCAAGATCAAGGCCGCCTACGGCCAACGGTCGAGGTACCACCCGGAACAGACGGCCCCACACCCGGCCCTAGGACCGGAACCCCGGATCAGGCCTAACCCGAGGACCACACGGCCGACGCTGGAACCAGGACAATCCCAGGAGAATCGTCCGAGCCGGAGCCGGTCCCCAACGAAGAAGATCCAGAAAAGGCCTAACCCGACAGCGACCCAGGAATCGGAAGAGACGATTACTGTAGCTGCAGAGAATACGCGTCCGAGACGCACAATCATCCGATCGCGAAGAGCGCTCGAGGCGCTCGACCACAATACGCAGATGACAGACACGCAGACGATAAGCAACAGCACAGCGACGGAGATCGTTGTCGACGATAGCGAATGAACGCACAACACACACTCACAATAATACAGTACAACGTAAGAAAATCGAAGGATACCGTCATGGCGACACTTCTCCGTGACCCGAACATCGATAATTACGACATCATTGCTATTCAGGAACCATGGAGGAACCCCTACAGCGCAACGACGCATCATCCGGCCAAGGACCGGTTCCACCTGTGCTACCCCTGCAGCGAGGAAAGAGGCCAAGCCAGGGTCTGCTTCTTCATCAACAAGAAGCTCGACCACTCTCGTTGGCAGTTTAGGGAGGTCAGCAGAGATCTCTGCACCCTCAGCATCGAGACAAGCGAGGACGCCCAACCGCCCACAGTAGTACACAATATCTACAATCCCTCACCTCGGGAGGGCGACCGATCGCCGGTCTTACAACAACTGCGGAAATCGCTGGAAACACATCGACACAGCGAACAAATTGTTGCCGGCGACTTCAACCTGCATCACGAGCTGTGGGGAGTTGGTGATATCCGGGCGCCAGACCGCGAAGCAACCGAACTCTTAGACCTTATGGACGACATGAACCTCATAAGTCAACTACAACCGGGTACCGTCACATACGAGCAAGGAGACCACCGGACAACTATCGACCTTTGTCTCGTCACTGTAGGTCTCGTGGACCGAATGATTAGATGCAAAGTAGACAACAGCATCGACCATGACTCCGACCATCTACCCATAGCGACGTCCCTGCAACTAGCAGTGACCGAGCTACAGCGAGGGGAGAAACGGAAGTGGAAAGCTGTTGATAAGGAAATGTTTATCGAGACGCTCCGTGGATCGTTGCCGCAGCTACGAAGGCCAAGAACGAAGGCAGCGCTCGACGGATATGTAGAGACAATCATAGACGCCCTCTCAGCCGCTATCAAAGCCGCGGTCCCGACCAGCACCCCTTCACCAAAGTCTAGGAGAGGCTGGGACGAGCAGTGCGCAGCCATCCTGGCCGAGACGAAACGACTCCGCCGCGACTACAGCGAGCGACAGACAGAGGAGAGCTGGGAGACGTACAGAGAGGCACGCAACAGAAAAGGCCGCATCGTCAAGAAAGCTCTCCAACAAGCACATCGCGAAGCAGTCGAAACGGCGGCCGAGTCACCTAGATCGCTGTGGAAGATCGCCAAATGGGCCCGGAACAGACAGAGCCAGCCGCCAACCGTTACGCCGGAAATCAAGAAACCCAACACGTCTCAGGTCGCCACAACGGCAGAGGAGAAAGCAGCACTCTTCAAGGAGACTTTCTTCCCCCCGCCGCCAGAGGCAAACCTCGAAGACATCGACAACACATCTTACAGCAACCAGATTGGCCTGCCGCCAGTATCGGAAAGCGAAGTAGAAGACGCCATCCAGGAAGCAGTACCGCTGAAGGCCCCGGGCCCCGACGGCATCACTAACCTGGCACTCCAAGTGGCGAGACCATGGATCACGCCACATCTCGTCCGCATATTCAACCAGAGTCTCCAGTTAGGATATTGTTCCCAACACTTCAGAAAGTCCACCACGGTGGTACTCAGGAAGCCAGGCAAAGACAACTACACAGTGCCCAAAGCATACAGGCCGATAGCCCTCCTCAACACGGTAGGCAAGATCATGGAAGCCATCATAGCGAGGAGACTGAGCTACCTTGCCGAAACACATGGATTGCTGCCAGATAGCCACATGGGCGGGAGAAGATGTCGGTCGACGGAACACGCACTGCATCAAATCGTAGATAAGATATACGAAGCCTGGGGTTCAGGGAAGGGGATGGTAGCAAGCCTACTTCTCCTGGACGTGTCAGGCGCCTTCGATAACGTTTCGCACCGCCGACTCCTGCACCACCTGCGGAAAAGGCGGATCGACGAAGCGGCGGTGCGGTGGATTGCCAGTTTCCTAGGATGCCGAGAGACGGAGATTCACGTGGACGGGTTCCGATCCGAGACCCACAGACTCGACACTGGCATCCCACAAGGGTCGCCAAATTCGCCGATACTCTACCTCTTCTACAACGCGGATCTCCTGGACAGCTGCAATGAGACCGGAGATACGACAGCCACTGGTTTCATCGATGACGTAGCAATCCTAGCCGTAGGACACAGCACTGAGGAAACTTGCCAGAAGCTCCAAGAAGCGCTTCGGAAAGCCGAGACATGAGCCTCCACTCACGCGTCAGTCTTCGCGCCCGAAAAGTTCCAGCTTACCCACTTCACAAGAGCCAAAACCCGAATCGACAGAGACACAACACTCCACAGCCATTGGGGAGAAATTAAGCCCAAGACAACCTGTAAATACCTCGGTCTCATCATGGACTCAGCCCTCAAGTGGAAACAACACATCGACGAGACAGAACGTAAGGTCACGAACACCATCACAGCACTCAGCAGTCTAGGCAGCTCCACGTAGGGCGTGATGACGAGAGAAATGAGGACGATTTACAGGGGAGTCGCAATACCACAGATGATGTACGCATGCTCGCTGTGGTCCAACAGCGGTTGGGGAGAGATGGGCTACACGAAAAGAACATTAAACAGACTGCAGAGGCTCCAAGCCAGAGCAGCCAGGGCAATGTGCGGAGCATACAGAGCAACCTCGTTCCCAATACTAGATGTAGAAATGCACCTCCTGCCAGTCGAACAACAGATATGGAAACACAACATCGACACCATCAGCAGAGTAGGCATGGCCGAAGTCACTGCACGCAGAGGAAAGAAAACGAGCTCAAGACAGACGATAACAAACCGAATACACGATGGACAAGATGCAACCAGCGAACAACACGAACACGAGCACATACCGTCTTTCATCACTCCTCCGTGGTGGCAGGGACCGCGTATCCACATCGCCGGAGGCACGGAGCAGGCCGAAAAAGAACACGAACGTTGTCTGGAAAAGAACACCGACGCAGCCCATATATATAGACGGCAGCGGCATCGACGGTCAGATCGGAGCGGCAGCAGTCTGCACAACCACACAGCAGACTAGGAGATCTCACATGGGGGACGACACGACGTCGACAGTCTACGCGGGAGAGCTGCAGGGCATCGTTCTGGCCCTCGAGATGGCGCAGGCAGACAAGGAAAGCGGAGACTACCGAAGCAAAATCTTCATACACACCGACAATCAGGCCGCCATCAGATCGTCAACCAAACCAAAGGGGAAGTCCGGCGCGTACCTTCTCAAGACCATCGCAGAAAAGACACAAGCCCTCCGAGAGCAGGGACTCAAAGTCGAGCTCCGATGGGTACCTGCCCACATCGGCATACAGGGCAACGAAGCAGCAGACATCGCAGCCAAGGAGGCGACGGGATGGAGGCCAGACGGACGGACAGGTTCCAGGGCGGACAAGCCGAGAGCCCTGTTCAAACTCAGGTCGACAGTCAAGACATGGTCGCATAAACAGTCCCACCACGCGTGGCGAACCAATTGGGAAACCGAGACGCGAGGGAGAACATCGTTCCGTCTCACGCCGAAGCCGACGAAGAAAGTCCTCGAACTCCACGAAGGCCTCAGTAAACGCCAAAGCGCACTCTTGGTCCAGATGCGCACAGAGAAGATCGGGCTCCAGGATTTCCTCTTCAACCGAAGAGTACCGGGCATCACCAACGCCAACTGCCCATGCCGGGAAGGACGACAAACGGTATCGCACATCCTGCTGCGATGCCGCAGGTTTCGACAACTCCGGCGCCAGGAATTCGGAACCCTCCCAGGACGACACAATCTCCGGGTCATACTAAACAAGCGCAAAGCAGCCGCCAAGGCAATCCGATTCATAGAACAGACCGAGATCCTTGGGCAACACGGGATCGAGTCACACACCAGACTAAGCTGAACATTGGGGGGAGACTGTAGGTACGCTGAACCGTTGCACGAGGAGAAAGACCTCAATGGAGCCTAGACATACGTGTACATTAGTAGAGAACCGCGAACTACACGAGGTGGCAGCCGAATGTAGATAGAGGTTGGAGAGCAAAGCGGGAGATTTGGAGACAGCTGGTCAGTGTTTTGCATTGGCGAAGTGGGGCGTTGCGGATCAACACCCGGAGCCCTTCGGCTGTTGGCCAAACCCCGCTATCCGGGCATAGCTGCTGACTAAAGCGGTCAAAACCGAGTAGGAATCAATCAATCAATCAATCAACCAGACCGTTTCCCCGCTCGTCAAAGCAAAAGCTGTCTCGAGATCGCTTGCCAGGGCGGCGTCCATGGTATCAGATTTACGGCTTACACTGATACTTTTGTACGTACGCCTTAGCTTTTCACCTCTAATACTATTTGTATCATGGATATTAATGTTGAATAATTCAAAGCTCACTAACTTTAATATGTATGTACATAACAGTAACAATGATAAAGGCCGTTGATTTGTGAGAACTGCACGTGTTCAATGTTTTTATCCGTCGCGTGGGAGCCTACGGGATGCGTTATGGAGACTTCTGCGACGGGTAAAATTGGCTGCCGTCTTCCTCATGGGCAGGGGATATACTTTTTCCTTAAAGGGCATTAGCGATGCAAAAGGAAGCGGGAAAGATCCCAACCATGTCAGCTCTGGATATCGGCCACGCCGGGTCATTGGTAGAGCTGTTCTCATAATGCTTGTGTCTCCTTCGTAACACGACATAGACATCTGACTGGTAGCGGCGGCTTATTTCGTCGCACCGCCACATGATGTTCTCTCTTGCTTTCTCGAAGTTCTCATTCGTTCTATCCCGCTTTTTTCGCGTAATCAAGTCAGGTTTAGGGGCGTCCATGGTCGCGTTAATGCGGACTTGGCAGCATGCAATGTTATTTGTGTAGGATAGTTATACTTCATGACGAGACGCTATTCACAAAGAAACTGGATTTGAGTATTAAATTCCGAAATCCGGGGCATCGCGCCGTTTGCATTTCGGCTTATGGCCTGCTCACAGGCTATGGTGGCCACCACTCCGCAAAGCGCGCGAGCCCACGGGCCGCACAGCCTAGGTGGCTCGGAGCTGGGTAGTGGCATACCTACCAAGGCTGGCGTCTCGCTGGTCCGCGCAGCGCGTATTCCTGGCGTTGCCATTCGAGGGGCCCACATTCTGACCACCCTGACGGCCCACAAGGTGAGTCACCGCCCCGCATGCCCTGAGGCGCTCACGGCACTCAACTAGCAAACCCCCTGCCATTCACCATTAGTCTCTCCTTTTGCCGGAAGCCTTGGCGTTCCTACACTTTCCAGTCGTGGGCGGCAAGTCCTAGCAAGCTACTGCTATGAGCTCGCAGCATTTGGGGCGGGCTGCTAGTACCTGATACCCAACCCCAACAGTGACTGTCCGGTACCGTGAGAGCTCAGCGCCCTGGTGAGCTTACCAGTAACCGGCCAACCGGGATCATCGCCACTGGCACGGCAGTCGGAACCGACCTTCTAGCAGTAGGGCCGCCGGCGTAGGTGCCTCCGGTCCCTCTTAGTAACGCTTCGGCAGCGCATATCAGTCACCGGCGGCAAGCTCTAGCAAGTTACTGCTAAGAAGCCACTGTTCTCGCGGCGGGCACTGGTAATTGACGCCAGACCCCAGCGAGTTACTGCCAGAAGGTCCGGTGTCCGCTTGTTTTGTCAGACGAGTCTACGTCCTTATTGCAAAGACGTTTCTTTTGAGGACAGGGGGGTTGCTCAAGTCTGTACCAAGTAGATACATCTTCACGTCGTCCTAAACGAAGTGTTGCTCGACTGGACGAGCGAAAAATGAAGGTCATTGCCTCGGACATTGTACATACAGCTGACACGGGATTCTATGATCCGTCATTCCTCAGCTCAGCAGGCTGTTGCCTAGAATTCACCTCGCGTCTTGCCGCGTCGAAGGAGTCTGCCATTCCCTCTCTCTTTGTACACCTCAAGTCATTCAACCAGCACTCATACCTGGCTCAGCAATCTCGATTATTCCCATCGTTAAGACCGTTTTGCTGAACCTCAGCCACCATACGGCAATGGACTCTTCTCAGCTTCAGCTTCGTTCTTGTGATATGTGCCCTCGACTAAAAGTTAACCCGGCATGTGATACGCGGATCACCTTACCATTACTTCAAGCACTAAAGTCTGCGATCAACAGGTGCGTTTTCTTCCATAAACCTTTGGGACGCCTCCGCCTATATTAATTACGGATGAACTACGGTGGCAAATATTCACCGTAGGATCTAGATAACTAGATAGAAAGATGGCTATATATTACGGTTTGCCTATATCGCGGACGTACTATAGTTAATTACGGTTAGCAGCTCCTTGATGAGTCTCAGAATCTTAATACTAAAGACAGCCTTCTCGCGATCGCAAGGATAGGTAAGTATATTATCGTCCCTTATTACATAGACCACTGACGTGATGGACCGAGAATATATGAAAGATATAACCCTAGCTCGACTGCCGAGTTATCGTCCAATTCGTTCTTGATCCTTGTTTGCCAGTTTTCAACTATGCCGTGTCAAGCACTGCATACCACTTATCATCTATTAGCCCGCCAGCGGCGACGATCTACTTGACCTCCGATGCGTTGAAAGGCCCTCGGGATAAAAAAACAGCTGAATCTCTCCTGCTCCGTTGCGCTCCACCGTTTGGGCTACGAGCAGCTCTGCGCGTGGCTCTCCGCGAATTTTCCTCGTCCTCAGCATCTTGAACCCCAGCACGGGTAAGCACATACCCATAGCAGACCGGGTCTGGTGCGACTGCTTCATCGTCCACAGTAGTGAGAAAAGCTGGCCACACGACTTTAACAATCTCGCTTGTCGATAGCACTGCCGGTTTTAACTCCTTCAGTTGCGTCTGAGGCTCCTTGTCTCCCAGACATGGTGTTGTCGGTGTGGTGTGGTTATGTGGTGCGACTATACCTATCGACCTCGGCAAGGGCTGCCAGTCATACGGCGTCTTCAAGACGAGGCACGGCTCAACCCTTTCGTCAAGCCTTTGAACACGCTGCCAGCTCCCGCGCAACGAATTCATCAGCTGACAGAGTCGAGATCTGAACATCGCATGTTGGTCGACCGGTACCAAACTGGCAACTGCTGCGAATACCTCGTCAACTACGAGTTCGGAACATCTCTCCCCACGCTTTCTCTGTTGTTCAGGCAACACTTTATGGAGCACGGCGCGAACAAACGACTCCTGAGATGGCTTCACCGCGGCCGGCGCGCCTAGTAATTCTTCAACGTCAGAACTCATGGAGAGGTATGTTGGTCGGAAAACGTGTATGGCAAGTGCCCTGGCACAGATTATTAGGCCCGCGACTGCCCTCATTTGTTGTTGTTGTTGTTGTTGTATTTAACGCCGTGGCGGCCGGGCTAGAGCCCTTACCGCAGACCTCCCGAAGGGTATATGGCGTGGAGGGCCGTGAGCCAAGGCTACCTACTCTACAGTACGTCGTCTCTTTACATCGTCCTCCAAATCATGCCTTGTGGCCACTACGCGTTCTGTCTGTCCCCGGTTCCCGCTGGTGCCCCAGTTTCATTCTTTCCCAAATCGTCCCTTGGAATCGGGAGGTTCTTTGTAGTCCGCACTCACATCTACGTAGGTGTGGATGCTGCTACCGCAGACAGATCTTCTGGAAGAAGTCCGTCACGCGGAGAAAGGCCTCGAAGCCTCGTGGGTCGGTGATTAATCTCTTGAAGTAGGCCTCGAGAGATCCCATAGGGCCTATGGGCTCGGGCATACTGCGAGAGTGGAGGGTCGGCCACCGTTGCCTCCTCGCCAGCGTTAGTCGACAGTAGACCAGGTGGTCCACGTCTTTCGCCTCTCCACAAGAGCACATCATTAGAGCGTCGTCGTGGTTGAAACGTCGGTGATATTGCTCGAAGTCCCCGTGACCCGATCGTGCCGCCAGCAGGTGATGTAACGTAGCCCGCGGCAAGGCCAGTTCAGGAGGGCTGGACAGAGCTGCCTCAAGCCCCAAGTCCGCGTACCGCGGCCTTCGCTCTTTATACCACCATCTCCTGTGCTGGCTTTGTAATTTTTCCCTTGCAAGCCGCTTGATGCCCGCTAGTGTTGCCATTTGACCCATCCGCGCCGGCAGTGTCGTTCCTTCTTTGGCCAGCCGGTCCGCGGCCTCGTTTCCTTCGATGCCCTGGTGTCCCGGGGACCAGTGCGTCCGTATATCAAATATCCTGGCCGCTTCTTGGATTTCGAGGAACGCGTCTTGTGACGAGTCCGGCGCCTTGCCGCGGATGCCTTGTATAACGCTGGTGTTGTCGATACATATGTGGATTGGATGACCGCGATTGGTGAGCAGAGCCCTTCTGAGGCCGGTTCGCGCCCCTTCGACCTCGGCGTCGAACACTTCTGCTAGTCCGAGTCGGCCGCACCCTTGTGCTATGCGTTTGGAGTCTCGGTAGATGACGAAGCCGTACCCCACGGCTCCGTTCGTCGCCCTGGAGCCGTCCGAGAAGACGATCATATGGCTTTCCGGTACTGTCTTTAGCCAGCGCTCGAAAGCTTTCGCAGCCTCTTCTTTGCATTGAACTACTATCTGATCCTGTGAGCTTGGCAGGTACTGTGATTGAAGGAACGCTGGTCTTCCGCATCTTGGCAGAAGTTCAGCCGTCCGTTGTAGTCTCGTCTGTTGCTGTCCCTGCTGGGAGAGCCGCGCGACTAGCGGGTGTCGGCGATCAATCCTCTGTAGTCGGACTGCGGCCCGTAAGCGGACGCCCTCTAAGGCGACTTTGGCTGACGGTAAGCCGGCGTCTCGGAGGAGGCTACTGGTTGGCGTTGTCCTCCAGACAGGCAGAACGGCCCTTGCTGCCGCTGTAATGACGCTGTCGATCTTCTGCACGAGCCCCTTTTGGCCTGTGTTGACGGGTCTTCCTTGGAGAGGCGGATTCGTGTCTGTCTCCGCTTGGCGTCTCGAAGCCGGCTTCGTGATACCTGCGTACCATGTTTCGGCGCCGAAGAGCGCGATCGGCAGTACGCAGGAGACGACGGCTTTTCGCACGGCGGCCGCTGGGAGTCCCCTCTTTGTGTTCGTAAGCTGTCTCAGATGTTGAGCTGCCCTCTTTGCTGCAGCTACTTTTGCGTCGACATGGTGCCGGAAGGACAGTCTCTTGTCGAACCAGACACCCAGCCAGCGTACAGGTTTCGTCGAGGCCTTGACCACCAAATCCCCCGCCCGGACCTCTGGCAGCTCCGCTGGCTGGCCGTGCTTCCTAGTAAAGTGGATGACCTCGCACTTGCTCGGGTCAAAGGAGACCTTGTTCTCCAAGCCCCATCTGAGAATGCCGGCTGCGCTTCGGTTGAGTATTGCGACGTTGCTCTCCAGGGAGGGGCTGATGGCCAGAGTGGCGATGTCGTCCGCGTACCCGAATCGCGCGTTCGGGTCGTCTTCAAGTATCTCTGCGATGTAGAGCAGAAAGGCAATGGGAGATAGTGGTGACCCCTGAGGCAGCCCGCATGACAGCGGGAAGTACTCCGTTGTGCTTTCTTCCAGTCGGACTCTAGCGGTGCGGTTGCAGCAGAAGCTAAAGATCAGTCTGGTCAGGCCATGTGGCCATCCCTGCTGACGCAGTCTAATGACGAGCCGGTTCCGAAGGACGGAGTCGAACGCCCCTTTTACGTCCATAGTCAGAAGTGTCGCCGTGAGTCCTTTTAGGAGGGCCATCTCGATGTCGTGGGTGAGGCAGGTCGTCAGATCGACGGCTGACCTGCCTTGTAGAGCCCCGATCTGTTGCGGACTGATGATGCGCTCGACAATCGCCAGGGACGCCATCCTTCTGGCTATCAGTCGCTCTAGTCCCTTGCCCAGGCACGAGAGGAGCGCGATCGGCCGCCAGGACCCGGGCTTGGAGGCATCCCTGCCGGCCTTCTGGATCATGACCACCTCAGCTCTGCGGAAGGGCAGAGGAAAGTGGCCGGCCCGCATACAGGACTGGAATAGCTGCCTGACCGGTTCCGAGATGACATCCCAGCATGCCTGGAGGAGGCGTGTTGTGATGCCGTCCACACCAGGGGTCGTTGTCTTTGTTAAGGTGGCCGTCTTCACTTCTTCTCCGCTAACATTGTCCTGCCAAGTAATCGCTCGCCTCGGGACGACGGGTACGTCAAACGGGTCACCCGGTGCGTCATCTTCCGCACTAAACCTGTCGAGAAGGGCTCCCCGAAGCGCTTGAGCCTTTTCGTTAGTATCCTCGATCGTCTGGTTGTCCACAACCAATGGGGGTGCTCTGGTCAGTAGGCTCGCCTTCCGCCAACCCATGATCTGGTACAGGTCCCGGTCTGAAGCGACTCCATCGATCTTTCCGGCCCAGTATGCTCGCTTAGCCTTCCTCACCGTGCTCAGGAACGCCTTTCGTTTCTCCATTAGATAAAGGTGCGCATCTTGCTCCGTCTCCCAGGCTTGTTGGTTGCGGGCAGCACGGTATGCTCTGTGGGCCTCTGCGCATTCCTCCGTCCACCAAGCCGCGCCTTTACCATGTTTTCCTCTCTTCTTGCCGACCGCCTCAATGGCTCGGGAGAAGAGCTCGACGATGTGACTTGCCTGCCCGTCCAGGTCTTCCGGAGTAGGTTGATCCCCCAGATTGGGCATCGCAGCTAGCCCCCCTTCGATCAGGTCTCTCAGCCGAGGCAGCGCCGAGTCGGGCACTGACAGTGGCCGTGGCTGCGGGTGGCCCTCTCCCTGTGACACTGGGCGTTTGAGTAGTGGTATGACGGCCACGATGGCCTCGTGGTCAGCTCCCGGGTGTAGCTGTGGGCTGACCTGCGCGTGCGCAAAAGGGATATTAGAGAAAGCCAGGTCCAGGACATGTCCGCAATCCTGGGTTGCCACCCCAACTTCGCTGATAAGAGAGAGATTGTGGCCGTCTGCCCAGCCTGCGATGTCATCTCCCCGGTTCCCGTTCCTCGTCCCGGGCTCCCAAGAGTAGTGATGCGCGTTGAAGTCACCCGCGATCAAAGCTCGCTCCGGGGGTTTGAGTTCTAGCAGTATCCCTGTTGTGCGGCTGTGGGGGTCGCGGGGTTGTCTGTACACGTTGACGATAGTCGTCGTTTTGTCGACCACCAGCCACAGTACGTCTCTCGTGTGGACAGGCCTCTGCTGCTCCACCGTCATCCCTATCCCTTTGCGTGTGTAGGTCAATACTCTTGGTCTGGTTCCTTCGCTGTCCCAGAAGTCGACCGGGACGAAAGAGTCGAAACCCGGGTGCGTGTTCAGTTGCACGTTTCCGTCCTTCCAGCCCGTCCAGGGTTCCTGGACGAGGACCACATCTATCTGAGCCTCCCAGCAGAGCTGCAGGAAAGCCGTGTGCGCCGGGGAGATCTTTCCGACGTTGCCCTGCGCAACGCGTAGCATCCGTGGGGTCGCCGCTCTCGGCTTACGTCTCCGAGTCGAGTTCGAGGTGGGTGTAGGCATTCGCGACGTTGTAGTTTGGCTTCTGTGCTGCCCGTTGGCTCCTGCTTGGCATGGGTAGCACGGGACGGTCGATGGAGGTGTTGTCGGGGGAGTCTTCGCCTTCGCCTTCGTCCGCCTCGTCTTCATCCATGCTGCTGCTGTCAGTGCTTCCGTCACCGAGGCAAACGATCGAGCTTGCGGAGGGCGTTCTCGTGCGCGCGCGCTTGGCGCCGGGTTGCTGGTTCTGGCTGGTGGAGGTAGGGACGCCTGCCGCCTCCTGGCTACTGTCGGATCGAGTAGCCTTGTACAGAGTGTCCGATGCTTTCTGGCCGGCCTTCCGGATCCGAGCCCGCTCCTTTCGACCGGGAAGGGAGACGACGCCGTTTACGGCCGAGGGCCTCGCTGGGCAGTCTGTGTGGCTGGCTTGGAAGGGGCCGCAGCAGTTGGCACATTGGGGCCTGGCCATGCAGGGTCCCGTTTCGTGTGAATCGGAAGGTCTTCCGCAGTTGCTGCAGATCGGTCGTCGTCCGCAGAACCGGTTGGAGTGGTAGCCCTGGCAGCCGGGGTCGTGTCGGATGAGCGTCCTTCGTTTCTTGACGGGCAGAGATCTGCCGCTTTGGTTGAAGAGCCTGAAGGGCGTGACCTCTGATGTGAATGATATGAGCCAAGATATTTCGTTCGTGACTGGGTTGGGCCCAAGGCGGGACGGTCGAGCAAGGACAGGCTTCTGTCCTGTCTGTGCGAAGACCTCATCTTCAACGAGTGTGGCTGGGTCCAGGACGTCCCCGCCAATGCTGTGTAGTTTTGTTGGGCATCGCGGCACAACGTAAGTGTACCACTTGATAGGCGTCTCGACCTGGTGGGCGCCGAGGCATTCCGCCAGCTTTGCCTTACTTGCAAGTAGTCTTTCCTGTATTTGCTTGTTTCGCGGCTTCAGAGAGTAACCTGTGCTGATATGGTAGACGTGGGGAAGGTCCGCTAGCCCCAGGCCAACGGCCTTACAGACGATCTGTCGTACGGCGAACGGTGCGATCTTCCGAGCGGCCGCTAAGCTTTCTTCCGGGACGCGGGCAAAGATGCGGAGGTCCTCCTTCGGCTGCGCCTGCGGCTGATCCTCGGCGGGGAGTGTGGCCTTCGGGCGGGCAGAGCTCTGGCAGCTCTGGCCGCTCCGGGTCGCCGCAGTGGTGTTGCCCGCCATCGGTGCGACGACAGCCGCCCAACTCCGGGCCGCTATTGGGCTTGTCTCGTGATTGATCAGTCTCTTGAGGGTTTGAATGACATAGGCAGTGGCTTCTTTCGCGATCTGCTTTCTAGAACCGTCAAAGCTGGCGACAACGCTGTCGACGGACCGTGCAATGGTCAGAAAGACGTCTTTCCGTGCCTCGTACTGTCTAGCTTCTTCTGCAAGGGCTGTCAAGACGGACCCTGTGGCAGATCCGCTCGGAGCAGATGCGGTAGAGGCTGCGGGCCCCTCGGCCGAGGTAGGGGCGTCGGTGGTGGCATCAAGCTGGCTTCCCGTTAGGCTGGGCCGGGTCGGCTGTGCCTCGACGTCGCGGCGTCGCTTAGCTCTTGAGGTGGGGTTCGGCTCCGGAGGTGTCCCGGAGCCTGGTTCGGGGTCGGCTTGGTCGGCCGACATCAGTCCGGTGCCCGACGGCGGCTGTGAGGCCATCGCGGATGCGGGCTCCGGCAAGGGGAGGTGAAGAGTTTTCGGCTGTTAGTAATTTGGTGGTAGGCTCACTCATTCACTAACAGCAGATGCCAAGAAAAATTAGGCGAGAGGGAAGTTGCGACTGCCCTCATCTGTTTCCCGTGAACCGAGTTTGAGGCTGGGAGTGGAATGGTGCGCTGAATGGCTACGTGATCTCTGACACGGTCCCAAGACTTCGCGTCTTGAAGCTGGGCTCTGCCGATATCGTGGCTCAGGAACTCCTTGAATAAGGCTATGGCATCTTGGAATCCCGATGCAAGCATATCGGATCTAACGTCAAGTTTTAGCTTCCGTCATATGATGACATACAAAATGGCCCGAAACGTACATGTCCGCTCTTACATCTTCGAGGGCCGTCAACGTCGCAGTATGTGATCGGATCTCTGCAAGCTTGTTTTTAACTGTCGTCAAATCCTTACACCGGATGCTCAAGTCGGTCTTGGCTGCCTTCAGTTCGTCGTTTGAAATGGCGACCTTGTCTTTGGCCTCCTTTAAGTCCTTGCTCAGCGTCGAATTAGTGTTCTGGAGCGTCGCGGCGTGGTTGCCTTGCCTTTTGCTATCAGCGATGGCTCTTCCGACTTCATCCACAAGTGCTTTGATCTTTCCTGTCAATGCCTTCGTAGTTTCTTCTTCGGCTTTCAGCTTCTGGTAAACTGCTTCTCTATCTTTCTGATCTGACTGTGCTTCTGGCCTTGTTCTTCGGTCTTCTTCTTGAACGCCTCTTTCTCAGCATTCCGATCCGCGATTAGCTGCGTTAATTCTTCAAGATTCTTCTTGTAGGCGGCTTCTGTATCAATAAGCTTCCTTTGCAGTGCGTCGTGGTCCAGAACCACGGCCTTGAGATCTCGGAAACCCTTTTCGGTGCAGAACCTTCCAAAGCAAGAAATGAATTCGTCTAGAACATCTTCGGGCCTCTGGCTAGGAGCAGACGGCTCAGTCTTAGGTGTGTTGTGGTTCCCTGTCGGAGCCATGATCTTGGCGGCATATGAGTCTTCGATCTGCTGAGAATCTATGAGGGAGGATTGAAGATCGGAGATGTCTGTCGCTCACAATTGTATACATGTATATATATATATATCCGGCTGTGTTTCAATTTCACTCATCGTTGACTGCACTAATGGAAACCTGTTGGTTGACAGGTCCGAGGCTCGCGTGTGACAGTTGCGATAGTACATGTTGGCGATGAGGCGAGCAGATTACTTCGTTGGATGGTGCGGTTCGTTCAGCGATTGGCTGGAGCTCAGCAGGATGTCGCAATCATATTTCAGTGGTTCCCGCAGCCTGATTTGACGATCTGTTGGTTCCTTCCAAGGCGAGTCGGTCAAGCTAGACATATGAAGGTGTCGAGCGGAAATCGAACCACTAATCATAGACCGTCAGCTCCCTTCGCTGGTGCTGTTGAGCAATCCGGCGTCCGCGAGCTGGTAGTTCTTCGTACAACTATGCCTCATTATGCGACGGCGTTGGAGGGTATGCTGCTGTATCATGCGGGTGCTTGTAGCCGGTGAAGACCAGACGAAACTTACGGCTTCGTTGCCTCTGATCTGGTTGGAGGTCGTCTGCTGACGAACGTCGAATCATAGATTGTCACGAAAGTCAGCAACCCATAGGATTTGTCTTGCAATGTCGTGCGATTCTAAGTTCGTCCCTAAAGCCGTCATGGCAGATGCTGGTTGATCTATTGAGCTGCGACGACCAATTTGGCGTACTGTTCGATCAGGAAACAGAGTTCTTTGATGGTTAACAATGCCATCTGGCTCAGAACGAGCGCCGGTTCCACGCTTGTCTGCGATTTCTACGTAACTCTTCGAGTTACAATGTGGAAGTTCAGGTTCGTACGTATGCATCAATCAATACGGATATCACGTAGCCTATACGTTCATGTCTATTACGGATATTGGCCTTTTGAGACTTATGCCTACTTTGATGAGTCGCGAGTGCAACAATCAGAATAATGCGAAAGACCTTAAGTTTTTGCATGATTCTTGCTACGCTGTCAGCCTTGTTGCTCGCGTGTGTTACCCGCCTTGCTTTCATTCATGGTCGTTTGTTGGGCCACGTTAGCGGTGCCTGGGATTGCATATGTAGCAAGACGTGGACTCAGGAAATGCAACTTGAACGGCTTCCTGCACATGCAGTCCAGACACCGCGAAACACTCTATTGACGCATTGCTGCCCAACATAACACGTGTACGCACTTGTCTGCACTAATAACGCATCCGGGACACCTTTGACGGTCATGATGTCAAATGGGATTTATCGACCACGCAAACCTCTTTCTTTTCGATTCAAGTACTGAATGTGTTCAGCGGTTATTACCTCGCCATATTTATGATTTCATTTGAGTGAGACGCCGCGATCCCTCGCACTTTACCTCCTGGAGTTCACACATCATGACCCTACGCATGACCAAAGCCACGGAGTTCTACGCTGTGTACAAAGGTCGTGTCGATGAGCCTACAATCACTCGTCTTGGTATTAATTCCGGGTCCCGTAAACTTGGTGAGACTAATCCGGCTAGGGGTGCTGCACACCCACGGGTGACGGGATGCAGCGCTGTCTTCAAGGGCTTCAGTAGCCTTCAGAAGGCGTTAGACTACATGGATTAGGATATGCTGGTCCGCAAATGGCAAAAACCCCTGGAATATATCAATATTGGCGGTATAATCTTCCACAATGGACCGATAGTTACGACATTAAGATTCAATCCTAACTGAAATCAGTGGTCAAACACAGGCGCTATCTCAATTGCACGAAGCCCCTGGTGCTTGCTGTAAGAAGTTCAAGACAAAGGAGCAAGCAGAAGAATTTATTGAGGAGTGGAAACAGGCCGTGGCCGATGTGCTTCTGAGATCCATCAGAGAGGCATTGGACCAAGGAATGCGGCCAAAGGACATGAGCCTCGATGTTTCTGATTTGTTTGACTGGAACCAAAATGGTACCGAGAGTCACGATGAGGTGAATGGCTTGGATTTTGAAGCCCTCAGGATTCAAGACACGCAGACGGAGCAGCAATAGACTAGCACAGGTCGATTCTGCAGAGATATGAATTTACGCTCTGTAGGACATACATCCTCCTGCACAGACCAATGTGCCATGTGCGACTGATGTCGTCTTGAGGGGAACTGGAAGCGCCCATGCCGGTGGCCCTAAAAGGTCCGGTTTCTAACTGCCCCGCTAGTCACAATGATCCCGGAGTAAGCCCAGAGGAAGTTAAGCGCCTAAGACCGGCCGAGTAGTAATCCGGTGGGGCTGGGCTTCATCTAGTGCCCGCCCTGAAAACAGCAGTCTCTCATCGGTAACTCGCTGAGCTTGCCATTCATAGTCTGCAACTTAGGGGGTCTCTGTGGCCGTGTAGGCCTTCCCATACAACTCCCTTTGTCCCCCAATAATTCCATGTCAGACGAGTCTACACCTGACTGGGTGACACCTTTGTTTGAATTTATCACAGGTTCGTTTACACACACTGTACATACATGGCTGTAGCCGAAGAAAATAGGATTTCACATCCAATATGTTTCTCCAAAGACAAAGGATTTACTAAGTCTTGGCCCATTAGATATCTACGTCGCGTCGTCGTAAGGAATGACACTCGACTCACCAAATGGTAGGTGATTGACTTAGACCATGTCTGTAGGCATGGATAGTCTATGTTGCGGGATTACTCAGTCCAGCACAGCAGCCCGGTACCTGAAATTCGCGTCGCGTCGCACGCCACCGCAGCGATCAGCGCACTTCATCTCCTCTTTGTTCGCCGTCTAGAAGACTGTCGAAAGAACCATGCTCGGTGTAACGACTACAAGCGGCAGTTACGATCTCTTAGGCAGCCGTGTTACCTACTCGATCTGGGCTCCTGGGGTGATGAGGAAGTTTGGTTGATAGAGCCGGGGAAGAGTACCAGCTTTGCTATCTTGAGTTACTGTCGAGGTCAACCGCCGCCGGACTATACAACAACATCAGCGAACTTACAATATTCTATGGCTGGATTTCTTCTTAAGAATTTTCCCAAAACAATTCGAGATGCCGTATGGGTTACTCTCGGTCTCGGTTTGCGATAATTTTGGGTAGATGCACTCTGCATCCTTCAGGACCAAGATGACGAGATGATTCAGAACGAAGTCGGCATCGCGCTTGAATTCTATGCTCGGGCGAGCATTCTTACAGGAGCCGCCTCTGCGCCGCACAGCAGCGCCGGGTTCTTAGCACCTCGAGATCTGCCGTATCATGAGTATGAGCTCCCTGTTGCTGTGAAAGATGGTGACAAGACATCAGATCACCGCCTTAGACTGCTAGAACGAGGGTTCGAGAAAAAGCCAGAGCCGATTAACGAAAGGTGCTGGACGTTCCCAGAAGCCAAGAGCGTGCTGTATATTTTGCGCTTCGAGCCTGAACGAGTCGTATTCAAATGCTAACAAACGGACGTCGCAGATAGTGACATTGAACACTTATCAACGTCAGATGAGATCCACCCGAGCACTTCCACATTTGATGGTTCGAGGTTCGCCACCCGAAACACTGGAGTAGTTGACCCTGAGCCGCATATCGCAAGTTGAGGACAACAAGTCATCGATTATTCTGCACGTCAGACTGGGAGATTAGCTGACAAGTTGGCTGCCTTTGACTGTATAGTCCCCATAGCCATGGCGAAGGCCATGGAATTGGATCCGTCGCAGTGCAAAGCCGGATTGTGGATGACCGACACGCCGAGAGATCTGTCATGGTGCCGCGATTGCCACCGTCCGGATAAGGCTTCAACTAGCAGTCCTTCAGACATGACACTGACACCGTCATGGTCATGGCCTGAGATACGATCAACAGTCACCTGGCTCGATGCCAACGAGCTCAAATGGAATGATTATACCCTGGAAGTTGTCAAATGTATCGAAGTGAGGCAGTTGGTTGTAAAGAGACATATCTTGGACGTTCTCTGGGATGGTCGGGTAATGGTCCTAGCCAGGTCTCGTGACGAGGCAGACAGAGCAGCGCTCGCGGCCTCGAGCCCAGCTGCCAGATGGAGAAGTCGATCGCCCTCTAGCATACCCCAGACAGGTACCAAATGTCATCAAGAGGAATGATTTCCTCCATTGCCAATAGAAGTGGTCTGGGACGAGTCCTTGCAGCCAAAGCGGCAAAGGATGAGGTGTCTGGAAATCCGATCGAATGTTGTCCTCGGCCGATCCTATGGGATCGTCCTCACATGTGACGGCAGTAGTACATCGAGGAGACTGGGTTACTTCAAGTTTCTGCACGAGGAGGTGGATTGGCATTGGCTTCACCAGAAAAGACGGAGACTCATTGTCCTCAATTAAAGGCCCGTTAGTAGATAGAGTCCGTGCCCAGACGAAAATGCGAATCTTGAGATGCAATGCACAATGAACTATGTGTGGTGGCATGGTCCGTCTGAGGAAGAGGCGGTAGCTCATAAGGGCGCACAAGGGCTGCATTTGGGGTTTCGTCATGGTCGTGGTCAGGTCAGGTTATGATTGAACCCGTTATATTACGAACGATTACGGTTGTGAGACATATGGCTGTCCTGTAGTCCAAATCAAGTTGAAGTCATTTGTTGTCTATGTATCAATCTACAGACCGTGAAGCTGAATGGATCTATTACAGTACAGTAGCAAACCTCTACTTAACATGCTTAGTAGTCGGGCAAATGTGCATGTGCCCCTCTCCGTTTGTCACTCGCGTACTCTAAACCCCAGGTAAGCCCCGTCAATCAGCATTCCTCGTAATAAAAAGTCGGAACAAGGCAAGTCATCAGAGAGTCATTTATGGCCTGTGTGTACGAGTGTCGCAGCATGAAGTTCAAGACCGGAAGTACGCCTGATTGGGGATCTCGACACCTTCGATTTGCCCTCCAGAACCTTATGCTTCGCATCATGGGTGATCAAGACACAGTGCGTGTATCCTCATGGCGTGATTTTGGAGGTGCATCCTGTGATCGAGCGGCAGTCTGCAAACCTTGCACTCAACTCTATCACCGTCCGCAACCTTGGACAAATGCTTCTTTCGAAAGTGTTTGGTCAAGTCATTGGAGGTGTAGAACTCATGGGTGAGTTCGGAGTTAAATCCAAGGCCTGTCCGATACAGATAAAGCATCTCTTGGGCCGCTCCTTATCGTTAGTGATGAAAACAGATCGTATGGCGAGGTCCAACTGGCCACCTCAGGCGGATTAGAAGTAGAGCAATAACGGCGGCCTCTGGTGTCGACCGAGGGCGAGACCGGGGCACAGTGCATCCTTCCTGGACAAGGCAATATGTGGAAACAGCCTCGATGGCTTCATCCCTCCTTCGATATTGACCTTCGAGCGTGGTCACGATCGGGGCAGTGAGTTTCTTCATCAGCTGCCTTTGTGCTGTGCCCTGAGGTCGACAGGTGTTGTCCGTCGCAGGGTTGTCAAATCCGATGCCATGTATCTGACGCTCGATATCGTCTGTGGCTTGCTTGTCACTCCACTCGTCTCTGATTCTCTGTTTGGGTTCTCTCCGAAGCCTCTGCTTTTCGTTCCGTCTCGCTCGCTTGACTTGGTTGTACTGTTTGGAGCCTTGCGGCAGTTCTCGAAGAGCTTTTGTCAGCTCCCTGATAGTCGGATGCGTGGCGACCGATGCAGACTGCTCTGTTGTGAGGCCGGTGGGGCGACGCTCGGAGATGGAGTGATCTATGCTGCAAGACTGCTTCACGAGCGCCTGTTGTGGTTTCTGCCCTCGGAGGACGCCCCAAAGGTCGGCCGAAATGTTACGTCCGAGGTAATGTCTCTAGAAAGGATCGGAGTTGCCATGTCCTAGAGTGAGATTCCGGAGAGTTTCGCTAGTTGGGTCAAAATCCAGGGGGATGTTCGCTTCTAGAAGGAAACGCAACTTGCAGTTGGTGAGTGGGAGGATTATTCCAGCTGCCGACAATACACGTTAGCAACCTTGTATCATCCTACCATCAGTCGAAAAGAGATAGGTCATTCAGGATGTAGGGCAGCGTTTTTAACAGGACGAACCAAAGAACCAGCTTCCTTCCTTGACACGGCGAAAACTTCCAGGGTGATAATTGGGGAAGTAAGGCTATCTAACACATTTAAAGACCTACAATAGATCTCTCCTTACATGTCCAAGTCCATTTCCGTTCTCTCGATCCATCGACCTATCTACACGCATGTGTCGCACCTTACCAAGCCCCTTTATCTCGTCATGTTCAGCTTAGTAGAGAAGTGAACTTGCAGCGTCCCGAGAGACCGGCCCGGAAAGGAACTCGAAAAACTGCTGTGGATCTCGCTCCACGAAAGGCCTTGTCCTTTCAGTTGAACCAAGAGTTTGTTCTCCTGCTCCGAAAACGGGCCTCTGGACTTGGCAGATCGCCTCGCAGGCTTTCGTCTCTTCAGTGAAGAACCTGAAGGCCGACCAACTGAGGGATAGCAATGCGTTTGTTTTCGTTCTGTGGACGGCTGCTCCCATTGCAGTTGAAACGTCGATACGAATCCATCTGTGATGCGCTTCAGGACTGCATTCTTGAGAGGCCACTCATCATATTGCGCAAAGAAGGATCTGGGGTCTATCTCGTTATCGGTAGAAGCAGGAGAGACCTGTGGGTCAGAGTTCACTTGTCCTTGGTCGATTTGTAGCCCGCTCTGACCTTCGTCTTGGCTCTACTGCTAACTGCGATGACGTGTCCCGTCGTCTCAAAGCCCTGCTGATGCCAACAGTCTCATGGAAATTTCTTTTACGACGTTTGGGTTTTGGCTGACCGCGTTGGTCAGAATTGTTCTCACAGCCCTGGGGCCCTTGCTGGATTCTGTCCGGGTTGGCCTGATGTCCGATGCAGTCATCATTGGGTCCATGAGCGCCCTCCTTATCGCTAGATTCCGAGTCCGAATCGACTTCAGCATAAGCGCCCGCTGGTAGTCGTGATTTGCGAGCTCGGCGATGGACTCGAGGTAAGTGTACAGGAGGAGCATCTGATGCTGTCGTCTCAGCATCCATGTGCATTTCGTCCAGTGAACGTGAACAAATGCTAGAACGAAACGCCGTTTCTGTGCTCAGTAGCTCGCTTCGATCGGTTGAACCGGGGCTACTTTCGTCATCACCAGCGTTTGGCCACGGATTGAGAGTCTCTTGTCCGGAGAGGAGTTGGCGTGTGTAATCTTCGGCGTGACATGGCGTGTCTTGGCCTAGGGATGCCAAATTAGAGTACGGCAGCCCACTGTCGGCTAACACTGAGCTTTGCATCGTGCCAGATTTTTCGGCAGGCCCTCTCGGAGATTCTGGGGTCTCTTCAACTTCCGCGCTGCTGGATGGCACGACTTGTTGATGTTGCAGCCAGGTCGTGAATTCATCATGGGCTGCTTGACTCACTTGGGGCAGTTGCTCGGTGTATGGCAGAGTGCTTTCTTTGACAGGTATCTCTAAGCTGACAGTCGATGCATTCTGAGTCGACTGTTGAAGGAGAGCCGGGTCGGCTGTCTTGTTGGCAGCTTGGGGACCTGGGTCTGGGTGCGAGGGAAGCATTGCCGCAGCGAATGCCCCAGATGGCAACGAAGGGAACGAGACTGGTAGACAGTTGGCAGACCAAGCCGCCGTCTCAGGCGAGTTCTCGTGCGTATTGAAGTCCACTGCCACAGGCTTCTTGGCTGGGCTGTGGCCCATATCGCCTGTTGCCGGGCAGTGTTCAATCCGCAGATACGGCATATCGTTTGAAATCACTTTGCCCTCAACATTTGCCTCTGGAAGGGATTGGGAGAACACGAATGGGTTCTTGTCTCTATGACTCGTGTTCTGATCGGGTGTGGTCGTTGTGTCGTCTGAAGGAGGTATCACGGTTCTTCGCATCGTCGAACAGGAAGGACCGAGAGGTTGTCTTATTGTGCTTCGGGCTGCCGGTGGACGCACAGCTTGCGCTGGAGCCGAGTAGAATGAAATGTTGTCAAGATTGATTGGCATTTTGGGTTGAACGTTGGAAGAGTTCCAAAGGTCTGATGTCTGAGAAGATGAGACTGCCAAAGTCTATCAGCCAGACGCCCTCGTTTAAGTAGTCGGTGTTCAGCGACGAGTGCAATGCGTTAACGCTTCCGTGTTGTCTGCGAAGCAGAACTGCGAGCACGCCAAGAGGTCCCCTCTGAACGCTGATATCTGCGCATACGATGCCTGGACTGCCAAGGCACATTCGTCCCCCACCGTTCGTAGACAATGTCGTATTGTTGCCAATCAGCAGTCGCCAGAAGGATACGCCCTTATGGATGCTACTCAACCTGAGACCGGCCCCTCGAAGTCCCGTATGCATCTCTCAATAGTTCTCGGAGTAGCCGATGGCCTGATACGGCATGGTATGCCATCTTGAGGACTGAAAAGGTCATATCGCCGTTCGGGCTGCCATTCCGTTTGCCCGAGGGGTCATGCGCTGGGTAGGAGGGATGCTGGCTAGGCCGAAGCGCAAGGCAGACACGCATGAAGCCTGCCATGCAGCAACCGTCATGATGCGTCCATATCAAGAGGCTCGTGCCGCAATAGGCAATCAGCGCGCGCATCATGAGAGTCGGTCCGGAGGTGACTGAGGAGCCAAATAGGGAAATGAATGAGGTCGGTCCAAGCGCTGAGTTCAAGGCAAGACTGACCAGCCTCCTTGCGTCATCAAGTTGGCGCTTGGTGAACAGGGGGTAATTTGTGACTGTGATTGGCAGCGAATCTAGGCCATTGCGCGATATGCAACCGAGGCACTGAGATATGTAAGTCTCAGGAACCCATCGCAAAGTCACCCAGCAGAAAGTGAGTCACAACAGCGCATGACGGTACTCTTCACTCTGCCTGTCATGGTAAAACAGTCAGCCTGGTCCCCATCTCCGGTTCACAACCGTCCAAACCTCCTGCACTCGAGTCAGAATAAGTTCATAGTATCGAGATACGATTTGGGGCCAAACCTAGAGCAGACGGAGCAGGAGAGGAAGGCGCCTAGGTCGTGTGGAACGTCTCGATGTGGGGTGAGAGAGGCGAGATAGCGGCGTAACTGGGCAAGGTAGCAACGTAAGAGACAGAGCCACACTGCCCTTGGGCAAGGGTACGATTCAGGAGAAGCGGGAAACCCGAGCGATGAATTGTTTGTGAAAGTAGTGGGAGGGAAGGTAGAGGGTACGAAAAGTTGACGTCGAGACGAGAGCGACGCCGTATTTAAGGGCGGCGTCAACTGGCACGGGCAGGGGTGCACGTGCAAAGCGGCGCGGGCACCATGCCCGATTGGAACGTGCCGCCAAACCAGGAGGGGCAGGCAGCGACTTCTCGATTACTAATAACTTAATTCCTATACTTAATAAAAAGCTTTAAAAAACGACGTTAAGGATAAATTTAAAAAATAATATAGCCTTATTAAATAACTAATACTCTTAATAAAGCTAAAGCTAAGTATAATTAACTAAATATATCTTTTTAAAAAATATACCTCCTTTATTTAATAAATAATATCCAAAACGATCTCTCGATTATAAAAAAAAAATCGTATAAAATAATAAACTATTAAATTATTAACTTTATTACTTAAAATATCTTTAAAAATATAAAAAAAGAACTTATTAATTTATTAAATTACTCTCTTTATATAATAATCTAGGTTTTTAAATAAAAATACGTTAAGCTCGCTTATAATTACCTAAAAAGAATTTAATATAATTATAAATAAAGTAAACTCTAATATTAATTTAATTATATAAATTAAAGATTTTTATTTTATTTACCGCTATATAATATAATTAAAACTATTTAAAGTCTAGGGGACTCTTACTTTTAAATTATTCCTCTATATAATAGTACAACGCTTCGTTCTAAATTAATCTAACTAAAAGCTTATAAATATTATAAAAATAAAATAAAGAGGCAAAATAATACCCGATATAAGATATTATACTAAAATATTCAATAACCTTTTATATAAAAAAGTAGTATATAATAAAAATCGTAAATAAAACCTTATAATCTTTATAATATTAATAGGTCGTTTAGATTCCTTTAAATAAAATAAAGTAAGACCTAACTTATTTATAAACTACTTATATAAAAAGCCCTATTACTAAAAACTAATTAAATATATAAAAATAAAGTTCGCCTTTATTAACAAACAAAATAAGAATACATTTAACTAGACGGACCTAAAATTAATAAGATAATTAACTACCTAAATACTAATAAATATAATAATCTCTATATAGACTTTACTTAAAAAAAACTTATATAAATAAAGGCCCTAGCAGATCTAATATTAATAACTAAAGAAAAAATAAAAACCTAAATAGACCGGGAAAATTAGTAAATAAATAGGAATTAAAAGGGTCTTATTTTTTAAATATTATAATTACTATTATTAATATTATTTTATTATTAAAGCTAAATATAATAAATAATAAAAATATTAATCTTAGTATTTTCTTAATCCTTTTTATAAGGCCATACTTCTTTTTTAAATATATAGTTATAAATAATTATAGTACAGTCTACTTTATTAATAACTAATTACTTCTAAAACTAAAATTAATTTAATAATATAATAAGAGTAAAAATATAGATTTTAAAATAGCATTTTATTTTATATTTATTTAAAGAACGAGGATTATTTAAAACATACTTATAAAACCGAAAAGATTTAAAATTAAAAACCTAACCCTTTATAATATCGGCTTTATTAAGAATTTTTATATTAATATTATATTAAAAGCCCTACTTTATAAAATAGATATCTAATATTCCGGTTTTAACTATATTTTTCGCTTTAGCGACTAATTTAAAAATATCGTAATTAAATAGTTTATTAAAAAAGTTAACTTAATCTTTTTAAAATATAAGCCCTATTCGTCTTATTCTCTATTTAAAAGCTTATTTTTATTAATAAATATAAATTCTACCCATAATTAATATATACCTCGTTTTTTATATTAAATAAAAGGTAATTAAATAAACTCTATATAGCTCTAGTACCTTCGGTCTAAATATTTAGTACTAATAGTATTAAAAAAGCTCGTATTAATAGCTTAAGGGGTAAGGATTAAAGGACTAAATTACCTAAAATATTAATATTACGTAACTACCTATATAAAATAAATTATCTTAAAATATACTTTAAAATAAAGAGCTATTAGGCCGTATTTTAAAATTATTTAGGACCTTTTTAACTACCCTCTTATTTATAAATAAAGTAAATTTATCTTTATATAGCGTATAGTATACCTTAATCGGGGTTTTAATAGCTTTATTATTATTAAAAAGCTTAATAATACTATATTTATTAATAATTAAAAAATAGGTCTTATTAATTATATTGTTAATTTGGTATAGTACGATCTCTAAACTATTTATAACGAGGTTAAGAATAAGCGTATCGAACGCCTCCTTTAAATAAGTATATATATTTAAATATTAAGTATATATAGTTATTATTACCTTATAAAACTCTTTTTTTTTATATTGCCTTAAATATAGTCTTTAACTAGGCCGCATATAACCTTAATAAACTTTAAACTTTTATAAGTTTTTTTAATTATTTTATATTTTTTAATAGTACTTATAATACCGGATATATAATTAGTATATAATACTAGGGTAGCTAGGCGGTTTATTTTATATATATTAGAAGTTTAAATAAATTATCTTTAGTAATTACGGGGCTAGCTATTAGGTATAATTATAGATTTATCGTCGGAGTATATAAAATTATCGGATATTTAAGAATTATACTTAAAAATATTAGCTATATTTTTAGTATTTGTAAAGATATTTTAATAAAAGTCGTTATTTAGGATTAGTATAAAGGTCCATAATATAAGATACTAGGCCTAACCTTTATTAAACAGTACGTTATAGTAAATAATAAAAAGCTACATATTAAAGTGGAAGATTTTATAGGCTTCTTCCTTATTAATAATCTATAAAAATATTACTTAATTCTAGAAGATTATAATTTTAAATGTATTTTCTTATAGGTATAAATATCCCTTAATAATAACAAAATCTCGTAGCCGATATACGAGTATTAGATTTTATAAAAAAGTCTAATATACCTTTTTACCTAACTTAAGGTTAGAGTTTAATAACTCTTTACTATTATAAATATAAATTATTTAAAAATAACTATTAAAAATAAGATCGTTTAGCTACCGTCCGTTCTAATAAGTACTATAATAATACTTATAGAACTAATAATCGTAGGAATAGTATTTACTAATAATATTAAGGACTAAATAGAATACCTTAACTAAAAATATAAAAATACCTTTAATAAAGTAAAAATTAATATAATTTGATAATAAAATTATAAATACTAGAAAGTAAAGTAGGGTATATAATAAGTAGGTTATAAAATATAAATATAGGAAAGTAGGTAATAAAAATACAATTATAGTAAAAGGTGGGTTACCTAGGGCGGTATCTTAAATTTTAAATATAGGTTAATAACCGTCCGATTATAAGTAAAAGCTATATATTTTTATAAAGATAAATAATCTCCTTAATACCTTATTTACTAATATTAAGGCGATAAAAAACCGTTATATTATTAATAAAAGCTTATTAACTAGTAGCTAATTATTATAAACGGCGGGGACTTTCTTTAATAATTACCCCTTTTTAATTGAGAATATACGCTATAATTACTCTTTAATTTCCCTATAATATTATAATAGAATTATCCTAATCTTATTATAATAAAATCTTTTCTACTCGGTATAAGTAAATATTCCTTATTATTTTCGTAGCTTACCTCGCTTTCTTTAATATATTATAGGTAGTTTATTAAGTTCCCTTATAATAGGCTATATTAATATTAAGATACGGACCGGTTAGCTTAACGTATACTTATTATTAATCTCTACTAGCTACTTTTCAAAAGCTTTTACTAATTTAAATAAATCTATAGCGTCTATATTTATCTATACGTTATAGAAATATAAGTAATCCTTTTATTTAATAAACTACTATATTTTACGCGATCTATATTTATATATTTAATATCCGTTCGATTTTATAATAATTATATTAATCTTTTTATTTTTCTTACCGTAGGTTATCTATGTTTATTAATATTATTAATAAAGCGGTATAGTTAAACGGATCGGTTTATAGATCCTACGTTAAGATAAAATATATTATAAATATTATTAAATATATGTTTATAATTAGTAATAGATCGAGGCGGTAGGCTAGCGGTCCGACTTATTTTAAAACCTTAATTAGTTCGGTATACTATAATAAGACTTTTTTTAAAAGATTTCTTAAAAGCTTATACCTCTTTCTTAATTATAAGTATATAAAGTCATTTAAGGTAAAGATTATATATCGATAGCTCTTATTAAATATATCCTTTATATATATTTACCCCTCTATAATAAAAAATTTTACTTCCTCCTAAAATATATCCTATTTAACTTTATTAAATATAATTATAAGTAGGCTTATTAGACCGTTAATTTTAAAGCTATATAGTATCTTATTAAATATATATTAAATTATAATTATATAACTATTATTAAAGCTAAATTATATAAAAATTACTCTATAAAGCTAATTTTTATCTGGAAATGTTATATACTAAGCTCAGAAAGAGGATTCTATAGTTTAGTTTATTCTTTTTAACTATCCGTTTATTTATAAATAATAGGCCGTAAAAAACTTAAATAATATATTAAATTCTTTCTATATAATTTATTAAAATTAGGAGAGAAACTTAGGATCTTTATTAAAGATAATACTTTTTAAAATTCCTTAATTATATAATCGCAATATTTAAAAAAAGCTAGCGGCCTAGTTAGAGGCCGTATATATAATATAGCCTAGTATAATAATAACGGATTTTAAAAATTTATTAGTTACTATAAAAATATAGTTATAAAATAAGAAATTTTATAGTTTCTATAGGGAATTATCCGCTAAAATCTCAGATAAACCTATAATAAAGTCTATAATAATTATATAAAACGGAATTACCGATATAAGAATAAGTTATAACGTACTTATTAGTTTTCCTCTTTTTTTTTCTAATAGGCCGTAAATAGGATAGTAATAATAATATTTTTTAATCTTAAATATTAAGTTAGATATAACAAATTTATTTTATAATTTATATTATACTCGTTTATCTCTATAATACTAGTTTTTATTATATACTATAATAATAAGTTCGTTAGTTGCTTTGTTTAAAATATATAGCTTTTATTTATTAATATACTTAATAAAATATAATAGACCTTAATTAAGATTAAAGGGTAAAGTAAAGTCTAGGTCTATATTATATAATATATCCTTATATTATTTTTATTTTAAGGTTATATTATATCCTTAACAAATTCGCTATTTTATATCTAGTAAAATACTATTTTAATTAGTCCTATCGGTAATTAAGCTTATATTTAATTATATTAAAAATAAGGTTTTAAAACATATTAAGGGTTAAAATCGAGTATAAAAAAGAATATAATAAATTATAGCCCTTAAAAAGTGACTTTTTAATAAAGGTTTAGTAGTTTAAATTAGAGCTAGGCTTATAATTATTATATAGTTATAATAGGGATATTAATATTGAATATAAAGAACGGTTATTTATTAAAAATATAGAATAAGTATAAAGCTTATCTTAAAATAGAGGGTATAAATGAGTATAGGCCTTAATGATTATATAACCGAGGTTATATAATATACGGTGAGGCTACGGATGATTAAAGCTATTATAATAAGGCTTTAATAGCCTACTCTCTACTCTTTTAATTTATATAAACCTATAGGGCCTATAGGATCTCTTAAACGGTACTATAAGGGGTTAATTATTAATTTTAAAGGCTTTTAGGCCTTTCTCTTTATAATAGACTTTTTTTAAAAGATCTACTTTATTACGACCTAATATATATAACGAAACCAGGGTCTTACCTTATAAGGCCTATAGCGGCTATAATATTATATATATAAAAGAACGGATTTAAAGTAACTCTTTTTAAATCAAAAGAACTATAAATAAGTTATATAATAATAAAAAAGACCGATAAATAATAAATAATTTATAAATAAAATTAATAAAATAAAGGCAGTTTACCCTTATAGGATTAATATTATAATATCGGTCTTAATTATAAAGGAACTATTTAAATAATATATAGGACTTATATATAAAATAAATTTAAGCTAGGTTTAAAAATAGACTTTTAATAGCTTCTTTAATAATTAACTTAATATTAGATTTTACGATTATTTTTAATTATCTTTATTAAAAACTCTTTTAATAAAACTATAATTAATTATTAAAGCTTTAATTATTTTATAATTTATAAATATAGTTTTAAGGAAGCTATTTATAACTATATAATATTATTTTTTTAATATTATAGCCTCAACTTTTATAAATATATTTATAATAATTAACGAGCTATAATATTTTAATTATTTTTATTTAATAAGTTTACTTTATAAAGAACTAATTAAATAATATAAATATATTAACCATTAAGAGTAATAATACTATATAGTTCGTAAAGGTAGTTATACTTATTATTTAATAACTATATAATATAATATTTATTTTTAAAAATAAGAATGAGTAGCTTTATATTTAATTTTTAATACTATAACCTCTTTTTATATTAAAAGATTAGATTTTAATTTTAAAAAAGTTAAAGGAAAAATTGATTTTTAAATTAATAAAGAGCTATAAGTTTGTTTTAGTAGCTTTGTCTTTAATAAAGACTTATTTTATAATTTAAATAAATTTTATAAGGTTATATAACGATATATTTAAATAAAAACTAGTTAAAGATCTTATTTTAATATTAATAATATCAGCTTTAAAAAAGATTCTAATAAATTAAAATATAGAAATATCGATCTACTTAATAACGAATAAACTTTATAGTTCTATAAAATAAGGGAACTTAAAAAAGTATTAATAATACCCCGAACTTAAAAGGATTATTTTCTATTTAATATTAAAGATATATTTTATAAAAAGTTATTTTAAATAGAGTATTTAAATAATAAATACTTTTAATACTTTTTATTTAAAAAGGATAATTAATTCTATTTATAAAAATATAATAACTAATTTATTAAGGACGTTTATATTAATAATTAATTATTAAATTAGATATTTATTTGTTTTAATAAAGCTAATAAAGCGACTTTTAAACTAAACCTAAACTTTTTTATAAATTATTAATATAATTAAAATATAGATTAATATAAATATAGATATAATTAATATTAGATTTATTATATTTATAAAGTATAAATATATAAAGAACGATAAGAACTAATTAAATAAAAAGACTAATTAGAAAAGAAAATAATAAAGAATTAAAAAAGCTAATTATAAAAGAACGACGAGAGGTGAATATTAAAAATAAATTCTTAAATATAATTAGATAATATAATAATATATATTTATTAATTTTATTTAAAATATATAAATAAAGACTATATATTATAATCGATAGCGGTATATAAAAAGGTTATATATTATTAAAAATAATAAATAAACTTAATATATTATAGGTATATAAAAATAAACTATATTAACTATAAAACGTAATATTTAGTTATAGGTACTTTATAAGCTTGTTTTTAAGCGGTATTTTATATCTTAATATATTTTTTAATAAGTAAAATTAACTTAATAAAGAGTAAGGGATTTAAGGAGGATTTAATATTATTTAAGTTAAATAGGTCCTAGACGTCCTTTAAATAGGCCTTTATTTATAAAATAAGGTATTATTTTAGCTAATTTTATTAATAATTAAGTTTATATTTAATTATATCAGATATTTCAAAAGATATATTTATTTAAAAATAAGGTTTTTAAACGTATTAAAGGTTAAAATCGAGTATAAGAAAGAATATAGTAAATTATAGCCCTTAAAAAATAACTTTTTAATAGAAGTTTAATAGTTTAAGTTAGAGCTAGGTTTATAATTACTATATAATTATAATAAAGATATCGATATTAAATATAGAGAACGGTTATTTATTAAAAGTATAAAATAGGCACGAAGTTCGTCCTAAAATAGAGGGTATAAGCGAGTATGGGCCTTGGTGATTATATAACCGAGGTCACGTGACGTGCGGTGAGACCATGAATGATTGAAGCTATCACGACAATCATAGAATTGGTGCGACATAATTCTTCTTTCTGTGTAAGACAGTTATAGATAGGTCAGATGGAACGATTTGTATCGAATCCTGTGTTGTCGTATCACAACCCCGTTCTTGGCCTTGTGCCTTGCTAGTGATTAGCTGGACATGAAGTCATAGTTGAGAGGCCGGATCGAATCGGAGAAGTAACAAAGGTATAATAGCGGAGCACGCCGCTTCTGGTATCTAGAGTATGCTCTGTCTCACAAGTCTGGTCACAGTAAGAGCATCTAGTTTCATAGTCGCATTTTTGTTTTACGGGACTTTAAGTTAGGAACAATCGACTCTTTTTCATCTTGTTCTAGATACTACTTTCCATGAGTTTGACAACGCGTTTCTGTAATTGATTTGATAGTTTGGTGGTCGGGCCCTGGTGGGGGTCTTGTCGCTGAGACGAGAACTTCGACTGGATGTTGTAGGTAAGGCAGATCGATTGTCACATCAAAGAAGATTCCGAGCCTCATTCGGAATAAGCAAGCCAAAGGTGGCGCCTTATTGATGATCCGGTACTTGTTCGCGCATCAGCCACGCTTGTGCAAATGCACATGCAGCTTTACTTGATTCGAGAGTGCGTACAGATGCGGTAAATACTGGCAGGCAGAATGGCCACGATTGGGAGCGCGCGCACTGATGCCGTACGGCTTCTGGCTATAGAGACTCCGGTCTCCACTCAGCCCCAAACAGTAGCCCATATACGTGTGGGCCTTGATGCCGCTCACATCTGCCCCTTGGGGAATGCCCTGTCTACCCCCAGAGCTGTCGCCTCGCCCGGATGTAAGCTCGCCTGTTTTCCATCATCCAGCGAGAACCAATGCCGCAAGCCCACCATACTCCTAGGAAGAGGATCGGAAAGTAAAATGCGTCGGATATGGTGATTAGGGGGTCCTCTATGCATGTGGACATCGCCAACATGGAGAAGAAGACCAAGCTGATGACGAACAGGCCCACGATGCCTTCCACACAGAAGCTATCAGTCATGCCATCTCCCACGTTGCTTGAGATCTGCATATTGTCCGGTAACCGCAGGGTGCTCTGAACTTTTCGGACACGTCGTATGAAAGCTGGCTTGTGTGGTAGAATCAAATACCTGAGCAAATTTCCGAGCGTGATGTTGACAATATAATGGATGGATCCGGTGGCCCAAGAATCAGACATGGCCCCTACCCTGATGATACGGTCCATTTCAGTCATCCAAGAGTCGGACATAACTTCGTCGGCCTTGATTTCGTCGGCCATTTTGCAGCACGTCCAAATCAATCAGTGGGGATGTACTCGATAATTCCAATGGTGCAATGTGCGTAGAATCAAGGGCTGAGAGGAGACTCTAGACGGTGGTAGTGATGATGTGAGCGACTAAATGGTTTGGTGAGTAGTGTCAAGAAGACAAAAAGTGCAACACATCTTATAGGCACGTTCTTATAAAATAGTCATGGACAATAATGACAGGACTCCGGAGATAGGAAAGTTCAATGTCAAAGGTTGCTCAAACCACAGTTGAAAATATAAAGTTTACAGAAACCGCCACTGTCTCGGACCCTTTTGTGGCTTCGGCTCAAAGATCGGTGAGCTGGCTGCAAATAATGCACGTTTACTGTTTGTTGTGTCAATACCTAGATCGGACTTTCGAGCTGACCTGTCTGTCAACAGGCAGAAGTGATGTGACCGACGGGCTTGGTCCTGCTGGAATTGATTCTACTCTCAATGCAGCCACACCTGGACCGCTGCACTGCTTGTAGGCACCCATGCCATCATTAGCTTCTGAACGTGCACAGCCATTCTGATCAATAAAAGCATCTAGTGGCAAGCAGATATCAGACTGCAACGCATTGTGGTGTGGTATTGCGTGCCCCATCAAACGTTGTTACGTTGATATGGTCAGGTTGTGGGATGCAGTGACGTAGTCAAGTTGAAAATGGAGCAAAGTCATTGGAAGTTTCCTTGGAAGTCGAGGGCGACATTGAGGTCAAGAAGCGGTAAGAGCACAAAAAACATCTTCAAAGCATCGAGATAGTGGCGACGGACAGACAGACTACCCTAGATGCCTCGATCTACCACAAGAACAAGAACCAAAGTATCCCAGCTACCTATCTACTGCAATCCCAAGCCGTGTGCCTGAGCCCCTCCACCAGTGTTCTCGTACTTATGTTGGTGCGGAAGGGAGTTCGAGAAAAGTCAAGTGGACGTGTTGTCCGACACAGTAGGGGGATCGGGCGGACACATCAACGTGAAGGAAAGACCCTGCCGTTGTCATTTCCATCCATGGGATGCAAACGCTGATCATGACGTGGGCCGTGCCATGAGTGATCATGGAAGTCGTAAAGCACATGCAAGAAGTCAGTCATAGCCACTTTAGAAAGATGCGAAGGGAGTGATACTCACAAAAGAATTGGCGGGCTGTCCAGAACCATGGGGTCAAGTGAACAGCCCCCAAACCCCCAGAGTCCGACAAGATAAGCCATAAGCAAGCTGGAGGTAGTGTAATACCAGGAGCTCAGAAGAGAAAAAAAAGATAAGTCTAGGATTCCCGGAGCTCGAGAAAAAAGAGAGCTCCAGGATTCCCGGAACTCGAAAAGATAGGCCACGAGCAACCTGGAGGTAATGTAATACCGGGAGCTCAAGGGAGAAAAGGTCCAAAAATAAAGTCGATAGACTTACATCACGCGTTCGATTTCACGTCGGGTGACTGAGAACTTCGAATCCACTATTGGGATTGCAAGTAACGCGAAGAGGAAGGCCGGTCCGTGGATCCAATATCGAAGTTTGATCTGATCTTCGAGCCCCGAACTCTCCGTATCATATCCACTGAATCCCGTGAGGGAGGATATCATGAACCGCGGGAAAGCGACAATCCTGTCGTAGGCGTAGCCCTGGGCGAGGACTAGGAGAATATCAATAACGCTGTATAAGAATGAAGGCATCTTGATCGCTGGTGAGTCAAACGCTCGTAATGAATAGATGCGGATGAAGAAGAGAAAAAGAAGAGAAGAATGACGACGGCGGATGACTGGGGGATTAAGTCAATGGGTCGGGGCATCTGTTGTATCGGATCAAAGGGGGGAGCTTCTCGCACGTCGGTGCCATTCTGATGATGAAACAGTTAATTTAGGGAGTTACGATACTCGCAATGGTGCTAGAATAGAGATTGAGAAGGCGTGGTGTTCCGAATGCAGGCTGCAGCATGGGGCGATGGACCACTTGCTTCAACGTTACGGCACCCGACTCTAGATTTGCTTTCCGCAACTTCAGGATCATGCTCAACCCTGCTTGGTGAACTGTTCGTTCTTGCAATTTGGTCATGTTCGGAAGCTTTGGTTGTTGGTACACCCGCCTCGGAGCCTGGATATCACGAGTATGGCTTCTTCAACGCCCACGGCCACATATCGAGAAACCCACCTGCCACAGAATTGAATGCCACCAAGAAGCAGCCAGAACCGACGAGTCAGTGCAGACTGATAGTCTAAGATTGTTCTTCCGTCGGGAGGTCCCTGCGTCACTGAGTAAACTCCCAGAGGTCTTTCTCGCAGCAACCGCAGGGTGCACTTCCCTCCATTTCCATTTCGAGGGCCTCTGTATCATTGATCTTGCGGTTTCTCGACTTAGGCATTAGAGTAGGATGTCTCTCGAGGTATGCTTGGGTCACGTTCGACACCCATAGAATCTACGTAGCTTGCCGCTACTATTGCGCAGGTAAGTATCTTGTGAGGTACTTAGAAACGATTACCATTCGCCACATGAGTTCGCGAGAGAGAGCAGATCTTCAGCATTCGATAGGTGTTTGATGACATGATGAAGGTATGTTATTCTAGCAAAGACAGTATCATCAATGTCATGCGGACGTGGCTTGTCCATAAGTCACCTTGTGAGGATGATTAAAGCAAGTCTCTCAAGAATAGGCGCGATGATCAAGGTACGTTCGGAGAGACTACTACTGCTCAGGAGAAGGTCTGTATGCTCGCCTCTCCCAACCCTGCCCTTGTCATTAACAGCAACTTCATCACGGGGGCAGTGAGATTTGCGAAGCGGGTAAGGGTCTGGGGGTACATGTACTCTTTACCAACAGTCACAAGCGGACTTTCAAATGCAAGTACGATGATGTAGCTATCAAGCGTGTGTCGCCATATTCGTTGGCGAGACTATGCTATTAATCACGATATCAATTCATACTGTATGAAAAAAGAAGAGCAAAAACAGATGGACTTGTCACATGGTAATTGGAGGCTAGATGAACATACTCAGTTGTCGACAAACGCACTCACTACGGCTCTGCCAGGCACCTCGGCTCTCGCCGGGGATCGGGAATTGCCTCACGTTGGTACACATACGTCGATTGAGCTGATACTAACCAAGCATCCAAATAAGTAAAGTGAATTCGATTTATAGGAAACTATGTTTATTGAGCCGAGCGCTGTGGACGATGCCCGTTGAAGCCCGGTTGGGAGTAAGTTGTTTGCAATTGGCGAAACGTAGTAATGACGATATGTATGGACAACATTGGAATCGTCGGCGGTGAACGCATTAGAGGAAAGATGAATCCCAGCGCGACCGCTCGTCTTTCCAAGAGAGGTAGCATCAAAAATGCAGGCCTCTCTTATCAAAATTGGAACTGTCAACATGAAATCGTCGCGAATTGGCGGACGGTTTTGATACTTTGACATCTTGAAAAATCGACATCAATACGTCCCGTGTCACGAACATCTGTAAACCTTAGGCTAACCTTTGCAACAGTTGACTTAGAATGTGTGAAGAGGACTGGGTTATCAAACGATAAAGCAGGCACGATTTTAAATACCGGAAATGATCTTCCACCGACGACAGCCGGCCGCCTCTTCATGTGAGAACGCGTATTGTTGTCTATCGTTTGTTCTAGCTCTTTAATCTTGTAATCTTGTGACCAGTCGGTTTTTTCAAATCCTCATTCCTATTTGGGGGTATCACCGTAAGGTGGAGTATGTGAAGTGCCGGATACCCGACGGGAGTCGTGGCGGCACAATCGTGCAAAATCGCCATCCCGTCATCCAGATCCCGAATGGCGGAGACGCCGCGCTACGCTCGAAGTGTGCCTCGAGTCCGAGATATGTAAAGCATTCAGACTTATCGATCCCATGGACGACTGGCCCCATGGTCCCTCTAGACCTCGGCTTTGGCTACACACACCACCGTGTTAAGTCTGCAATCATCTGCAAACCCCTGCCTTGGCGGCGTGGTGCCAAGTAACCAACCAACACCAGCGCAGCATTTGTCTTATCCGCCGGCCGAGTCCCCGCAGTGCTAAGCTTTCCCGGCACTTATGTTTAGTCCGCACGGATAGCGCCATACCTTAAGGCTACTCTTAAAAGGAAAGTGGTATTTGCAGGCGGATCCCTGGATACAACGGTCAACATCAACGGCTCTCACGATGATTCCGGATAAGGGAGGAGCTCAGTCGACGCCGGATGTACTTGGATGCAACAGCATGATTCTCCATCACGTTCTATGGCTTAACGTCCATTTTCAAAAAGTTCCTCGGGAAACACGGCATCGCGATATCTACTAACCTGCGGTAAGAAGGATAGCGGCTTCATTGCATCGGGAGGCCGGAACAATGGCGTGAGATATTGACTGCTGGCTGGCCGTTGTCGATGTTTCGAATGAGCATCACAAAGGGTATAAAGATGAGCTATGTTCTTGGCCAAGAAGACAGAATTTAAGACAGCATCGCCAGCATCAATCCCAAGAAGCCCCTTGCCATCTCACCTTCGGTCTCATCCCATCCATCCTCATTCACACCAGTCAAAATGAAGTTCTCCGCTTTCGTTCTCGCCGCCGCTGGCATTGTCGCCGCCGCTCCCGGCACTCAGCTTGTCCAGCGCAACTACTCTCCTCTCACCCCTCGCTCGTCCCGCTCCCGCTACAACTCTTCTCCCATCAAGAGACTCTCGACCGAGGCCGTCGAGACCCTTGAGAAGACCTCCGGCGTCAAGAACGTCGACTACTCTAGCAACTGGGCCGGTGCCGTCAAGATCGGAACTGGATACAACCATGTCACCGGCACCATCACCGTCCCCGAAGTCAGCGGCTCCAGCGGCGCCGCCGCCTCCGCCTGGGTCGGCATCGATGGCGACACTTGCCAGACTGCCATCCTTCAGACTGGTATCTCCTTCTACGCCGACGGCACCTTCGACGCCTGGTACGAGTGGATCCCCGACTACGCCTACAGCTTCTCCGGATTCTCCGTCTCCGTCGGTGACTCCATCAAGATGACCGTCGACGCCTCCTCCAAGACCAAGGGTGTTGCCACCCTCCAGAACCTCACCACTGGCAAGACCGTCACCCACACCTTCACCAGCACCCCCTCCACCCTCTGCGAGACCAACGCCGAGTGGATCGTCGAGGCCTTCGAGGAGAACGGCAGCCAGGTCACCCTCGCTGACTTCGGCACCGTCGTCTTCACCGGCGCCGCCGCCTCCGGCTCCAGCGGCTCCACCACCCCTGCTGGAGCTGATATCATTGATATCTCCCCCAACAGCGGCCGCACCATCGAGGCCTCTGCCTCCGTCAGCGGCAGCACCGTCACTGTCAAGTACGTCGGCTAAATATTCACTCAACAGAGTATATTCAATGATGAGACGACAAACACCTTACCTTAGGTGGTCAAATACAGGGTGGGATCCTGTATCCATGGGGTGGGAAGTGGTGAGGGGCAGATGCTTGGTTGGTCCAATTCTGAGTCGAATGGAAGCATTCCACTCCTATTTTGGTGATTGATGATTGAGATGGGGTTACGATACGGTCTTTTGACCTTTCATCTTGTGCATATTGGATAGCATTCACAGTAAATAACAGAACATTCTGCATTCGAGCTCCCCTTCATGCGCATGCACTCAACATTGGACATGGCCTCAAGGGTTTGATCCCTAGATGGGCTGGCGATTTGTTGCCTTATTGCTCTATTTTCGCAAGTGTGGTTCCGAGCATAATCAGTACGTACATAGATCAGATCTCTCCGGTAGTCTGTTGAAGGAGCCATACCCCAGAAGCTTTAAGGGACAACCTACCGGTACCCGACTCAATCTGCTCAGGCACAACTCCAACAAGGTTGAGATAAAGTTCTGACACGGCATGTACTAACCAACCTGGGGCATGTAATTCCTTGCTAAACCAATTTATGTCGGCTCTACGGGCTCTGCCACTCATCCCAAACTGATGGGAGAACAGATAAGGTGGAGGTGAAAGAGTGCAAAAGGGCATCATTTCTTAACGATGATGATGAATTCCTCAGCGTATCCCGTATAAAGGGAACGATGGGTAAACTAAGACACCAACGTTGAGTTATGTCAGGCCAGGGCGTTATATATGAGTAATAATATGTGCATGAATAGTTTAACGGATACTACAGAATCTCTTCTCACAACGCCCTGCCTCAACTTGAAACCTTCTGCATCTAGAAGTCACTATGTCCGGTAGTGACTTGATGGGAGTGCAAAAGTTGCAAAGCCTAGTAAGGCCACTGGAAAGTGGTCGAAATATTCACAGACCAAGGTGCCCCCTCCGACAACGAGTTCACGCGGCGAAGCATGAACTCGCTGTGTCTAAACGCCACACTTGGAGCGTACTGAGGCACCATGTGACCACTAATCTTCGCAGTCGAGTGGGTGAAGCCGCGCTCAGTGTGAACAGAGCCTTGCACATTTGCGCCAGCCCAGCTAGGAACGTTGTCATCAACATTGTTGACGGTGGGGATGAGAAGATCCTCGGAAGGCTGCTTCTGGAATCCTTGCTGGCCATTCCACTTGATATACTGGATGGCAAGGGTGGTGACGTTGGGCTTGATCACATAGTCTGCCAGACCGGAGCCGACGTGGACGTTGTTCGTGCGCTCTACGAGTGTTTGGAACTTCTCCTCGTGCTCGGTGCCATTGTAGTTATCGTTGTAGTCGACAAAGACGGGGTCCTGGCACTCGCTCCACGTGGGGTAGTCCACGGGTACGTGGATGACCTTTCTGACTTCGGGCCTGTTGAAGTACAAGGTGGCGTTGGGAGGACTGTACATGATAGAGGGGAATCCCAGAACATCCCAGAGAACGGGGCATGTGTCGAGAATGTGGTATCCATTGAAACAAGGGTTGATAACCGTTGAGATCGCGTCAAAGTGGGCGATGATATCGCATTCATCCTTAACATTCGCTGCTGGCCAAGGACGCGCAGGCGGGGGGTAAGCCAAGTGCTTATTGAAGTACGCGTCCAATTGACAGTTCTTGGCGTCTTGCTCGATCTGCTTGTCTGCACCGCTGGGAAGCGCAAAAACGTTCTTCCAGTAGCGGTAGAACGAAGGGAAAGCGGCATGATCAAAGTTCATCGCGTCGTCATAGGGCATGACTGGGTCATAGTAGACCGCACCCTTGACATCGAAATAGGTTGTGTCGTTCTTGTCGAGCATGGCGGCGCCGACATAGGGGACGTAGATCCCAGCATAACTTTCGCCAGCAATGTAGATCTTCTTGCCTTGCAAGTCGAAGGTGTTCACAAAGTTCTTCCAGAAGCTGACAAACTGGTCTGCCGTCTCAGCGTTGTCAGTGGCAGTGACATTGCCGCTGCTAAATCCCGTGCCGATCGGGTATTCAACCCTTTCAGGAAAGTATCAGTCCTACTCTCTCGTTCACTTTTATTACGGGGATTCTCACCAGATCACGTTAGCCAACTTATGCCAAGACCAAGCATTCGCAACAGGCTTGATGGTGCCATACTGCCACAAGAACGGGCCATTCTCTTGCAGGAAGCCTACTAACGTTTAGTAACCCATTTTTAAAGATGAAAAGGGCTTGACGGAGCCAACCTTCCATGGATGAGCATCCTGGGCCACCATTGAACCAAATGATGACATCGTCTTTACCAGCAGGGTTCTCGGTGGGGAAGAACCAGAAGAAGTTCTTCTGCTGTTCGCTCTCAGGCTTGGAAGCGTCGACAGGAATGAGACCAGCATAGCTTTCGCCAACGTCGAAGTCGACGTCTGGAATTCCTGTGCCGTCAACGTAGAAAGCTGGTTTCCATGTGTCAGAGGAGCGGGAAAATCGAAGATCAGGAGCCATTTCTTACCACTGGTCTTGTTGTTGAAGTACTGCAAGGTGCTGCTGCGACGCATAATCGCCCGTGGCGGAGCTTGCACCTCAGCATGACCAGGAGCGACGCGACGGAGCGGGCTCCGGTGCGACTTTGGCGGCGAGTAGGCGGAGATCAGCGGCAAGCTGAGCACAGCCGTCAGGCCGGCGATGAGACTTGACGTGTGCATCTTGAAGGTATGTTGTCGCTTCTTGCCAAGATGTCAAGCTTCGGAGCCTCAAAGTGACCCTGCAGAGCCAAGAAGAGGCCAAGAGATGCAAAGGAACATGGCATCGCTATTTACATGTCGGTGGGCAGGCGTCAAGCTGGGATGGTGGCAAGTCGCGCGCCAGCCAGTTGGGATTGACGAATGATACGAGGTTTGAGCATATTACCGTGGGTAGCGACTTGCCCCAAGGAGGCATGTCGATTGGTATGGTCCGTCCCCCTACTATAATTCTCTGTTGCTCATTTTGATCTTCACTTTGAGCGCCGTCTCCCATTAGCTGCTGTATGAGAGATGATTTGATTCATGTACAAATCAGGCAGGTCAATGAGATAATCTGGGGCAGCCAACTGATAAGAAGACAAAGTGCCGACATAGCCGGTGTCGGAGTGGAGAAATTGAGATTGATGTCACCGTCTTGGGTTAAATTGGCAAAAGCTTGTTTTTTTAACCCCACGGACTGCGGACGGCTATTCCGGGCGATGCATTGTCATCATCAACGGCCGACGCCCGACATACATATCAAGTCTAGCGTCCATGTAAGAAGTCTCTGTGCAATCCGACTCCAAAATGGAACCTCCAGCTGTCAATCACGGCCGGCAGTCATCAAATCAACGTGATGGTCGCAAGTTCAGCATGATCAAACCACGCTTGGTCAATGATCTGCCCGACCCCAAGTCTCTCGAACCGTCTGTCTGATCCAAATCCGAGATCTAGCTTTACTTCTGCGAGGAACATCACGTTAAATCCATCAGGCTTTCCGTCAAATTCGTTAGCTGAAATCATGGCCAGGTAGAATGGCTTCGCAGGCCACTCATTCGAGTCAAACACCACCCATCCAGCAGGCGCCATATCCCTTCCCGAGATGGGTTTCGTATTCTGCGTTACGAAACCGCCATATGCGATGGATCCTTTGGGATAGAACTCCATGTAATAGTAGTCATCTCCAGTTCGAGTGGATGGGTCCCCTTCTCGTCGTGCCTCCCACTCCTTCAAAAGAGCTGAAAACCTCCAAGACGATGCCGAAGTCTTTGTCTGAACGCGACTTAGATCACAAATACGGTTCTCCGCTGCTCTTGCAGGTGCTAGAAACGATATGGCCCCGATGGTAGATGTCCAGGACCATATTGGTTGATCTCGAAGCGCGGACGGGCGAGTCAGCGTCAATTTCGCAAACCAGAGCAGTTGATTGACCACGCAGTGCGCGTGAAAGTCTTCGCTGAGAAGAGAGTCGTTGTAAAATACCCCGTAGGTGTAGCGCTCGCCGATTCCGTTACCAACCTCCGTAGCCAAACCCAAGATGGCGACGGGTTTGTCCGTGTCATACGTTAGGTTTCGTGCAGCGTATGTGGACACAAGATCGCACCAGTCAGCATAGAACCCCATAATTTCCTCGTTGTCTACAATTGAGTCGCCTTTCTGCTGCGAGTGCTTGGCTTGTCGGTAGCGCCGGGCGCTCTCAAAGAGCCTCTGTTCATCCCCAGAGGCCTCATTTTCACCATCCTCGCACTTGAGCAAGGTGCGGCAAGCCCAGACCATTCGTGCTTTTGTGTAATGAATGACGCGAGGGGAGAGCATCCATTCTTGAGTTATCCAGGCCCGATTGCCTAGAGGCGTCTCGCTGAGAGTGGTATTTATCGAGTCTGGAAATAGGGTTGCGGACATGTATTCTCCTTGGCTCGGTTCGCCGTAGGGAAGACGAACGACCGGTTGCAGCGGAGGACGTGGAACGAAGCAACCCTCCGATCCGTCTCGGGCACCGGAGGCGGCAACGGTCATTTCGGCGTCTTTGTAGATGCGACCCATCTGAACTGACTCTTTACGCCAGTCATCGGCATTATCCTGCACGATGCAGAGGCTATCGATCCAGAGGTAACGCAAGCCGACAAAACGAACGATTCTGATGGCATCTTGAAAGGTCTTGGGCAAATCAGAGAAGTTAATGGCAATGCAATGCTGGGCCAGGTTGTGGTATGTAGTTGTGAGGATTCTGTGGTTTCCCCAACAATGGCTCAAGGCGGCATACGAGGCATGAGTCCCGTTGGTAACCAGAAGTTTTGGTTCCCTTGATCCATCGGCTGAACCAATGTCAAGAACTCTGGTGGGCAGCAGTGGTTCGTAGCTCTTCGTCACGGAGCCTACTGTTCCAGTGAATGTCTCGTTGCACTCCGTGTGGTCGTTTTTGCAGGTATTGTACCAACGCTCTACAAGTCCAAACGCCTCATTTGAGCCCGAATCCGTCAATAATCTCATCCCAACAACGTCTTTCTTGCGAGAAGGAGCGGTCCCTGTATCGTGAACACATTAGTCTCTCTCGGTGACATGGAAAATTGCTTTTTTCGTGTCGCCAAGAAACGTACCAGGTTCCGAGAATAGGCTCAACCTGACGAGATCATACTCATATTCGATATCTGGGATATGCACATTGATGCCAAATAATTTTGGCGACTCACTGCGTTTAATGCCATCCCCATAAGCATCCTCGGCCGGGGCTAGTCCATCACCGACCCCGAATAGGTAGAGAGGTTCAGGCTTCGTGTTTGTCCGAATTTGATCGTCCGTTTTGGGGGTCCTGCAATCCTGGTCCATCGCGCGGCGTATCAGTCTGCAGAAGTCGCACACCTTGGATGAGTGAATGAGGTCGTGTGCACTCTCGATATGGCGATATCCATCAGGCTGAGCCAATGCTTGCGGGGTTATGCCCTTGCAAGCTGAGCAGAGAGACGCCATCGCTGCAATTGTTGAAGGCATGAGCAGGCAAGCGTCTAGGGTGGTTTGTTAATACTCAAGGGATATTATTTAGCACTGGCATAAGTTTGTGTTTTGAACCTAATGCTCAGGATATGTAGGAAGTGGTTGCGTGATATTCTGCCACTGCTGCGTTTATCATCATGTCTCCCGACCGCTCGTCGGCAATCTCTCATGCAGGTCATCTCAGCCAAGCTGGGACGCTGCTGGCTGAGCATGGCCAACAAGCATCTCGAAAAGTGGAGCCACGGTGAGACCAGTTTCTATACCTTCTCATTCGTACATGCTTTAAGGCTCACATTTGAAGTCTTTGCTGCAGCTCTTCACTCAAAAATTGCATGTCTACTGCATATTAATGGGCAGTGTAAGTATCCCGAAACAAAATCTGGACTTTGCCTTGTTGATACCGAAGGAACGAGTCCGGGTGAGAAACACTGACTATAGGACTGATTAGCAACTTGACGCAAAAGTCCACAAAGAAATAGTTCATGCATCAAATATTTCCAAGCAAAGTCTCGATTCCCAGCAGAGGAGAATTCAAGAGGACTTTTTTCAAAACATCTATTGAAACTTGGACCTTGACAGGCGCTTGCCAGAGGCTAGAGCCAAGAGCACGCCAAAACAACATGACGTTTAAACAACCTTTTGTCCACCCCGACCAGTCTTACCCTGCAGAGAAGTGGATTCTTGCTCAAGATTGTATCGTAGTATTTTACCTCTGATAATTACAAAGCGATGTACCGGACGGCGGAGGAATCGATTTCTCCTGGAGAGCCTCTTTCCCTGTCATTTTACAAGGTCGGTACGCGCAGGACGTGCACGCCGAGGAAGGATTTTTTATTTCGGTATGGAGTCTTGGAAATGAAAGCCCGAGGAGAAAATTGCTGAATGCAGTTTGTAAGCCTACTGAGTAAATGACCAGCTAGTGTTTGTTTTTTTCTTTCCCTTTCTAAAAGAAAGGGGCTTGGTGAATAATCAATAATCTCTTCATCTAATTCGTACAACACCCTGGATGCCTTGGTTTCTAAGCAGTCAATGACTGCTATCCCTCATAAGAGGAATAACAGCTCATATTTAAATCATTAAGCTGGTGACAAAACACCGGTTCATCCAAGTTTGCCATCCCACGCCCACTGCCTCAATTCCTCGTACCCGAAGCTCTGCTAGCCTCTCATCGCTCAAAATGCATTTCTCTATCTTCCATGCCCTGACTTTGGCTGCTGCTCTAATACGGCCCGTATACTCGATAGACCTTCCCGACTACACCGGATTAAAGACAGCCCAAAATGGCAGCATCCTTACGGTGACTTTCCACAACCCGTCGTCTCCTATCAACTTATGGAATCTGGACACACAAAACGATTTGATCGACCTAGTATCCCGTCTGCAGGAAAATAACAAGACCAAGGTCGTTATTTTTAACAGTGATGTGCCTAGATTCTTCATGGCTCATCTCGACCTCTCTTTGCCTAAGTTGGCAGGTCGTAAGTGCATCGGTGTTAGTATTCCTATCACAGGGATGGTTCGAACCGTAGGTGACGAAGAGGTCAAAATCTATATATATTTAACTTCTACGTAAGGTGTAAAAAGGAGGTTCTAACCGGAGGTTAGGTAGACTGTAGATCTTATAAGTATAGTCTGTAAGTGGCCCCTATGCGGGCCCCTTACCTCGAGGTCGAATTAGACTTCTAATCCGATACTAACTATCTTTCTTTTTTATTATCTAATTACGGCGGTTAGAAATGTAATTTAATCTCGGGCTCCTTTACCGAGGCTGCCCCCTTTTCTTCTTTCTTTTGCTCCTTACGGGTTACCTATCCCTTTATCTATATTATTACCCTTCTTTTACTAACAAAATGCTCGAGCCCCTTATTAGGCATTACCTTTATAAAAATATCTACTAGATTATCGTCCCTATTGATCTAACGGATCTTAAGGATCTTATAGCACTTATACGATTACCGGAGGGCTATAATATCTATTATTAGCCTTTTCTCTTTTATAGTGCCTAGTTTGACGAGGTATTTATATAGCGAGTATAAATCGGTATAGATGATTATCGGTATTATAAGGATATTAAGTCGATCGGTAATCCTCTTTAGCGTTGTTAAGATTATGTATGCGATGTCGACGCCGTTAATTATACTGTAGACCTCTAAGGCGAGTATACTTTATATAACCCTTTTGCTTTTTATTAACGAGTAGTGGATAATATTATTATAGATCGTGAAGTTCTCTTTTCCTATTACTTCGTTAATAAGGATTATTATATATCCTAATTACGATATAAAGTTATTATTATTTATAAATAAGCCGTCGACGAATACATAAAGCTTTGCCTTCTTCAGGTCGATAGGTTAGTATATAAGCCCCTTATCGAGGTTCACTTACTACTATTATAGCCGTTAGTTAAGGGCATCGAAGTTATATTCCGTTAACAAAGTGGCCTATGCTGCTCTTACATAGTTAAAAATAGCCTTTAGCTAATAAATACTTGCGATATAAGCTCCTCATACGAGCTTTATTTTATATCGCTTCTAGTAGTCGGTTACTTTTAGATTAATAAGGGTAATCTTTTTATTTTACCCCTTTTATTAGAAGACGATATTCTTGCCCTCGATCGTAAGGATCCCGCCATTAAATATAAATAGTATATCCTTTATAAAGATTTTTTTTGGCTTAGTAGTAAACTTTATTTTTTTTAACTCTTTATCCTCCTTTTTTATAAAGGCCGTATTAGAAAGCCTTAATATATCGTTAGTTTATATTCTAACGATTTTAAATAGATCGTTTATATATACGGAAATTAAGAGGTAAGGATTATATATTAATATAATTATTAAAAGCTTATTAATATGAAAATCGTAGTATATTACCTATTAATAAGTACCTAACTTTACAAGGCTATAAAATAGTTTTAATACTTTAATAATCGTATTATCCGGGTATTTATTTATTATCTTTTTTAATAGGTAAGTTAATATCTTCCTTATAAGCCTTATTGCTAATTAGGTATATGCCTAGGTAATATTATAATTTTAGATCCGGTATCCTCTTTACCGTAATAATATTATTAATACTATTATTAATCGTTAATTATAGTGCTAAATTATTAGCAACTATATAAGTAGTACTGCCTTTTTAACATTACCGTAGCTTTATATTATATACCTTGATATCTCGTATAGCTAATTTATTCCCTTTCTTTTAATTTTATAGATTATTTATAACTTAAAGATATAGAGGTTTATATACTTCTTTAGGTCGTAGGTAATAAATTTATAGACCCCTCGATTACATAGTATATCGGCTTTAATAAGGTCGGAGCTTTTATACGGTCGTTCTATAATTATAATTATCTTTTATTCTTTTAATTTAACTACTATTACGAAGTCTATTTTCTCCTTAGCTATATAAAAGATAGTAGTAGCCTTAGTGTTAAATATGAATTGCCATTAAGGTATTTTTTAGGGTCTTTTTCGGTATCTTACTTACGGTAGGGGTACTAGTTTTTCTTCTACTTTATCGTTTAAGGGTATTACGATAATAATCTTATCGAGGATAGTTTCTTACCCTTTATTACTTAGTTATCCCTTATCGCTTTATTAAGGTGGTTCCTCTAGCTCTTTTTCTTTTTATAGGTTAGAAATTACTCTACTAGGGTCGATATAGTACGGTCGTACTATAGTAATCGATACCTCCAATAATTGGTTTTAATCTTTTACGACAATATAAGATCGTTCGTTAATTAAAACTAATTTATATAGGCCTATCTATTACTTTATAGTTTCCCTTTATACCCATATTTCCGAATTTAAGGGCATATCGAGGTTGAGGCTTACGTCGGGCCTATTATATATAATAATAACTTTATTAACTTACCTTTTAATATTTATCTTGCAGAAAGTCTTTATTATTTTCTTAATTATTTACGCCCTTTAAGTTATATTTAGTAACGGCGGTAAGGCCGTCGTTGTTTATAGGTATATTCTAAATATAAATAACGTCGGAACGAGCCCCTTAGGTCCTATAGTATTATTATAGTACTTAAGTGCCGTTTAGAGGTACTCTTTGTCTGTTAAACTAGGGCTCTCTTTCTAGATAATCTTAAAAGCTCTTTTTAATTACTGGTGTAATTTTTTTACTTTATTAATATTATAGTGCGCTTTAATAAGGACGACTTTTAGTTAGATGCCGTACGAAGTAGTATTCTTTCTAAATTCCGCCAACTTAAAGCTAGTACCGGCATCGGTTCTAATGCTATCTAGTAGACCTTAGTATATATCGATCTAATAGTGCTTTAGCGTTGCCTATACGGTCTTGGCTTATATATTTTAAAGGAATTAGCCTCTTTAGAATAATATAGCTTTATTAATTACATAGAGTATTAGTCGATTATTTAAATAAAAGATATTAATAACGATTTCTTAATTAAAGTTGAGGTCGTTATGTAATTTGAACTTGAATCTGTGCGGGCTTTAGGCATTTATTTAGTACTAATAGTATACTATTATTAATTGCTTTAAAGCCCTTATTTCTATATCGTTCCCTAAATATTTAAGGAGATTATATAGTTTTATTACCGACGGATGGCCGAATTATCGATATAGTCGCTTAAGTTTATTTTCCGTTAAGTAATTAATAGACTTAACGTCTAATTTAAACTTTATAAATATATACCCCTATTATCGATCGACGAGCTTAAAGTGCTTTTTATTAAATATTTTATTTCTTATATTATTAAATATAATACTTAATTTATTTATATCGTTTAGGTATAAGAGGAATGGTATATTAACGGGTAGAATATAGAAAATTATCGTTCCGAATCGTATATTTATATTTATAATACCTAAGGTACTTATCTCTTTCCTTAGGCCGAAACTAATCCTCGTAATGCCCGTATTTATAGTATTAAGGGTTACTAGTAAGATCTTTTGGAGTGCATGGAATTATCCCTTGCCCCCCGTCGACTATTATAATGCCCCGGTATCTAGAATAATCCTATAGAAGGTTTCCGAACTATACCTTTTACTAGTATAGAATACTTATACTAGATTACTATAGAACCCTCCTAATAGGTATAAATTGCGTACTTATAAGCCCATTATTTTCTTTTCCTCCTTAAGCCCTTTAACCTTAGTGCAAGCTATAGCTACGGTATTAGTATTTATATCCCCCATACTATTAAGCATTATTATTAGCTAAGGAACCTTCCTTTACTAACTATAGAGGAAAGCCTACTTATTTAGGGCTTATACCGCTTTTTATTTATTTAGTATTATATATCCTCTTAAGGTTAACGGGGTAAAAAAAGAATAGGTGATATCGTTAATTTTATTAAAGTCGAGGTCTTAAGTATATAGGGTAAGATCTTCTTTACTTTTAAATAACTTAATTACGTTCGTTAAATAGTCCTTATAGACTATTAGAAATTAATTAAATCGATTATAGCCCGCTTTGCCTTATATGCCCTTTGCTTTTCTATATTAGTCGTACGACTTAGTACGTTCCTTATTAGAGTGGTTACTTAATTAATAACCCTCCTTTTTATATATAAAGCACTTCCTTTTCCGTAATGCTCGGTTAGTATTAAACTAGCGCCCCCTTAAGGAGTCTGTTCCTCCCTCCTAGCGGTTATTATATTTTACTTTTTTTCTTTTATTATTATATATATGGTTTACCTAGTACTGTTAGTGAGGGCCTTTATAAGATTGGAGGTAAGTCTAATTTAGTATCCTAGCTTCGATATTAAAGCTGGACCTTAGCTTCGAGTATAGCGTCTTATAGTTTTTAGGCGGTTAATATAGAGTTATCTTTACCTTTAATACCTTTTATACCGCTATATATAGATAACCGACCTTTTACTTATTAGTCCCTTTATTTAGCTACGTCCTTGCTAGTTTATTAATCCTATCGATAAGCTCCTTAAGGATCTTAATTCTCGACTTTCCTTTTATTATTCTAGTTATAAAGTTAAATAATAATACCTTTAGCTCCGAGAGGAGCTCGAGGTTCTTATCTTGGGTCTTAAATCGATTTTAGATTATATTAACGATACTAAGAAAGTCGGTTTAATCGATATTACGTACTGCTTAATAATAGTATTTAGTAGCTTTCCTTATTAATATAATATTAATTACTAAATAATATTAGTGTTCTCGGATACCGACTTTTTTATAGTAGTTATAGAATATCGTAAGGGTTTTTTACAGGACCTCATATCTTCCCTTTAAGTATAATTTCTCTTTTAAAAAGATCTTTTTTAGGTTAGTAAACTGTTTTATACTAGCTACCGCTAGATCGTTCTTTTTATATGCTTCTCGTGCGGTAGCATAATTAGGTAGTATCTATATTATCGACCTTGTACTTTATTGGGTGCTTAGGATTAATCCTTAGATTAGTATTATTATTAGGGTTATTACCGCGATAGGTAGAATCGTCGTTTAATACGCCTCCGGTATAATCCCCTTTATTTATACTAGATTAGGCGCTGCGATATTATTATTAGTAATCTTTAATAAAAAGTCCGGTTAGTTCATTCGTCTACTAAATTCTTCGTATTTTAATATTGTTTTATCGATTTAATTCTAGTTTTATAGTGTGAAGTCCTTTACAGCTATTGTCGCTGCGAGTGTCTTGTGGGCCTTTTGTTTTGCCTTTTAGGCTAGTAGAACGCCTCGGTAATAGAGGAATCTATTTACCTCCTTAACGACATTAAGATTAGCGCTGGCGAACTATTTATCTTTTTAATCGTTTAGGTTATTTATAACTCTATAAAATAGGGGTTACCTTTTAAGCCCCTTACGGGCGTATATTTTTATAATAAAGATTAACGCCGTATTAATTTATTTACTATTAGGGTAGTCTAAGTTTTAATATAACCATTTCCCTTAATATTCTAGATTAATTTTAACTTAATCTTTTAGGATAAGAGTCCTTCTATGCGTTCTACGTACTAATTTACCCCCTATCGTCCTTTAGCTTATATTTTTATTTATAAGGGCCGGCGTATTTAATTTTAATAGGGATGTATTAGATCCGCTTATTAGTCGTAATAATAGTGCACTATCATCGCTTATTATATTTATTAAGGTCTGGGAGTTTTCTACGGCCTTTAACTTCTTTATAGCGAGCCTCGTTACTATCTACTTTTAATCTTTTAAATTAGCCGTTATGTTTTTTGTTAACGGTTTTCTTTTCTTATAGCGTACCTTATTATATAAGAGAGGTCTTCTAGTAGCCCTTTTTTTATATTCTCTCCTTAGACGTCTTTTTAGCTTTCTCCTATGCTAATTAAGGTAATAAGCTCTTTTTTTACCTTCATAACTCGGTAAGGATATGTAGTTTAAAGAATTAAGTACCTTATACCCTTTTATGGGGTAAGTATTATGATGCTTTTAAATCCTTTCCTTCCTTATCTTAACTCCACCTAGCTTTTATTCCTTTAGAATAGCCGAGGGGTAGTAGGTATAGGTAAGAAGGGGAAGCTTGACTTTAGAATCTCGAAGTCGGTCTTAATAATAGTAATATCGTTATCGATCCTAGTAGCCTCCTTAGATTCGACTAAGAAATACGCCTAGAGCTACTAGCGGGGTCTAGTTCCTACCTAAATACCTTATTACCTTAAAAGTTTATTTTTATAGTCCTAAGGTGCCTTTTTATATCTTTTAATTAGGCTTATTTTATTGTACGGTCGAGATCTATAATGGATTTACTAATCTAGTAAATCTAGTAATTTTGCTTGTTTTCTTTTATTAGCGTATAGGCCGCTTATAGATTATTAAGTAGGATAAATCGCATAAGGGCGATATAAGTAGCTTGGTCGCCTTTTTATAATTCCTTCAATTATAGTTTATTTTTAATATGATAGACGTTGACCTTTCGTAGGTAGTTAAGGGCTATAATTCCTCTATTTCGTTCTATCGTAAAGATTTATGTCTTATTACCTGCTTTCCGTTAGGTAAGTAGCACGATTCTTTTATTACGTTCTATTTGAGGAGGTCGTCTCTTTTACTTGCGAGATACCTTACTGATCTACGATAGTAGGATTTAACTACTGATCAGTGTTAGTATTCTTATTATAGGGATGGTTCGAACTGTGGGTGACGAAGAGGTCAAAATCTATATATATTTAACTTCTGCGTAAGGTGTAAAAAGGAGGTTCTAACTGGAGGTTGGGTAGACCGTAGATCTTGTAAGTATGGTCTGTAAGTGGCCCCTGCGCGGGCCCCTTGCCTCGAGGTCGAATTGGACTTCTAATCCGACAATCGGGGAATAAAGGTTGAAGTTTCTGTAAGGTTGAAGACATGCTCACTAACGATTTGAAGCTGCGTTTGTTGAAACATTCGGAACTCTCATCTACAACGTCTCTCGGTTGCCCCAAGTCACCATCGGCGCTGTAGAAGGCCGTGCCCGCGGTGCCGGCAACGAATTCCTCGTCTCCCTCGACATGCGCTTCGCCACAAAAGGAGAGAGCCTATTTGGCCAACCCGAAGTTGGAAGCGGCTTGTTCCCCGGCGGAGGCGGCAGCCAATTCCTCCCTGGCCTGATAGGAAGAGGCCGCGCCATGGAGTACGTCCTGAGCTCAAACGACATCACCGCAGAGGATGCCGCAGAGATCGGCTGGATCAATAAGGCATTCGACACCTCTACCGAAATGTACGACTATATTGGAAAGCTCGCACAGCGTTTCAGCTGGTTCCCTCTGTCGGCTCTCCACGGTGGCAAGAAGACGATCAACCGAGCTTCGGCACCGTCGCTTGAGCTGATTATCGAGGATACCAAGGACTTCTTCAAGCAACAATTTGACCCAGAGGCACAGGCTATTGCGAAGAGGTCGGCGGCGTTGTCTAGCAACATTTCGGCTGTGGATTTGGAGCTGAACTTGCCTGAGTCGATCGCGCGCCTTTATACTTAGGTGGAAAAAGCAGTCTGTACAGATTGATACAAGACTTTCCAGAGATTAAGGAAGGGCAGGAATACATGTATAGATCAACAGAACTCACCATTTTTGACTTCTGGCGACTTCTCCTTTGTAGCTAATACTTCCCAAATCATTTTGCCAACGATTCATAACAGAGAACCGCAAATTGCAATATGAATAGACTAAGGTGTTTCGAGCCAAAATTTCCCGGTGGCGACGATGGTCATATTCTGAACAGCTCGACCCTTGAGACAGAAATCGCTCTCATATGAGTCTCTCGCAATTGCTCAATCTGTATCCATAAGCATCGACACTGATTATGTGAGTGATGTGGCTGTGAAAGTCTTGCTGGAATCGTGAACCGATGCAGGAATTTGCGTCCCCAAGATGCCGAGTTCAAGTCGCCCGTTGAATGAATGATGAGCAATGCTGGTCGAAAGTCTTTTGCAACTATCATCGGATTCTGCTGGACAATAGCTTGTGGCAACCGACTAACCAAATTCGGAGTATTGCCGTGTTATAATACGCGGGATCAGGTCGGCCCCCCCGACTAATACGTCCGGCTCAGCCGCAGTCAGCTTGAGCTGTGATTAGTGAACGCTTCCAAGTCAGGACTGTGGCTTATGGAGTCGGGCCAATGCAGGTTCCGCTATCGCCTTCGTGGACCACTGATTCCCGGAAGCATACTAATGTATGTCGCGATTTTGCAGATTCTTTTTTTTTCCTGATTTTGGTTTGACTTCTCTTGGCTGATATTGCTAATTTGCGGATCAAATGCCAGATTGGTCAGCGAAATGTCGAGTCGGCGCCGGGTTTGCCAATTCTTTCTCAAATCGCTAGACACAGCTTTGATCAATGTCGCAAAAACAAAGTCTCCGAGACAGCACGTCGAGTGAACCAATCACCTGGTGTTTCTCGCGGCTCTGAAAACTCCAATCAGCATAATATGAACCCCTCGGCCCGCTGACAGTCGCAGCCTGCTCACGATTCACAATACTACGACCGCTATCAAGATACCCATTTGTATCATACGCAATCGACAACTTAGAAGCTGGCAATCCGATCTCATCTGTACTAGACAGCATCACGCGCATTGCGTCTTCTTACGGAAGTCTCCTACCTACTCCAGAACTAAGTTTCAATAATGGCATTCTCCCCGGAGAAGGATATCCCAGATCTGGCCGGGAAGGTCATCATCGTCACAGGCGGCAGCAGCGGCCTCGGAAAAGAAAGCGTCATCCAGCTCGCCAAGCACAACCCAGCGGCAATCTACCTCACAGCCAGGACAGAAGCACGCGGCAATGCCGCCATCAAGGAGGTGGAACAAGCCGTACCGGCGGCCAAGAACAAGATCAAGTACCTCGAACTAGATTTAGGTTCTTTCGCCTCGATAAAGAAGTCCGCCGACGCCTTCCTCACGGCATCAGACCGTCTCGACATCTTGATGAACAATGCTGGTCTGATGGCTACCCCTCCGGGCCTAACAACGGATGGGTATGAAGTCCAATTCGGGTCAAATTATATGGGACCGGCCCTCTTCACTAAGCTGCTTCTCCCCATCCTCAGCAAAACCGCTGAACAGGCAGGATCCGACGTCCGCGTCGTCAATCTGAGCTCCGAGCTCTTCAAGCAAGCGCCCTCAGATGGAATCCTCATCTCAAAGTGCAAGACCCCCCTGGACGATATCTCCAGCTTGGCTCGCTACGGCCAGTCCAAGCTGGCAGACTACTACCACACCCGCACGCTGAGCCAGCTCTACCCTTCCATCAAATTCGTCGCAGTTCATCCCGGAGTCGTGAACACCGGCCTGTTTGACGACTTTAGGAAGAGAAGGCCGTGGGTTGGTGGAGTGATTAGTGTGCTTGGGTCCATCTTCTTGACGGACGTTCACGCGGGTGCAAGGGCTCAGCTTTGGGCCAGTACGGCTGGAAGTGCGAGCGTTAAGCGCGGAGGGTTTTATAATCCCAAGTTCAAGGAGGATAAAGAGGCGAACTTGTATGACGATAAGGCAGCCCAGGAACTATGGGACTGGACTGAGAAGGAGCTCGAGGGCCAGTGATCTAGAGATGAGTTTTCGTGCTACGTTGTCTTGTCTGAGCTATAGACTGCCTGAGAGATGGAGGGCGATGAAGTGTATGTTTCTATCCTACTGAGCGTAAGTTAACGCCAGTACATCTGTGCGTTCTTCCATCCCCACAAATGCTAGGTAGGAGATGGGGGTAATACAAATAACGGTACGTTTATTAATGATAAACTATCTCTTGATCTAAGCTTATTTCCATCGTATTCGCATATACGAAACTTTGAAGCAGAGCAGAATCGCAGGGAGAGAAACTCAGGACGGGCGTGCTTGGCGCCATCTAAAATGGGATGAGGACTGCTAGCGAATGACTTGATAACCCGACCTTATTTAGCCCATTCTCGAGACGAAAAAAGATCCCAAAACGTATCGACGTAGAGGAAAACTGGAGAGGTCTCTACTGGTGTCAAGTCGCACTGGGTGGGATATTCAAAACGATTGACTTCAATGGAACCGAGACCGTATTCCCGCTGCAACGGTGGAGGACATGTTTGAAAAACTTAAGTTGGGACATGTGTCCGTAAAAGATAATCAACTAAAAGGTATCAATCGTAATAATAACCAGCTAAAAACCAGACGTATCAAATCATCGAGGAGTGTAGGGACGCTCCCCTGTTCTAACCCTTTTGGTCATTCTTCTTCTCGTCCAGACAGATGCACAGGGCACACATGAGCGCCATGTCGACCCCCGGCGCCACGGTGAGGGCGTATGTTTGCTTGCCACCGAAGAAGTCACGCGCCCGAAGCATGTTTCTGTCAATCCGCCCAAGCACCTGGCCGGTATTTGTGTCGACGATATCTGCCTGCGTCGATAGCCAATTGCCCTTCATCTCGAGTGATTCCGTCTTGCCCGTCTGCGGTGAGACGAACGTCGCGGTAGCTTTTGAACCGATGACTGGTGCACCCCATAATGATTAGCTGCTCGTCCTATTACTGGGCCTAAGGTAGGTTGGAGACATACGCGCAAAGCTATTCTTCACTTCCATAATCTTATTGCCCTTGGGATCCTGCGCTGCAAACGTCGTGTGCAGGTGCAAGTGCTCCTTGACGATATCGAATAGATGGTTCCCCGACATGTCGTAGACGGCCTTGCGGCCCGAAATGGACAAGGCCTTGCCCTGCACCCGGAGGATGGGCTGGCCATTGGCGAGTTTGATGTCGAAGCTGTCACCGGTGATGGAGAGGATCTTTTCCTTGAGAACGAGGGTCTCGCTCTGTCGCGCCGTTAATTGCGGGAAGATGCCGACCGAATTTCCGGCTTGGGGCAGGTTGTGGACCGCTGGGGCAGTCATGGTATGTGGTAGGTGTGTGTTCGTGCTAAGGATTATTACTAGGTCTTTTTGGCAGGTCTGTTGTTGTCGTGAATGACGAGGTCGCAATAGGTATTGACAGGAAGATTGATTTTGAGATGGCGATTACTAGACGAAGACGGGGGATAACGACTGGTTTTATGAGAGACGGATGCATGTGAAAGCCCAGGCGCACCAAAGTTGCTCCTGCCATCAGCTTGAACCTCGACAGCTTCAAGATCCGCTGGCTGCCTGCGGCTGAGTAGACCATTGGGGGCAGTGCGTATTGCTTGGCGCCACCAGTCGGTTGCGCGGGCTCACGGGGCGATGAGAGACAACACAAGTACGGAGTACCTGGAGAAGGTATGAGGGGGAGGGGCTGCGTCGCTGAGAGCTCACGTACATTGTCAGTGTCAAACAGTCAGATTGGGCTCGCAATGACGTCAAAGGATGAAGCTGTCTGTTCATTGATAATGCGTAGGGAAGCTCGAGCAATGCTGAGATCAGACCTCTTTTCTTCCCGATTGACGGGTTAAAGGAATGGGCCAGTCTCACACTAATTAGCTGTGATCGACCCCTAAAGTACACCTTACTTCGCGACAGATGAGGGGCTACGAAAGCCATACCATCTGCGTACCTACTGGCGACTTACCCAAACCATTGCAGCTCTCGAAAAGCACGGAAATGAGACCACTTGCCATTACACGTAGCTTGGGCAGATTAAGACATCATCGGCACCCGAGGCCGAAACCGAGCGACAAATCTGATCAAAGTTTAGCACAGCCACAAAGGTGAGGCGCGTGGTCCCTCCAGCCACTCATCTGAACAATAGGGTACGTACAGGTAGTTCTGCAACGCCACATGAACGCCCCGGTATGCCACAGTCGATCCCCGTGTGGCTGAAATACTTCGAGGCGCAGACGATTTCCACAGCCAGGTGCTCGTGTTAAAGGGTGTAGCAAAAGTTTTGCCATGATCTTCACTTTAGCATCGAGAATTATTGCTATCAGTATAAAAAAGACGATACAGTTGCTGAGAACGTAATCCACACATTGCAACTTATGCTCAGCTTGTCAAGTCAAGCAAGAATTATCAGAATCTTGGTAATATGTTGCACTCAGAGCTTTGAGAACCGGACTTCTAGCTCAATCAATCAACAATTCACTTCATATTCGGTCGCCTAACCGAAGCAGCTCATTCTGACGTTCGTGTGCACTAAATTCGCGCTCAGGTCTGTCGTCTTCCGGCCCAGCACCGATGTGATTAGTATTCAGTTCACCTGGTCTTCTGGGCCTGCCTCCATCGGTTCGGTTCGGCACGGAGACCAATTTAGCACCGCTTCACCGCGACCAAGTGCCGATAAGAGCGATTGAGATAGCCGACATGCAACCCGGAAGCTGCCTCGAGCAGGTTTCCCCGCGTGCTTCCCCACAAACAAACGCCTGGGTCCGGGGAACTTATACCTAGCGTGTCTGATCGGGATGTTCGTCTGCGACAGACGAACATGAGGACGTTATACTCGGTGACCGATGGCCCGAGTAGCAATGCATTCTTGCTGGAAGAGCGATGCGACGTAATTTGCTCGGTGTGGATCATGCGAATATTCCAGACTACAAGATGACACCCGCAAGCCGAAGAATCTGGACCCCGGATGATCGCATTTATAGAGTATTTCCTGTCGAGACGACGTTTGGCTGGTAATCTTTCTCTTGAAACATCGTACCGATCTTTTCTGCCCATAGCAACGGGGTCAAGAAGCGGGAATGCCAGTCTCCCAGTTGTTCCTGGCGCTCGCAGCCAGTGCCGCTGGTGTTGTCACGGCTGTGTCAAGTAGCAACTCGACTACGAGGTATGACATCAGGACAGGCAATTTCCCAACCAGAAAACTCATCTCTAACTTTCAAATTTCTCAGAAACTTCACAGCCAAAGGCATCGCTACTGGCACGGCAGCACAGCTTGAAACCTCCCCCTTCGCCCCATTCAGCTTGAGCCCGGAAATTCCGCTAGCCACCTTGGACTACGGGGCTGAGAGAGCGGGTTATCCGACCTTTGAGGTCTCCGCCATCAGCGAACCGGTTCAGATCGAGGTGAAGTACACGGAGCATTTTGATGGACTCAATCACCCGTTCGGCGACGGGCCGTACACCTTCTCCAACCAGCTGAGCAATAGCTTCCGCGTCGAGACGTTCAATATCACTTCCATCGGCCGAGTTGCGTCGCCGCTCATCCAGGGAGGGCAGAAATGGCAATCCATCAGGCTCTTGACGAACGCCACAGTCTCCTTTTCGAGCGTAGGGTTCGAGGCGACAATCAATACTCTTGAGCCGGAGGAACTCCCGGGCCAGTTTGAGAGTGATGATGAGATTTTGAACGAGGTCTGGAAGCTCGGTGCTCGAGCAGCCACGGCGGCTTGCTTTGACAAGGGTTCGCAAAAGACGATTTGGGAAGTCACTGAGGAGAACGGAGTGTTTGCGCGAAGTACGCGGCCCTCGATGACTTACAAAGCCACCACATGGAACAACTACACCCTTGAGTTTGATACCAAGATCGGAAGGGGAGGAAGCTGGTGGGTGACGGTAAGTTTGGACTTGAGTGCATTCCGGAGGAATTGAGTGCTGATACGGCATACAGGGAGGAGTTATTGCCGGCAATGGATACACCATGCTTCTTACTGGCGAGCTTCCCGAGTCGAGCACCTTCGCCAACGTCAACAAGACTCTGACACCGCCCAACACCATCTCGTTGGCATACGGTCCCGACTTTGTCAACCAGACGACACTCGCGAGTTACTTGTTGGATGTCTTTGACGTCCCCTTCACGGTGAAGGAGAACGAGTGGTACCGCATCAAAACCTCGATGGCTTCCACCGGCCACCTCGCAGTCTCCATCAACGGCACACAAATCCTCAACATCTCGCGTTCCGACTACCCGTGGGCTCTCAGCTCTGGCACAGTCTCGTACTCTGGATCTCCTGACTTCAGCGGCTCCTTCGGCTTTGGAGCGTACCAAGACCAATCAGCCTACTTCAAGAACGTACACGTCTACGACACCGCCAACGGCACGACGCTCTACTCCAACACACTCACCGGCAGCTCGGAAGCCATTATCGCCGAGTATGGAACCCAAGCCAACAGCGAAGCCGCCTGCCTCGACGGCCCGAAGCGCGACCGACTCATCTGGCTCGGCGATTTCTACCACACCGCACGCATCATCGCCGCCAGCACATCAAAGACGGAGCAGGCCAGGGGCACTCTACAGCTCCTGCTTGATTCGCAGATCGTAAACGGGCAGATGAACATCTCGCCTAACCTGGGTTACGACCTCGCCTCTGTTGCCAACGAGCTAGCCGCGCCGGCCGGGAGCTTCGGGCTGCAGGGTTACCAGCTCCTGGGCCTGATGGCCTTCAACGACCACGTTCGTCTGACAAACGACCTCGACTGGGCGCGTTCGACGTGGCCGCGGTGGCAAAAGGTGCTCGATTGGCTCCTGCCACAGATCAACTCCACAACGGGCCTATTGACTTTTGATGGAGGGTTCGCGTTCACAGGGCCCGCGGACGGGGGATCCGCCATCGGGTGCGAGGCCGTCCAGACTCTCAACGGCGCTGCCGACGTCGCTGACGCGCTCAACGATACGGCATCAGCTGCGCAGTACAGGGACACGGCAGCGTCGCTGGCGACCGCGATCAACGAGCATCTCTGGAACGAAGAGACAGGCGCGTACGGTCTTTCGCCGGCAGATCTGGACGGCATGTCAGTGGCCGCAACAGCCTTCTGCATCACTTCAGGCGTGGCGAACGCAACGCGCGCATCGCGGTCGCTTGTCGCTGCGTCCGGCCTGAAGCTGGGTCCGGGATACAAGGATAACTCAGCGGTGAGTTCCAACGACTCGAGCGTCAACATCTCGCCCAACACCAATGGGTTTCTGCTCGAGGCACTGTTCGTAGGCAACGAGACGCAGGCAGCGAGGGAGCTGATGGAGGGTCTCTGGGGCGCGATGCTACCCGGCGACACGACCGCAGCGCAGAACAGGAGCGCGGTCGGCGCGAGCTGGGAGTACGTCAACGCTGCGACGCGACAACCCGGCTTGGGACTCTTCACGAGCTTGAGTCATCCATGGGGTGGCGCTGCGACGTATGTATTGACTGAGTGGGCTGCTGGGCTCCGGGCTGCTGCGGGTGTCGATGGGTTCGGGTATAAGAACTGGGTGGTGTCGCCTGCGACTGGTGTCGAGATGGGGTTGAAGAGGGCGAGCGCCAAGGTTGTCACTGCGTTTGAGGGAGAGTTGAGTGTTGAGTGGATAGTGCGGGATGGTGATATTGGTGTTACTATCCGGGCGCCGATCGGCACACAGGGGCAGTTTGTTTACGGCAATAAGAGCATTGCGTTGCATGGGCGGTCTGAGTATCAGTTTACTGTCGACGCGTCGTTGGGTAATGGTATTGTTTAGATTGGCTTAGCTAGCCGAACTCCTCAAAGTAATCAGTAAGAATTGGCGACTCGCTTCCTTGTTACCGCCACCATTATAGTAATACGCTGACCGCATCTCTTGAGGAATGCTTTCTCAAAGAATATGAGGCAATGAGAGAGAAATGAACTAATGCGAAGTAAACAAGAAGCGTTGTGATGGCGGCGGTAGCAGTGGGAGGAATAGACGTACGGTTTTGTTGGGCGTCGACTGATCTTGTCACCTACTTCGTCCGGATGCTCCTTTTCGTGTAAGCACGCCGAGAGTAGCCTGGTGGTTTAGTCCAAGTCGTGACGTCGTAGACAGCGGTCGAGGTTTGCATGGTCAGTCACGATGTGGCCCCCCTTTTGACACGTCCGCGCCGTTTGGTCATAGCCGGCCGAGACACGGTCAGCGCTTGGTCGTTCTTATTGTGGATTCTCGCATCTCACTGGCATCGATTGCCTCCACTCAACTGATGGGTCAACGAGGCCACCTAGAGGTTGTATAGTGTAGCGGTTATCACTCCAGATTTTGATCGCACCAAAACTTCTGGTAACCCCGGTTCGAACCCGGGTACGACCTGACAAATCAGCATCTTTCACGGTGTGCGAGATTTCTTTTTGCGGGCTTGCATCCCTCTATCTACCTCAGGTATGAGATTATCTTCAGTGATTGCTGGGTCATCAAACTTGCGTGCACCTACAATGCAGTATCTGGATAGCTTATAGCCCTGCACAGTAACCAGTGGACATCACTGATTTTGCCATGCTTCAATTGCATGCTTGATCGGTGCAGCAGAGGCGAGTTGAGGAGGCTGGGCTACCTAGGTGTATCAACAACAACAATCAAAGGCGCGTAACGAGAATGCAGCCAACTGACGGAAACCATTATTTCCATCAACGGATGCGACTTATCCAGCGACTTTCCAAGTCGCGAGGACACAAGCTGGACGCGCTTCCGGAGTCGAGTAGCCCGGCCCGCACGAGGCATCCCCGGCTACTTTCGGCACCAAATTCCGGCATCGGAGCTGCCAAACAGAGACCGTGCCCCGCCCCTTCCCCTCAAACTCCGAACTCGAACCGTTCTCCCTCCGCACTTCCCGGTCACATGACGCCGTGCTCGATCTCTCCGTGTGAAGCTTTCCCCTCCCTCGTGCCACGATTATGTCATTGTCCGCCAGAATTCTAAGAAGCAGCTTCGTTCCCACAGTTCGGAGACCCTTTATCACGAGCACGCCCGCCTTTTTACCGTCCAATCGCTACCGCACAATGGCCACCAAGGAGTTCCTTTGCATCCTCCCCGATAAGCCGGATGCGCTTGCCCGGCGCTTGGAAGTCAGACCGTAAGTGACCTAGTTGTGGAACCGGTCTCCTATATGAGACTGAGTGAAGTTACGGACCGATTACTGAATTGCCGCAGTACACATCTTGAGAATGCCCAGGGCCACAAGAGCAACGGAAAGGTTGCTGTCGGTGGTATGTATCTGAGCTCAGAAGACCCCTCCTCCTTTGAGGTCTGTGACATTAACCATGCTAATGGTCATTCAAGGTGCCATGTTTGAGAAGGAGCACCCTGTCGAGGGCCAGACGCCCGGCTTCAAGGGTAGCGTTATGATCTACACCGTTAAGGACGCCGAGGAAGCCTGGGAACTCATCAGAGGCGATGTCTATGCCAAGAATGATGTTTGGGACCTGGAGAAGGCGCAGGTCATTCCGGTAAGTTGATGCTGTCTTGTAAACAATGTCCGCCATGATGGATTTAGCTGATGTGGAATGATCGGCACAGTTCAAGTCAGCTATTCGCGAGTCTTTGTAAACATGTCTGAGTACGCTGGTCAATTTGTTTTCAATCATATTGCAACCTAAGGCAGACTTCCACTTGGCTGCAGCATATTCCATGGTCTGAATACACTAAATGCCCATATGGCCCATGGGTCAACCCAGCGTCGTTCCAGTCACCAGCACAGCAGGCGCCCTCCTAGGTCGGTTGGTCAGGTCAAACTGGCTGGGTGGTGGAGTGGTTTAAGGCTAACAATCAATTACGCCCACAGCCTACTCGACGACAGGCTACGAGTTCCGAGCTCGAACCCAAGCATGAGCACCCAGATATGTATCCACACCGGTGGTGAACTCTTTTTTGGTTTTAGAGCCCTTCATTCTGCAGCAAACTACTTTACACAGATAGACCATTAAAGCGCTTTTTGTTGTCATTTCCCATTTGACATCAACGTTTGACGGCCGTTAATCATTAACTCCTATCACCATCCCCATCGACAGATTGAATCAAGTCCTCCACATCCAACCTTTCCGCCAAATCCAACAATGCCTGCGGTGACAGACCACCCATCCCGCTCGTATCAAAGATATCCCATCCAGCCTCCTCCATCTGATCCAAGAAAGAACCATGCTCGTGCCCGTGCCCGTGCCCATGGTGATTCTGAGATTGATGATGCGCCGCACTCGTCGGCGGCGGCGTCGGAGGCTCCTCGCCCACCGGCGTTAGCGCAGACATAATATGCTCCAACTGACTCAGCTCCAGCTTCCTCAACGGCGCCACCAGACTCCCCTTTGAAATCATCTTATCCAGTACGCACTTGATATTCTCGCACCACGAATCGTCATGCAGGAGAGACGGGCTGATGACGCGAATGAGGTAGAGGAGGAAAGCGGAGGAGAAGGCGTCTTCGAGCTGGAAGGGGAGGAAAGCTTCGAGGAGGTCTTCGTCGCCGAGGACGCGGAGTGTTCGGAGGACTGTTTGGGCTGAGTCGACGCAGGATTGGAGAAGCGATGCGACTGGAGGTGTTAGAGAGACTGTCTGTGGGTGTCGCGCGTGGCTGTCGGAGTGTTCGATATGCATGTGGAGGGCGCACATGACTAGGGGTCGAGTTGTCAGGACGACGCACTTCTCTTGTTAGCAGAATGGCAATACGTGGGTTTAAAGCTGTATTTACGTGGTGGTAAGAAAGGATGAGTCGTAGTGCCATCCTAGAAGCTCGGCTGACGGAGCCTTGGAAGTGGGTGTCGAGGAGTGCGGTAAGGTCTCGTGATAATCTGGCTAGATCCCTGAGGATAGACTGGGTGTTGGGTACGAGTGAGCCGTCAAACTCTTTTCCTACGCCGTAAATAGCTGGTACAATCATGTCAGTGACTCAAGACGTCCCTCCACATTGCCTCGCGGCCGAGGAACTCACTCGTAAGAATACGCGCCATGAGCCGTGATAGCCGTACGTGAAGGGTCATATTTAGCGCATCGAGGGAGTTATCCATCTGCGAAGGAAGCTTCACGGTGATATCTTCATCCCGAATAGAAGTCGGCGCTCCCATCAACGCCGAAAACTCTCTGTCAAGGGTGTACACCACCCAGAAGACAATGTTACAGCGTCGGGAGTACTCGATGCCGACAACTTCTTCGGGCATGTGTCTATAGATGCCCTCAACAATGCCGATTCTTAGCGCTTGACCAATCTAGCATCTCGTCAGTAAACATCCTGCTGAATCTTGATAGGGAGAGAGCAAGGGCCTTACATGCTGATACGCAGCCAACCTCATATCCAAGCACTGAAAGTACAACGCAGCCAGAGCAAGCGCCTGAATAGCCGGAATCGTATCCGGATTCAGCCCGGATAGGTCCGGCAGCAATGACATGGCCCTCGCAGCATACTGTACGCCCGGCGGCGCGGCATGCGAGCTACTATTAACGACGAACGCTTTCCCAAACGCTAGCACTAAGAGATACTGCGCATACCACAGCCTTGCAGAGCTAGCCTTGCCCGCCGGGTCCTCGTATAACTCATGGAGGTTCTTGAGAAATGAAGGCTCGTCAATTACATAGAAGACAGCGCCGAGGTAAAACTTGACGGTGTTGAACAGGAAGAGGGCGTAGTCTAGAGGTGGAAGGTTGGAGACATCGGGGGTCTCGGTTGTGCCTAATGGTGTCCATTGCATCCTGAAGGCACCTTCATGGGGCAAATGCCATGGATCTGGGGCTGCTTCTGGTAGGCGTTTACCTAGGAGGGCAAGTACTCTTCGGCAGAACGACCATGATGATGTTGGGCCCATGTACCCTGTGGAAGTGTAAGCATTGGATCAACCTACCTTGCTCATTAAGTACTAGAAGAGACAGCATATGACTTACAGTATCGTTCCCCGACTTTTGCAAAGGTGTAGTCGTTATCCACCAGCGGGTTTTGTCTGAACCCTGGGCCAAAGTCGCCGTGACCTCCTTGATTTGAAGGGGCATCTCCTACTTCAGTATCCGGCTCGGATGCCGGAGGTCCTACAGGTTGTGGACTGTCTACACATTTGGCAGCGTGAGCTAGAGTATCTAAGTGCACCGCATTCAGTGACAAGAGACAAGCATAACTCACCATGGCTCGGCGTCTCCAACTGTCCGGTATTATCTTCACCCTGAGAAAGAGAAGTATGATGCGGCGTCGCATACGCATCCGCATCCGCATAGCGACTCTCCTCAACATCGTCTCCTCTGCTCAGAGCCCTCGCCGAGCGGTCTGCATCATGCTCGCTATTCCTGTTCTGAAGTTCTCGGAGGTAACTAGAAAGTGGAGTCAGTGATTGTTGTTTCCCATCCCGACAACTGCACGCGCACGGGTTCCGACAACTCACCTCTCCGGCACCGATATCCTCTTATCCTCAACAGCAAAGATGCATCTATGCTTCTTCCGATCACAACGGGTGCAAGGCGAAGAACCGGAGCACTTGACCTTCATTACCCGACATCTTTCGCATCTTTTTGTTCATGCCCCCAAGTCAGCCTTCTGTCAAAGAATACGAGACTCCTCCGAGCATCGGAACGCCCGGGCCCCCTCCCTGTCGCACAAGACGCACGCTTTTTGGCATTTTTTGGTCACTTTGTATTGTCCCTGGCTTAATTGCGGCATGGCGGACGATTCTCATGGGGCCAATTCGACAACTTCATGTCTTTTCTCGTTGCTGGATAGGTACGGTATTCGCGATGGCTTCGGAGCCTTTGATATGTCGGAGCAGGGTTCCGACAAGTTTTCTATGTGCGCAGCTTGGCCTCTTTATTGGCACTGGCAAATTTGGGGCACACAGTCCACTAGTGCGAGACCGCAGGACGGCTTATCAGCCGTGTATTGTGATCGATGACTCGCCGTAGATAGCCGAGAAGGTCTTTGCGCCATTGTTATCTTTGGGATGCTTGTTCTTTACTCCACAGTGTCTGCGTTCGTCCGTTCATGGTCTCCGGAGGCACCGGAGCGACGGAGTTGATTTGGATAATGGAGAACGTAGCATCTTCATCGCGGGGAAGATCGGCACGTGTGTGTCAAACGTCAAGGGATATGGAGAATTTGCCAGAAATCCGGGGTTGAACGATCACGAGACCAAATGACTCCGAGGGGTAGGCTTGCAAGGGAGAAGGGGCGTTGGTGAAGCAGCCTCAAGCAGGTGGCCCAAGCCATGGGGTAAACCAGGTGAAGGTCACACCCATTAGCATTTACGTCCCAAACTGCACGAATAGATGAACGTCGGACTCTCATTCGATTGTAGATTCTCGTATCTTGCTGTCGGAATTGGCATGACCCAGTATACTGGACGAAGTTGAAAATTGGGCCGCCGAAAGAGCGAATAATGAGCCCTCACTCTATCAGCGTTGTCGGCATACAGTGAGCAGAGGATCCAAATCCCAGGAGCATTCGCCGAGATACCACCTTGCCGTCGTGAGATAACCGTTGCGTAAGATCTTCAATGGCAAACAGCTAGGTTGTGTTTGAAAAGAGGCTTGGAAAGTCACCGGTTCTGCCACGGTGTGGCCGACGCAATGTCGGGCTATGCGTCCGACATTCCCCAGCACACGCCAAGGTGGGGATCGGATTCCCATTCCGACATTTTACAAGCCAATAGCGTCATCGTGCCTTATCACACCTCTAAGATGGGCTTCGTGCCAGCACGCCATGGCTAGGCGAATTGCCGACATTGAGAACGAGGTCGTCAGGGTCTGTTACAAAGTGAACTCCGGCTGTAACCAAGATCTCTGTAATTAGAATTGAAGCACACTTTGAAGCAATTGGAGTGACGATGAGGTGTTCCTCGCTCGGGCGGTTGATTCCTCGCAGGTATGTTAGTAATCATGATGCTTGTAGCCAAGTGCTAAGTGAGCATGTCACCTCTTAGACCATACCCCGCACTGGCTTTACTACCAAGCCAAAGATTCTCTGTGAGAATGTCTTCAAACATCTCAGAAGACTCCAAAGGGGGCATTGTAGAGCGTCTCGGCAACTTTGAAGAGATACAATCCAAGCGCCCAGACTTTGACCACTCGAATGCCCCCATCGAGGTCACAAAGTCTCCCGATCCGACTTGGTCTTACGGTCAGGGAGTGCGCACCCGAAATAGCATGTCCGCAACGCATAAGGAGATTGACCCATACGCATCCGACCGATCAATGATCAATAACTACCGCCTTCTCGTCTCCGGCATCGCACCGAGGCCGGTGGGCTTCCTGAGTACCTTGTCAAAGGACGGCAAGAAGAACCTTGCCCCTTTCAGCTATTTCCAAGTCATTGATCATGATCCACCCATGTTTATAGTCGGCTTTTCATCAAGACCCGGCGCTGTCAAGGACTCCTACCGAAATCTGAAGGAAACGGGTGAATGTGTCATCAACACGGTGTCGGAAGACATGATTGAGGCTGTGAATGCAACATCCATTGACGCTCCTCACGCAGTCTCTGAGTGGGACATTTCTGGGCTACATGAGGGGGAGACTACGACGGTGAAGCCATCGAGAGTTCTGGAGTCGGTATTCTCGATAGAGGCAAAGGTAGTAGATATCAAAGAATTTAGTGACCATGCTAAAGACGGAAAGAGTGTGGCCGGCATGGTTTTGCTCAAGGCGACGCGGTTCTGGGTGATGGAGGATACAGTTAATTCAGACTTCAGTCACATTGAGCTAGAAAAGTTGCGTCCTATCGGTCAGCTAGGAGGAAAATCATACGGGCGCATCACGTCAACTTTTGAGGTGCCTCGTAGAAGATGGCAAGATGAAGAGCCGAAAAGCGATTTTCTTCAGAAACTAGATAAGTCAGCCTCCAAATAATAGAAAGATGTGTACGGATAGTCACGCTACGGTTAGATTCCACATGCAATCAACTGTTTCTCGGCGTCGGGTAATCAATGTCTTCTAACATGGTCGGTTGCGATATTGATTGAAACCTTGACTGCATGTGCCTGAACGATATTAACGATTAACTACCTCCAGGTATACTTGTACGAAGACTTCTGGGTTAAGGTAGTTACAAGACTTGAAGGATTGATGGCTCGGAAGCCATCACCCGCAATTCAACCCCGCCTGATTGGAGGTCAGTCAACTAGGTCTTACGATGGTAGGGATCTATAGCCCAATCAAGTATATCGAGGCTGTTGGTGTTGTTACATTTCATGCTTACGAGAGCTATGTTGCTTGGCGAGATGAGGCTCTCACTTCATGTCATTAAGGTTAATACCGAGTAGAGTCTTCTCGTTTCTCCCCCAAGCCTTACGTTTCTTCTGCATCACCAAATTTGTCCATCGCATATTCAACATGACCTCCGAAGTCGTCTCGCAAGCCTCCGGCACCACAGAAAGTGCGTGGAAATCACTCGTCGAGCGAAGCATCAACGAATGGAATGCGCCTAGTGGGAATATGCACGACTTCGCGAAAGGCTTCTTGCAGTCTTACACAAGCTTGGATGGTTTCCTCCGCAGTCCGAGGGAACTACCACTCTTCTGGTTCTTCCAAAGAAGAGAAGCCTTTCTCTCGCAAAAGACATTCACTAAATGGGATAGAAATCGCCTCGATGACTATGTTCTTCTGCCAGCCCTGAAAAACTTCGTCATGCGGTCAGAGTGTTTCTTTGTTAGCCACTTTTGGACTACAGGCGACGACCCAGACCCCAGCGGCGACAACCTGCGTCTTCACCAGATGGAGCTCGGGCTTCAGAGCTGGTCGCACATCTGGGTCGATTGGAGTTGTCTACCTCAGTATCCTCGGACTGAGGTAGAAGAGGCATATTTCCTGCGAGGGCTCGAGACGATGCCCGGTATCATTCGCAACTGCGGGTTTATATGGTTCTACCCGTCATTCCAACCGCGACTATGGATTCTGTATGAAATCACCGAGTACACCCTCACGTGTGACAACGGAATTGAAGAGACTGAAGACAACAAGGAGTTTGTGAAGCACATCCGAGAAATGGAGGAAACGGGAGTTCGATCGGTGCTCAGCAAGTATGGATACAGATGTAGCGATGATCGGGACAAAGATTACTTGACTTCTTGTCTGGAAATTCTCTGTTATCTGAGACGGTTTGGAATTGACATTGTGGAGGTTAGAAGACTAATGTCTGACATTTTGTGGTTCTCTTTCACGCCAGATATGATGTACCAGTCTCACCTTGGACTTGTGCAGATTTGGAGGTTCGAGGGGGCGCTTGAGTTTCAAGGGAAGCGTTATGAGTTCACGCCGTACCCAAGATGGGCAAGTTGTTCCACGGTATCACCGAGTTGATCATAATTACTAATCAGGTTTATACAGGGAGAGGGCAAATACTCCGCCAATGCAAGATATTGGAAAAACTTCGAACTTTAGGGAAGGTCTGCGTGATAACAAGAATGGCAAGATAACGGGAAAGAAGCACCAAGTGCGCGTAGTGCGATCTGATATCAAACAGTCCAGGGCTTGGGATTGGACGTGCGGAATTCTTGTAATTTCTTTATTTTTTTGAGCGTCTATTATTGGATATCTTTAAATCAAATCATTACGCATCGCTGAAAACAAAAAGAAAATGTCTTGTCGGTTCAACCAAACACCCTACGTCTCAGCTCGCTCTTCAATGAGCCAAGCATATGGGCGCTCTCCGCAACAGCTCCCTTGTTCTCCACCGCCCGTCTGTGCAGGTATCCCATGCACTCTGAAACGGAACCCCACGGCAGGTACTTGAAAGGCTTGGGGATAGCATCCCTCTTCAGTCCAGAGGCCGCCACGCACGTGTCGTAGTTGTCCAGCAACTCGCAGCTCAACTCGTCCGCCATACCAAACAGCTGACCACACTCGAGCTCGGTCGTGGCCTGGCCATCGAGGATTCTGCGGCGGTGGGTAGAGATCGCGGTCGCGGAGCTGGCGGCGTTGTGGGTGGCAAGGAAGAGCGCGCTAGCGGGGAACTGACACTCCTTGGCCTCCTCGGGAAGTCTCTGGCTGATAAACATGTCGGCGATATCATCAAAGTTGTTATCGGTGTCTTGCTTGGTGTCGTGGATCAGGGATCGGACCTCGTTTTCAATGTAGGCACCGCGGACAAGCTTGACTCCCAGACTCCAGCCCTCCTTCGCCGCCAGGGAGATGTGACGCTCAGAGTTGGCCTTGGAGCCCTTGAGGTATCCCTGGATAGTGTTGTAGATCAAAGGCTTGCTCTGGCGGTTGTGCTTTCTCATAAGGTCGATGGTCCACTCGTCCAGTTGGGGCTGAAGGGCTTGTTGCTCGGCATCGATCCAGAGACGAGAGCCCTGTCTGTTGGTTTCCTCGCAGAGTTCGTCCAAAGCCTTGCTCAAGACTTCAGGGATGGGTGCTTTCTCCTTCAGGGCATCGACAGAAATGGGACCGGCGCCAGTAATCCTGATCTTGTTAGTGGGGACATATGGAAAACAGTGGTGGTGCAACTTACTTGACAGCCAGGAAATCGCCCGGTGCCATCATACGGAGAGTCTCGAGGTTTCCGGTCTTCCATTGCTGAACCATTTGGTAAACCTCCGGTGCGTACTGTCCAGCTTTTGTTTCCGCTGCGGCTGCCTTCTTGTCCAACACGATTTCCTTTGCGTAGTTGAGAATGACACCCTGGTATCCCATCCGCTTAACTTCAGAAACTGTCTTTGAAACCTGAGGGATGTTCTCTCCGGCGCAGAAGTGGTCGTAGATAGTCCATCTGAGAAGCCGGTTTAACAAGGGATTCTTATCGGGGTTAAATAGTGCGAATTTCGTGTTGGCGATAAAGTGTAGTAAAGGTAGTGCTGGCTTCATAAGGAGTGGTGATGACATAAACTGGGTAAGAAATAGTGACCGGACCAAGGCCTTGGTCGAAAGTCTAGATAAGGGTGATTTCTTAGGGGTCGGGGTGAAAGTCCGTGGCGCTGTTGGAGACAAGGTCTGAGTCTTGGCCGCCGTGGTGCTGACATATCTCGACGCTCCCTGCACTCGAATGGATCTGCAGAGAGGCAATGGCGCCTGGCCGCACGCGACGAGTCTTGCGGGCATCGTGATAGATAGGAAGACAGACTTCAATGTTTTGCTGAGACAAGACTTGACACAGGCAAAGATGGTGGGAGGGTGCTTGGGTACTTCTATTTATCGATCACGAACGGCTACGGCCGGCATAAACTCTGAATCGCGACCGAGCCATAGCATCGTGGAGGTATGTCTCCGAGCTAGACACCCCCCAGCCGTCGGCGTTCCGATGGTGTGTCTCTGCGCACGCCCGGGGAAGACTAAAGTTACGTGTGGTATTTGCGGCTCTTCTCCATCACGGAGCACGGCGGAACCGTCTTTACACTGGATCATCACCTCGCAGGTGGATAAGACAAACCCGCCACCGACGCAAAATCAAGACATCATTGGGCCTCGATGAGATCGAAATCTAACACAAGCCCGTTATCGGAATGCTTTGAGTTTAGATCCATGAGATAAGAATGACCAAGTGACCAAAGTCGGGTGCTTAGACTATGAGGGGCACCCCGGATGTAGCAGGTGTCGGTGCGGGTGTCCCGACATGTCGGATCCAAAATTCGGAAGGGTTTATCGCGTCGGAAGCTCGTCCCGACAACACTAACACGCTTGTTCTGCTGATCATCTACAAACCTGTCGGAGTAGCAATCACCTTGAATAAGTCCTATGCAATCATTCTAGCAATAATCGAACTCCACTGTTCGTAGACTGTGTAAAGTGTCTGCGACAATACGCTTAGGCCGGTTACCTTTACCGGCATTGTCTCTTGCATGAGCCCCTTGTAATCTGGCCAACCCATCATAGCTGTGTTCCTGGCATAGATTCATGGGAAACGCGACACAAGTATGAAAGAGAAATAGGCCAAATGGGTTGGTTTGGTCCTGCGTAAGTATGCGAAGGTAGCACACGCTTGTGCCCAGGTGTCGCTCATTCAATCTCAACTTGGGTATGTGTACACAGTTAGTGTAGCGAGCTCTGGGGTCATTGAACGAATGCATTCAAATCCAACCTTACGCCGGAATACTTTGTAGAAAGAGACCTACTAGTGCAATTGATTAAGTACTAAGTAAGTCAGTAGTCATTAGCTGTAGGGTATGCGATATTTTGACTGCTTTCACTGCTCTGCATACAGATTTGCCACCTTAACAAGCAGCTGTGAGCCTTTTCATTTTCGGGGCGAGACTGGAGTCAGTTTTGGAAGTCGTCCCATCGATTGGCTCAGCTTATCACTTCCCTTCCCAATACGCACAGATATTCTGCACATTCAAAGCCTATCAGTCAACTTCATGGCAAGTTCTCACCATCTTTTGCGCATGAATTTTGCAATTTTCTCTGTTGTGAAATCAATTTCCGCGCACAATAAAACTTATCCAGTCTCTTAGGACTTCTGAGCTAATGAGCAATTGCAATCATCTCGTGGATCCTGATATTCCCGTACTTGACATAGCCACTGCAGCATAAACTAAGTATGGCTTCCAGGCTCCAAGATTATCGATCAGTTTCGATCCAAGATTTTGCTGGAATTCGAAAGACTGTTTTCGTCTCATTGCCTGTAATAGGTTCGGCGTAACGCAGCCCCGGGCTTCGAACCTTCTAGATACTCCTGACCAAGATCCAAAATGTCTCCTCGCCATGGCTTAACGCCTACCAGAATACTAGTTCCAAGCTGAAAAACGAAAGCAAATATTTGCTACCATCAACATGCTTCTATGTTTACGTGTCATCTCAAATACAGCGGTCTGAAGTCTCCCACATCACTTCTCAAGTCTCCTTAATATTCTCAACTTCCCAAACCGCGCCCTTGCATTGCGGCTCCCTGAACCGGCCTGTTTCGCCGGCTGAACAATGATATAAGAAGCCGTATCCGTTGCAGGCAACTAGGACTGTTGAATCGACATTTCCAGCGCGTAGAACAAGCTGGCTTTGCTTGTGGACCACGGAAGTCCCAGAGTCGCCGCAAAAATAGACGTTGTTTGCATTGAGGTTACAGTTCGAAACTCGCTTGTATCCATTGACTTTGCCGTTGAAAGTCCCTTCGCCACAGCCTGCGAGAGCTTGACCCGACAGCAGGGCTACGGCCAAGGTAGAGAGGGTAAACAGTTGCATTGGGACTGCCTTTGGTTGAACTTGGCGATCTTTGTTTTTTTTTCAAGTGTATGATTGGTTGGGAATGAGGTACAGGTTGCTTGCTGATAGAGAGTTGCAGTGTCGCTTGGTGTTCGTGGTAGGGTTTGACTTCCTTCATATGGACCAGCTCATACATTTATTCTCAACTCTCTACAACCTCTACAGCACGCATAGCCGTACTTGCCGAGATTGTCGGCCAAATCTAACCCAGCAGAGAATCTCATTGCTTTAAAGTGAGCGGTACGAGGAATTCGAAATTGCTCCATAAAGCAGGGTGAACTCTCCTTGATTATTGTGGGGTTCTAAAAGTTCTGTTAGAAGCTCTCACCGTCATCTCACGTACCCAACCTTAATACACTGACTGTGTGGTCGGCTCAGGTAAGCAGCGTACTTCGCCGGCTTGAATGCGAGTATGGGGAGAGGCTTCGGAACAACCCAGTCCCGTGAAGGTTTGTAATTTTATTATTTGCAAAGTGCTCCGGTCAACGATTAATTTGAATAATAATTTCGATTGTGGGAGATGAAAAGTCAAATGCGTACCCACACCATCCGTGCGGTTTGATCCCGCTAAGGTGAGACGGACTGAATAAAAGGCGAGTAATTAAGAAGACAACATGAGAGTAATAGTGTCTGTTCTAGTGCGAAATCGCGCAACAATTCTTGCAAGGTGTTAAGTCCTCTTCCGTGGCAGCTCACTCATGTTTGCGACCGAAGTTGGGCAAGAAAGACCAGGTGAACAACAAAAATGCGAGTGCCCCGAGCAGTATTGGAGATAAGACTTGCACGCCATGGCGCTGAGCTTGAGCTCCAATGACAAAGGGCAGAATCGCCGCGCCACTGCCTCCAAAAGCAATGGCAAATCCGATAGCACTGATGTGTAAGTGCCTCGGTAACAACTTCGTGATGGCAACCATCATGGTGGGGAACAAGGGTCCAAGGAAGAATCCCTGGAGCGATACGGTGATTGCGGAGACAAAGAATTCGGGAATAAGCCAGAATAAGAGCTGTAAACACACGGTGGCGCCGAGGTATATCTGTTAAGGTTTTCAAGTGGTTAGTCGATTGACTCATCTACGCCAGATTTGAATGTGGCTGAGGTTGAGTTGCTGAACACACCATGACAGCGAGGTTCTCGCCTACTCGAGGTGTCACAAGACCCAAGGCAACACGACCCAGAGCTAATCCGGCCCAGAAACCAGTAGCCGTCATACCACTGGCAAATTCCTCTCCATGACGAACCTGCAACATGAATGTGACGATCCAACCGCCGAGAGACACTTCCAGTCCGACGTAACCTAGGGCGAATATTGCGCAGAGCCAAGTTACCCGAGCCGAAGGCGGTTTAAACAGAGTTTCATGTACAACTGACTCTCTTGGCTCTAGCCCCTTGGGATTGTCTTCTCGGTATGCTCTTCCAGTAGCGGACCAAAATGCCGAGGGGGTCAGAACAAGCTCTACTATAGCTAAGCCAGCCTTGATACAGAATAATTGTGTTAGTGAGAACTCAAAGACTTAGGTGACTGGGATGTAGCTCTCACCATAAAGTAGTAGAACGTGTGCCAAGGTAGTTGAGGTTTGCTGATCATTACGGTCGCCGTCATGGGTCCCAGGACAGCCCCAACGCCGTAGCAAGCATGCATTAGACTAATGACATGGCTGGAGTCCGCCAAACTCCCGACCCACGAGTTCCAGGCAGCATCGCCAATGCCGTTGCCCAAACCAGCCAGCATGTAGATGAATACTAGTGCTGGGTATGGAGGGTGCAGCGAGATGGCGATGTATGATGCTAGGTGGCAGACGGAACAGATCATTGCTATGCCTCTTTGTCCGACGCTTTCATGCAGGCTGTTGTTTAGGATGGCAGAAAGTGTGTGACCGATGAAAGGCGCGAGGAAGATTAGAGATGTAAAGGAGTAGGGTAAGTCATAGTATTTTCCCAGCTTCACATAACCATATGGTCAGATGTTATCATAACTTTGATCCTTGGGCAACGCTTACATGAGGTATGATTGCCTAAAGCGATTCAACATCAAGTTCAGGTTAGTTGTGAGGCTCACCACGTTTCACCGGTTCGTACGACAACTTACGCCATATGAAGCGTCATTTGCGCCCATGACCAACAGACTCCAGAAGACAGCTAAGGTGCGAAGTATATTCGAACGCGAGCTGTTCCATCTCTGTAAGGCTACAATTGCATCGTTGGGCGGGGAAGAGGTTCCGACACGCTCATGGCAGCTGAGTTCTAACGAACGACTGGATCCAGCAGAATACCCGGTGTATGAATAGAGCTGAACTACTTCACCGGATATTGGACTGTGCTCTCTCTCAATATCTGGGAGAGGAAACTGTCGTAATTCGATGCGTTGGACTTGGTTACTCGGCGCCATGTGGTGAAACTGTGGCTTTGAAACCCGGAGATCTATGCCTCAGTGTGCGAAGTGGAAGCTTTTCAACGGTGATGGATCGCAGATGTGTTGTAAGAAGGCTCAATTCAAAAAAGGCACAGAAATTTCAGAATAAGAAGAGGTCATCTGTTATTGTCAGTCTCTTCCTGGCAGATGTGATGAGAAATGAGTGGTCCCTTCTGTCGGGGTTCCCAGAGCAGTAAGTGCGGCTGCCAGGCATAGGGTGACAAGGGTCCCCACGCTCAAATTCACACAACTTACAAGTACTTACATGAACTATATGAACTGATCGTTCTGTACTCAACCCTGTCGTAATGATTGGTATAAGAATAGGCGGGCGAGAGTACCTGTGAGTGCTCGAAGAATTTGTAATCCTCTTGAGCCTCTATATTGTCGATCACCATGACTATTCAATGGGCTTGGGCGGTGACTCATACTAATCTCTTGTGCCAGCTCTCAAACAAACGAAAGTCTTGTTTCCCAGACACTCTAGCACGGGTCTAGTTGTACTTCTTCATACTAATTCATGGTTCAAACTCGACCTACTTGGTATGTCCACGTGCATCTTCTTAGCGGATCGAACGCCGAGCTCGGTAAACTGTGGATCGAGGAGGATTCTATGGGTCCTGCAGTCAGGGACCGCTTCCCGAATCAGGAAGTACTCCCCACTGCACTTAAACTCGACTAATACTTAGGCGGCCAGGACATGTGCTTCCTGTCTGATGCAATGGATTGTCTTCTTCACATTTTGGGGCAGAGGATAATGCACTTCATGTAGCACCAAAACAGTACGAGCTACGTCGTCCACTCGCGGTCTCGTGGTAACGATTCTCAAAATTTGTGAAACTTCATGACTTTATGGCTTGAGGTCTATGTCTCATATCCCATCAAAAATTGCTGAGTAGATAAAGATTTGGTAAAGTTATTCAGAATTTTGTCGTGTACGTGAGCACCATAAACAGGTGGCACGTCCAATCCGCTGAGCGGTGTCACGTCACCATCGATATCGGGGCCCAGTGACCGAATGAACTTGTTGTTTGCATCAATCGGCATCTGAGGCGATGTAAAGAGCACGACTGGCAGTGACGCGCGGTACTGAGAACTGTCAGGAAACGTTTGAATACTCATACAGCACTTCATACTTACTTTGTGTGCAAATGGACTATTGTCTGATTCTTGGACGGTGATTTCGATGGAAAGAAGATGAGTCATGCTGATATCGTGGGCCTCCATATCAGGAGAACAGTCTTTTGGCTCGGAAGGAAGGGGAAGACTCTGCGTTATCTTATAAAATCTTTGCTCCAAATTCTCATAGTTGTTTACGGGTGTCTCCCACTCGGCAACGTCTCTGTCGCCGACGAAGGATGTAAGTTGACTTTTACCAGCCTTAACTTTGTGCGACTCTAGAAGCTGACATTTCGCCTGTGAGATTCTTGTCCCTGCTTTCAGCGGCGCGAAACGCATCTCGAGAGGAATAGCTGTGCCCAGGGCGATGGCGCGATGGCCGACAGATATTGAGTAGCGTAGTTTCTCACTCCATGTGCCTTCCACCGTCACCGGGTCCATCAGCTCGAATGCTGAACTAGGCAGCGTTCTGTTGATTTGTATGGTCTTGTATGTCTGAGGCGTCGATGAAGAAGTATTACTTCGGATTGTCGTGGCCGTTAGCTGATAAGTGATGCTGCACCGGCTACACCCCTGAAAGGTTTCCGGCGTGTCCCCGGGTATCGAGAGTTCGAATAGCCACTCGTGAGTAGTGGTGTTGGGGTAACTAGAGTGGAAGTCCGTTTGACTCTGATCGGTAAGGAAAGGAGGCCATTCATAGTCGAAAACACGGACCGTGCTTGAGCATTCGCTCGTTTTGGATCTTGTGTCATGGTCCCTGTAGAAACCTTCAGCATCATGCGGTCTATGAACGCTGCCTTGATTCAAATTGCACTGACCTGCGACGTGAGAAGCCGTCTAGACGTAGCCGCACACCAACTGCGAGCTGTTCTGAAGGTAGACGAAGGCTGAGAACTCCCTGGAGGGGCTGCTCGTTTGCTTCATCCGCTGTCCCTCTCAAGAACACATAATCTCGATCCATCCTAATGCTCAGCGAAAATGATCAGCCAAAGAACTCGAGCTGGCCGGAACCCTACTCAAGAGCAACTTCGCTTACAAGATTTTGAGACACGCATCTTTGCTCTCTACGCCAGTTAGTCGTGAGAAGAATGAAAGCATGGGAACTGTTGCTAACTTCTGGTTCGCAGTGTTGAAATCATTAAGGAGTGTAAAAACTTCGTCTTCATTGCTCTGCGATGAGAGTAGAAGTAAGGTGATGGAAACCCCAGCCCGCAAGGTTTGACTCGTGAGTCGCGTCATGCTGTTCTATGTCGATATGGGCAAAATTACATTGGCATGCTGTCCGTCAGGGATGGGCGGGATTGTTTTCCGTCGGAAGCTAGCCTAATCCAACTTCTTCAGCCTCAAGGCAACAGTGAGTACCTAGGTAGGTAATCCGCACAGATACTTGACCCCTTTCAGCGAGGATTTTGCCCTGCGAGGCACGGCCTAGGATGTGGTTTTCTTCAAGGAATTAGAGAGAGGGCGTTAAGGTGGCACGATGGCAGCATCTGATAATCCCTGTACAGAACAATTGCGACCGATTCCCAAAGAGGCAATAGAACCCACCGGCAAGCTAAGGATCTGAGTAACCTTAGGTCCCAAGCTTCGCATGCTCAATGATTCTGAGAGCATCGTGCCGTGGATGAATAAGCTCAAGGGGAAGTGAGACGGAATATAGTTCCCGCCAGTTTCCATTGAGTAACCAGGTCGACACAAATAGTCTTTTGCTGGACATGCGCACCATCACGGCCTCGTTGTGGTTCTCGTCTTGAGAATGGCAAACAAGTGGAGCTGAGGCGGAGGTAGCGGAGTTGTCCACGTGCCGAGTCAGCATTCTATCGACCGGCCTTGCCCCGTTCGGATGCTCGCAGCCGGTTGATCCTCGGAAGATCACGATGCTGACTAGCTTCAGAGCTTTTGGTGTTTGTGTAAGTCTGGACGGAAAATTGTTTCCCTTGACAAATCATGCCATATGACTAACCGCTGCTTGGCTGAGCTGGTTGGTCTGATATGCCGGCACATCAACTACGACGATCACGTCCCTCATTGGCGTTGGGACTAAACATCTCGGGAGCTCGGCTAACAATTTCTAGCTCTCACCTAGTGAGACAATCGGGGTTAGCTGCATTTCGACGTCACATGGCGTGACATTGTTCCCCCTCAGCTACCTGAGAAAATGGGCAAGAAATCTGCGCCCGGTGGGAAAACATCTCCCTTCGTGTCTGTTTGTTGGGTCATCGCTGTATTGATGATATTGTGCTTCTACTTCTACCAATAGCCATTGCGTTCTTTGAATGCATAGCATACCACGACCGCACGCTGAAGCCGACAATACTCACTCAAGCCATTTGCTGTTCTTATCATTGACATGAATTATTTCGAGTGATTGCTCCTAGCCGTTATCGTCGCATCATTGACCCCAACGACACCATTCCTCATCAGGCCAACCCGACCCTCCAGTCGTTTAACTAAGCTGTGTTCTCCCTCACCACCATAATTACCGCCTTGATAAGACAACGCTCGATCCCATGGCATCGACTTCACTCTTGTCTGCGTCTGTCATCACCAATATGGCCGCCCTTCCAGCGTACGGAAACTATCACCACGTTCAGCTGGCGGGGGTTTTTGACTCTGCCCTTGATCAGAGGCTGGGCCGTCACCTCGCGCCCACGCCGGCCCATCTCACCCGCGTAGTTTATGTTCCAAGCCATAAAGACACCTCTGCTCACTTGCCCCTCTACGATTATAACGAAAACTACGACAAGGCTGTTAAGAAGGAGCCTATCGGCAGCAGCAAGTATAAGCTTGGTCTGGCCATGATGAAGCGACCATCGGGAGACGGAACTGACGCGCAAGTTCGCTATCTGGTCAACTTCCAAAAGGGCCTTGAGAGTACTGCTGCGACAGTGGAGAGAAGAGTGCCCAGCCATAATGGTGATATTGTCAGCTTGTAAGTCTCTCCCAAACCTATCCCTTGCTCACACATTAGGAGGACCCGGTTACTAATACTTTAGAAAGGCACCTGCCTCTCGAGGACACTGGCAGTTTTCGCGTTGCGCCACACAGCATGGACCAAGACTTGGAGCTGGCAGTGGCCAGCTCATTCCCCGTCCCAGATACCAAGATGCACGCAGCCGCCAACCCCGTGCGACACCCATGGTTCACCATTTCGCAAACTTCGCGAGACGGAAGCATTACTGTTCCCTCGAATCTGGAATGGCGAGCGCGCCCAACTGAAGATGGGCCTCTGCGATACACTTTGGTCGACACTGACGCGGAGTTGAGCGGCGGGGAGCCGGCAGTCCATGCTATCTACCATCACGTCGGCATCGGTTTCGCGCTGCCCAACGATTACAGCGAGGGCATCCTGTTACTTTCGGAAGATCTCAATGGAGAGGCGGAGGCGCTGGCGATTTCTACCTTGCTCGGCGTCCTCCGGCAGACCCGGTCGATCAACCAGCCTTCTCCTAGGCCAAGGAAGAAGTCGTTGGTCAAGCGAGTCTTGGGCAAGATTTGAGAACAGAACATACTTCGCTCTGTTTGGGAAACGAATCTGAGTGATCTAGCCTGGATGAGCACCACTCGAGTACATGCACGGCGTGGAAAATGACGGAGGGATTTGAGCGGTAGATACCCAGGGAATTTGTACTGTCTTTCCAGTTTTTTTGAGTTGACTTCAATACGATAAATTACATTTCGAGCAACTCGGCTCCTCAGATGCTGTGTGGCTTAGTATCCCACCGGGTATTGCCAGGCGTCTGTACACGAAGTACCCACGTTCCAATGCCTTTCGCGCTTTTTTCTTCAAATCTGCTCCCTTGGTATTCCAAGTTCGTGTCCATGTGATATAATCAAAGTACAGTCGGTTTAAAACGTTCATTTTAGCCGGAGTTGCTGCGGACTGGCGCACTTCAAAACCTGATGGATGGAACTTCGGTATGTGGCTACGTGTATCTCCGACACACTACGAAGTACAAGTGCATGTGTCCCATGTCATTAAGCCCCAACAGACTTACTGTTAATCTGCACATCAGACAACTTAGGCTTGTAAGAAAAGAACGATGAGGATGCCCAGAAAGCCTTTCCTGCGCACTTGGTATGTCTAAGCACTTGTAAGTACTAAGTATGCATGTGCCCAGCATCGGTGGTGGACAAGTTGGGAGTATGCCTTGTCTTGGCATAGTCACAACTTGAAGGTGCTTTTTCCGCCCCTGACTCATTTTGCCGGACCTTAACCGCATTTGGTGGGTAGAAACCGCCTAATACAAATTATAGGACAGCTCTGGACTCCCGAGTCGCCGGCTAGCCGGACCTGCATCGCCGTAATAGTTCCACAAGCCGTATCTACGCTATTTGTTGGAAAGTATTCCCACGACTATGTCTGCGCTATCTTTAAGAACCCACCAGGGTCAGTTGGCTGTCTAGGTATTCTATGTAAGGTATCAATAGATATATCTTTCATCACTATACTTCTTACGATAAAGTCAAGCCAGTCAACTTCCCCAAATCCATCCCCTACACACAGCAAACCACGCATCCTGCTATAAATCACACGACATCATGCAACCCAATAAAGCGTTACCCGTTCGCTTGATCACACTCAACATCCGCTACGCCATCAAAAAGACCCTCGTGCCAAACGAAGGGCCGTGGGAGGTTCGCTGCCCGAGAGTAACGTCTCAGCTGAGATTTCATACAGCAGGCCTACCGAATGCCTTCATCTGCATTCAAGAAGTGCAGAATCAACAACTTCACGATCTAGAAGCCGAATTAGGTCAACGGTGGGCCAGCATCGGCCGTGGCCGTGCTGACGGAGGATCCGATGGGGAATTCTCGCCGGTGTTCTATCGGACTGATCAGTGGACTGCAGAGCGAAGTGAGACCTACTGGCTCAGTCCCACACCGGAAAAGCCTTCCAACGCATGGGGCGCGACTATCAACCGAATTGTCACGGTTGGCCTTTTCAAGCACAAGATTTCCGACACCAGAATCGTTGTGATGAGCACCCACCTCGATCACAAGAGTCAGGAAGCCAGGCGGGAGAGCGCCAAGTTACTTCTCAAGATTGCTGAAGAGTGGCGGAAAGATACATCAGAAGGCCGTGGGCAGGATGTACCGGTGTTTCTAGGCGGAGATTTCAACAGCGGGCCAAGAGACGAGCCGCACGAGATTCTGACAGCTCGACCGGGCGGCATGAGAGATATATCGGACTTGGTGCCATCTCGGGATCATTACGGCAACAAGATTACTTACACGACCTTTGGAGAGGCTGACCCGACCACGATCGACTATCTCTTTGTGTTGAATCCCGAACGCATACGGTTTTGCAACTTTGCTGTTCTGTCAAACCGCTTCGATGACGGTATCTACTACTCAGACCATCGACCAGTCGTTGCTGACATGGAGCTGGTAGTCACGGCGACGTCTTGAGTGGCCCTGTTGCTTAGCCCTTTGGTGTTCTATATTGCTCAAGTCTCATATCGTCACACCGCAAAAGACCAGGAAATGAAAAAGCTAGTTCACTGTTTCAACTCTTTTTCAAAGACATTGTGAAGTCCGACTAAGTCTGAGTAAGGTTGTTTTTTACTCTCCACGGAATAGAGTTGAAACATTCGCATCAGAAATCCGCGACTACACATGTAAACCTCAATTTCCTGCATGTCAAAACCAAAACCCCGGTCTCCAATTGGTAATCCGTCACATGTGAGTCGAAGTTTGTACAAGGGTACTTGTTTTGTGAGGGGTCATGGCGAACCATAGAGCAATTCGAGCCTATGTCCGTTATTCCTGTGAGATGCAAGTTTTGAACCGGCATCGACTTAGAGAAGAACTGGAGACTCGAATGTATGTACCAAGGTTTTCCCTTTGATAGGATAGCGAGCGCTAGGCAATGCTAACTTTTGTTGCTTTGAGATGTAGAACAGGTTACATGGTTGCTGATATCAGTTTGATTTTAAGTTACTCTAGCTTCGTACTATCTTCGTGAAACTTGAGCTGGTTCAAACGTTACAATGACTTCTAGTCCGCAAAGCAAAATGATCGCAAGACAACTTGAAAAGCGGTGGATGATTGTGACAAAGTCACAATATTTTGGTTCTTTCTATGCTCTATTTGAATCTTCAGAAAGGCAATCCTCGTCCATCGACCCCTTTAGCACATTGGACGAGCGGAGTCAACTTTCATCTTGGGCAAAAGCCCAAGCTCTTCCAGTTCCTGGAACGTCTCAAAGATGCTCTCAGTCGTGTCAACGAATCCAGTCCACCCAAGACGTCTGGCCTTGTTCAAACACGGGCTCCCAGCCCGAAGGTACGCATACTCGGACATGGAGAAAGTTTCGGGGTCCGCGAACGGATCATTCGTAATCTTGCCTCCAGACTCCTTCATGATCTCGCGCCAAGCAATGGCATTCTTCTCATCCTTGGCCCAGTCGCTGAGAGTGAACCGCGTCTTGGAAGAGAAAGGCGGGCCGTAGCCGAGGGGTGTCTTCTTGCCCGACTTGCCATGGATCTTGGTCTCGACACTAGACTCGTCGTCCGGCGGGGGAACTACCTTTTCGACACCGAACCAGCGGGCCAGCTCAGGGAAAAATCGCTCCCACACAAGCGGACCTCCGTCTTGCGCGTTGAAGCTCTCGTTGGCGCTGTCTTCGTTGAGAACTGCCCACTCGCTGAGGTAGCCACTCATCCGTGCCGAACCATGGTAGCTCTCAAACTGCCACGATTCCCAATCTCCTCCGAAAGCGAGAGGCTCGCCCTTCCGAGCTTGCACTGCAGCGTAGATGCCGAATAGGTAGAGCATGTTCATGCCCGCCTGCGACGAGGTTCCGATCACGGCACAAGGCATGACAATGTTCCACGCCGTGCCGTGCCTCTTGCAAAAGGCTCTGAGCAAGTCCTCCTGAGGGTAGTAGAAGTTAGGCTGCAGGTGTCTGGGCTGCGGATCGGACTCGAGGAGGGGGAAGCGCCCGCGGCCGATATGCACGCCATGGCTTTTGCCGCCAGTCTGAAGAAGGAAGCGAGTAGGCTTGACGTCTGCCAACTCCAATGCCTCGAGGAAGTTCTTCAGTAGGGCGACATTGCTCTCAACAAGACCATCAACATCAGACCAGTCCTTGTGAATGTAAGAGTAGTAGAAGACGTGATCCGCTCGAACGCCAGCCTGTTTCATGCTCTCCGCAATAGAGGCAGGCTCATCGAGGAAGTCACAAGTGACGATCTCGATTCTGGAACGGGCATCGGCTGACAAGAGAGCCATCATCTCTTCCGGAGGAGGACGACGGGAGAGACAGAAGATGGTCTTCCAGCGCTTGGGGCTGTCAAGAAGAGCCCTCATCGTGTTGAAGCCAGAGATGCCATTGGCACCGGTGATGATGGCAGTGAGGCTTTCAACCGACTCATCGAAAGTCGGCAGGTTACGGTAAATGCCGATTTGACGAAGACCAGAAGTGGAGGAACTCATGATGGGCAAAAGACTTGTGGCTTGTTTCTTTAGTTGATACAAGAAGTAGATGGTGAAGTGTGTCGAACCAAGATTGAAGAGGGAGGTCTTTCTCTTCCTTAAGTACGTGGAAGCACTGGATGCCTTCTGTTCTACATGACTCCCCTCTGCCAGATTCATCTCTATCTGTTCTCAAAATTTTTGTTATCTTCACCAGGTGTATCAGGCTTCAGCATTGACACCGTGCGTCATGATGTTGACGATTCCAAGGGGCTCTCATATCCTCGGCGGCTTTCCGTCATAGACTCTGGAAATATGCACGCCGTCACAGTGTGAAAAACTTCCGGATCGGACCCGGCCTCACATAATCGGACTTGAGACGAGATTGACCGAAGTGGACCACGTTGGACGCGGCCATAAAAGGTCCACAGATGTCCGTTTCGGGCCAGTTGTAGCGCGGTGAGAGTGCAATTTTGGCGCCGGGCCAAGCCTCGACACCATTCACGGCCCTCACAGTGCTATAGGACCATTTTGTGGGGCGGTCCCTTTTCCATCCAGTCTCTGCTTGTCTTTGAATGGAAATGTCTTACCGAGTTGCTTTTTCCTTACTCGGGACTACCGCGGGCTGCTAACCTGTCCCGAAGTCCGTCTTGTGTTTCGAGTCATCGGCCCATGTAGTGTAACAGCGAAAGGGCATTCGTCCTGATTCAGACCTGTAGGTGGCACTGAGCTCGTCTGATGCAGCAGAGGTTGGTTACATTCCGTATGAGCCGCCTCTTATTTGATCCTGCCGTGTTGATCTCCCGAGTTATCAGTTGTGATAGTTCTTAGATCCGATGTTAAACGGAGTTAAACATTATGTTGGCATTGTGAAGAGAAGAATGCATGGAAAGTAGCTACGGCAAACTATCGCTTGCGACCGGAACCTCCATTAACCCCTTCGCGTTCACGCAGCGCGGTCCTGTACACGCACACAGCGTTACTATCTCCGTTGCCGCGGCAAACCGGGCACTTCTGGCCATGGACGATAAACTGGTAGTGTAACCCAAACTTCAACTCGTTTGGTATGCGGGCATCCAGATGGGCCTGTGCCAACTCCTTGGACGCATCGCGCGGTCTCCAACCCCAGAGGCCTGTAATACGATGGATATGGGTGTCCACCGCAAATGCATCTCTGTTCAAGCAGATACTCATCAAGCAGAAAGCGCACTTTGGTCCAAGACCCCAGTAGCTAATCACCTCCTTGACAACATCTTCATCACTGGCGTTGAAGAGGTGCTGAAGGTCCCACTTCCCATGGCGATCCCTGATATCGTTGAGTAACTGCATGAGAATCTTGGCCTTGCGGTTCTGCATTCCACCAGGTCGCAGCGCATCCACCAGCTTCTCCATACCACCTTCCACAATTGCCTCGTAGTTGAATGTTGATCCATAGACAACCTTCATATTCTTCATTGCGCGCTTGGCATTGTTCCACCTGGTCGCCTGACTGAGGGCGGCTACGACCAGAGCATCCATCACATATGGGTACTCCTGAGCTGGGGCATCTGGATCGGCAAAGACTTCCCGAATCACATCACCATGAAGCTCTTCTAGGATGTCGTAGGCGACTTGACACTCATCTCGGGTTGGACGAACGAAGTCGGGGTATGGGGAAGACTTGGCATGTTGAGACCAGGCGGCAAACTTCTTCTCCGAGAGCTTTTGGGTCGACGGTGGTGAGCTGGTGCTGTGATCCTCGGCAGATCCTTTCTCTATACCGTTCGTCTTTTCACCCTTCTCATCTTTCCTGGATTTGGGGGCCTCCTTACTGCCTGTCTTTCTTGTCGTTGATGAGGGCTTTTGAGGCGCTTTGCGTTTGACCTTGACTTTCAATTCATTGGAAGTGTCATCAGGGTCGCTGTACTTCCTTTTAGACACAATGGAAGTGGCAGTGGCTGTCTTGGAACTTGATCGAGTGCGCATTTTTGTTGTTGCTGTTGTTGTTGTTGTGGTGGTGGTGGGAATGGATAGGGCTGCTATGGTTTTGGGATTGGTGTAGGAGAAAGCCCTCAACAAGACAGATCGAAACATACGATGTGATCATACCAGATGAACGCCTACACGCATCTGCGAGGTTGAAGACTAGAGAGAGTTATAAGTTCTACCAATGACCTACTCCCATGTCAGTTGAGGTCAGATCTTTGGCCGCCGCCTTTATGAATACTCACGGACAAATCTACAAATATTGATGTCCGACACAAAAGTTATCCCTCTCGGTGACGGCATTGGTGGTCCCTGTCGATCTAAGCGCATGTCCCCCAACCGTCCGATCGATCCACGCCACTTTGGGGCTAGTGGGAGATTCGTGCTCCCAATTCACTGAAGTCTGATACGGATACATCGTTTTGTGCCCCATAGGCTATTGCCATGGAAGTCGTCTAAAGAGCGAAAGGTGAAAACGCTAATTATCAAGCTAAACCTCAAAACATACCACTCTTCCCGAGTCTCTACAATTCCGAGCTACGCCTGATAGCAGAAGGACAAGGCCACTACCGACGCCCCAGGCCCATGTGGGTAATGGTTAGAAATACTGAAACGCTCATCAAAGTCCAATGGGAAGAAAATCCGAAAACATCCATCATTATACTCTGTTCTTGTCTGAGGCACCACCGACTTGTCTCGTCCACAAATCCTTGTATCTTGTCCCTTCCTCCAACAACTCCTCATGAGTACCACTTTCGACCACTCTACCCTCGTGAATGACCACAATCTTGTCCGAGTTGACAACCGTGGAGAGCCTGTATGCTATGACAAATGTTGTCCTGCCACTCTTCAAAGTCTCCAAAGCATGTTTTATATTCGCTTCGGTCATCGTGTCGACCGCACTCGTCGCTTCGTCGAGAATGAGGATAGGCGGGTCCTTTAAAAATACCCGTGCAATGGCTAGTCTTTGAATTTCACCACCAGATAGCTTGACCCCCTGCTCACCTACTTTGCTCTCGTATCCGTCGGCGAAACTAAGGATGCGGTCGTGGATCGCAGCGGCTCGGCACGCTTCGAACACGTCTTCATCTGTCGCAGATGGCCGTGCGTATCGCAAATTTTCCATGACTGAAGCGTTAAATAGCAAGGGGTCCTGCGGAACCACACCAAGCGCTACACGAAGCGAAGCGAGCGTGACGTCGCGAATGTCTTGGCCGTCAATGGCGATGCGACCGCTTGTTACGTCGTAGAATCGCAAAAGTAGTTTCACGATTGATGACTTTCCGGCACCCGTCTCTCCGACTAAGGCAATGGTTTTTCCTGGTGCTGCCGACACATCCAGCTGTTGAATGGTCTGTCTTCTCGGATCGTAGGCGAAACCGACATTCTCGAATGCGACGTGACCTTTCACAGGCGTAAGATCCCTGGCGTTCTCCTTCTCGATGATTGTGGACTTGGTTTGCAAGAGATTGAGAAGACGTTCGGCATCCACCAAGTCTGACATCAAGTACCGGTAATTATGTGAGAGGAACTTGAGAGGCCAGACCAGGTACTCCCAGTACGACAAGAGCAAGACAAAATCTCCAGGGGAGGCTCGGCCACGGGTAATCTCGTATAGCACCAGGCATGCCAGCACAAAGAATGTGGTTGGCACGGTCGCCTCAAGGAGAGCCTGGATGAAAGCATCGCCGACCCCATACCTACGGCTGGCGGCTAGTTGCGAGTCCACAGCCTGGCCAAAACGGCGCCTTTCAAAATTGAGCATGTTGAAATATGTGACGGTCTGCCATCCTTGAACAGCCTGATGCATGATGCGTGCTTCTTCACGTTCGGCTTTGCTCGAGGCCCTGCGATTCGAAAGATTCATGTTCGAAGTGACGACCTCCAAGGTTGTGAAGGCCACTGAAGCCACAAGCATGGCTAAAGACACGTAGGCGTTGAACTTCCAGTACAGGAACCAGAGCGCAATGAACATGTCTGCCACTGTCGGCAATATGTCGATTACTGCAGTCTCTAGCAAGTTGCTGAGCGCTTCGCCCTGCTCAATGGCCTTCATGACTTCTGCAGAGTCTCTCTCAGAGTGAAATTCCATGGGAAGGTTCATGACGTGGCTAAAAGCCGCATTGGTGATCTGTCTGTACGAGAATTGCTTGATAGGGATCTTCGCCAGCGCCTCGATCAGACCCAAGCCCGATTCGCCGCTGATAAGGCTCAGAACCAACCAGATGGCCAATGCACCGTATGGGGCTTCTTTTGCTAGGATCTTGTCGGTGACGATGCCGAGTTGACGAGGGATCAGGATGATCATCGCTCTCCCACCCGCTATGCATAAGATGCAGAGAACGATCGATAGTTGAACTTTTCTGTCGTTCCTGGGGATCAGAAGTGGGACGAAGATCTTGAAGTCTTTCAGGTATCCCAGCCATCCGCCGGTTTCCTCTAGTCTCTTGGCTCGTCGACGCTTGATACTGGCACTGTCGTCGTCGTCTTCATCTGTATCATCGTTTTCGGAATCATCACTGGCAATCTCGGTGTCGGTTTCGTCCCTGAAGCGTTCGGTTCCATAGTCGGCTGGTCCGTCTTGTGCATGTGATCCGAGAAATGGTTGAGATTCTTCGGAACATACTCCGGTACTGCCCACCTGAGTCCTACTCGTGGCCCAAGAAACCAAAATCAAGCTGAAAATGGCAAAGAGTCGAATCCCCTGGCAAACAAGGCAGACAAAATCAATGGTGGAAAAGGCTTTTCCGCGAGAATCCAGAACCAGTAGTGGAATCTCGAACAAGATAGTGGCGGTGCATGCGCCGAGCAAAACATGATGCACATTCCGATAAGCCACAAGCGCTGTCCAGGCGAGAGTTGCTAGTAAGATATGAATGATATGAGCTTGCTGCCTATTGAAAGCGTCAGGCTGAAGAGCTGCCGAAACCATCTCAGAGAGATATGTGACGATGATGATGAGTTTCACAAATCTGTTGAGTTTTGATTGGCGATGATTGTGATCCTTTGTTGATGTGTGTTTCCTCTTAGCTTGGCCCGAGTAAATTGAAGCCGACAGGCTGATGAGCACAGAGCTCAGGGCGCAGCTGTAGTGCAGAGCCTGCGAGGCTTGCGGATGCGGGACCATCGCGAAGGGTTTGATGGAGATGAAGATGAAACTGTTGTGAAAGTTCGCAACTATTTCTCTGTCTTAAGTACTTTACCTAAGTAATTACGAAAAATGTTTGATTGTAAGGTATTGCTTTAGGTTTTCCGGGGATAGCCGTGCTGCGCGAGAAACCCGACGCTATGACATCTTATCTTGTGTAACACTGCTGTAGACAGCATTGGTTCATTGTCGCATCGGTAGTGCTGATAATTTTCACCATGAACATTTACGATGTATCCCGAATGGGATTGTAAATTCAACTAAAGTGCCGTGGTCCAATCCACTTTTTTGGCCTTGAAACTCAGCCCCCCGGCCACGTCTGACTCATCCCGGCGGCTCTTTGTGATTCACTTTGCATCGTCGCACAACGGAACATTCGGGCACCGACACAATTAAAATGGATAACATTTTGAGCGCTCGTAAAGTGTGGGGGGGAAGCCTTTCAGACTCTGGGCCACAGAACCACTGAGGCCAAAACGAATTGCGAATACCGCGAGTTAGACCAAGAGAAAAGATGATATCAATTTGCGTGGTGGCTGAGGGGTAGCAATGAGCTCAATTGCAACGTCTAAATGACTCAAAGCAAGAGCTTCGCGATTTCTCGCGCAGATTGACGTAATTGGGCAGATTCTGAACAACAGTATGACTCTAGTCTAATGTGATGAAGGTAGTCTATGTACCCAGTCACGACGGAGTGGCAATATTGGATAGACTAATGTTATCCTTGTCGTTTGTTGAGTATCTCTCCTTTGAGGCGCCAGTATAGACTTTTCATTTATTGCCCAAAGAGATTCTAGCCAGCTGTTTCGTCGCAACGAAGACTGGCTCCGGATTCTTTGACTCCTCCACTTCAATCAAGGCCTTCCCCTTTTCTTGGCGCTCTATCCAGTGCTTCGCGCCACTGTACGTACAATTGTAGTCCATGAACTCGGCCGGATTCCTGTGGTCATTAGGAACAAATCCAAATGCTTCTTTTTGATTACTGACATTGTGATCTTGTTGTTGGCCTTATCTGTCGCGGGCTTTCCAGCCTGTCTGCTGTAGCCCTGGATGAGCGTAGCCCTCTCCCACCGACAGTCGAATACTCTCTGTTCAGGGAGTCAGCTCTTAGCCATTGGCATTTGAAATTCACACACGTACCTTCAACCTCTCTTGGATCTCGGCTGCTGTCGGCTTTCCCTTAATGTCTGAAAAGATGACCCCGAGAGCCTCCGCATCTTCGATAGCCTGGCTAGCCCCTTGTCCTTGCGTTGGAAGCATCGGGTGAGCAGCATCTCCAATGATGATTGCACGGTCCCGATACCAAGTGTCCAAGGGGTCCTAAACAACCGTCAGAACTGTCACTTGAGATAGCAGGATTCACTCCAGGCTCACCAGATCACGCAGCTGCCAGAGTCCGACTTCTGTGCAATTCTTAAAAACGGTCTTGGCCCACTTTGGAAACACGTCAAAGGTCTCTCTGAGCATATCTGGGTCACCTTTCGTGGTCCACGACTTCCCGTCGGCATTTTCTTGCATTTTATCTTCCTAAGTTAGCCACGGCTGTACTGCATTGATGGAAATATGACGCTTACCATCGGGGACGAGAGCTACAATGCTGTAGATGGACCCGTTCCTGGCGGGGCCCATGATGATCCTTCTATCATGTCCCATAATCATGGTGGTGAATGACTCCCGCGGGTCTATCACAGATGTAAAATCCTTGTCTTGTTCCAGCTCGGAGCTGTCAATCACGAGTCGATATGCTATTTAGGTCCAGGTTTTCATTAGCCTCGATATTATATGCAATCCTTCTTCCAATATGACAAGCTCGCGCTCACCAGACAGTCCAGTTGGTATTGCGGGGGCCTCCTTCCCGATAATTGATTGACGAAGAACACTCTTGCTATGATTACATCAGAGAATATTATCCTTCAGATTCGGGGTAGGAATCGCTCACATTCCATCAGCTCCAATGACGAGGTCTGCAGTAAGTACCTCCTCGGACTCGAGGGTCACAGTGCAAGCTTCTGGGTCGCATTCCCGAACTACACAGCCCGTTCGAAGTTCGACAGGAGTCACATTTTCTTCGCGTCGTGTTGCTGCATATTTCAGAGCATCATGTAGATCAATACTTTCTAGTTAGTCCGCTGATTGATGATTTTTTTGCCGTTAGCTCATACCGATGATAGATCATTCGCTCCTGTATCACATTCAGTTACTCGGATGGGGAAGTGACAAATCAGGGCAACCAGTAAGACACATACAGCTCCATAGCTCTTTTTCAAGTGAAATGGAATTTCGGCGTGCAGCTTTCCTTCTGTATTGAAGATGCGAAACTAAGGAGAATTATGCTGTCAGTCATGGTGCTGAGCGGATTTTCGGTCTTAAGCTCACAGCTTTGTCGGCCATGGACCCCGACTTGGTAAGTCTTTCTTCAAGACCCCATTGTTTCTCAACAATCCTGCAGACATCAGCTACTTGAAGAATTTCTCTTGGTTCAAAGATGTTTACTTACTTCGACGCATTGGGCTGAAGGCTGAAACTTTACATTAGGCTAGGTAACTTCTTGAGAAGAGGCTGCGCCTTAGTGATGCACGTAGCGGAAAATCTCACGATATTGTGGCACCGATCTCTCGGTTAAGGCGACTTTGTTCTAGCACAGTGATCTTCCGATTCGGTCCTCTTAACGCAATTGCCTAGATCAGTCAGGATGATTCAAGTTTCGCCTATTTCGATAGACACCTACCGCGGACAATCCTGCAATGCCTCCGCCAACAATGATGATGTTGAACAAGTCACTTTCGCCCGAAATAGACATCTTGGCAGTGACTACTAACGGCTTTGATACAAGAGGATGAGGGATGCCAATAGCAAGCAATTTTCAAGACTTTGGACCGGAATTGGGATCAAGTACTGCGATATTGTCGAAAGAGAGATGAGCCAGGGTCGGAAGCCAAGACCTTTCCTCGGACAAGGCCACGGGGCACATTAGTCCTTTTCCCTTGCCGAATGCCCAGCCGATAACTGAGCTCGTCCACTTTCCGACGTCTGTTTTGGACCTCCGACACTTGGATTATTGCAGCAGGCAACTCTGTCTGTGTTGGGATCCAGTTGGCCGACTTCAGTGAGCCGAACCGAGCGTGCGAACCGAACCGAGGTGCTCAATTCGCAATAGCAGGACCCAACCGGACCAAGCCCATCACATCCGGCTTACAACTTCGGAGGTCTTCACAGGGATGCAAAAAAATGGGGATCACATCAGTTAGATTGCAGATGTAGTGGCAAGATTGTTGGAAGTGGTGAAGGTCAAATAGACTTACAGCTTGCAAGTTGTGACAACAGTAAAAGATTCAATCGCTCCACTTCCATTCACGTCTTTTTGAAGTCGAACATCTCTCACAATGGCCACCACAACTGTTGCAATTACTGAGCAGCCCAGCGCTGCGATCAAGACTGTTGACGATAGCAGAATGAAGATGGATGGCCAGGACCCGTCTTACGGCGACTGGCGTGACGAGCTACTCAGAGATGGATATGCCGTTATCAAGGCCGCCATCCCCAGGGAGCGTGCTGATAGCTATGCGGACAAGATGTACGGTCTTCTGGAGTCATTGTAAGTACCCTTCGATCTCAGTTCCTTCGGCTGCACACAAGGCCCTGACCGCAAGCAGTGGCCTCGGCTATGATCGAAATGATTCATCAACCGTCCATCCAGACAAGCTGCCCATCATCAATGAAAAGGGTATGCTGATGGCTTATGGAGCCTGTCATGAAGACTTTGTCTGGGACATCCGCAGCGAGCCTGGAGTTGTCGGTTCCTTTGAAAAGATCTACGGCACTGAAGATCTCCTCGTCTCGTTCGACGTCATCAACTATGGCTTCGCGAATCGCGCAAACCTTCCTGAAAATAAACCATGGCCCCACCAAGATCAAGATCCCGAGAAGCCTGGATTCCGTTGTCTCCAAGGCCTGGTCAACCTCCACCCTTGCGGCCCCGACGATGGCGGCCTCATTGTGTGCAAGGGTTCCCACAACCTGAGTGCGCAGTTCCATGAAGACCTCAAGGAGGAGCCACGCATCCCAGCCTGGACCAAGGAGTGGTATGGCTTCACTGACCGCGGCATGGGATGGTTGAAGGAGCATGGTGGCGAGTGGATCAAGGTCTGCGCCGACCCTGGAGATCTTATCGTCTGGGACTCGCGCACTGCGCACTACAATGTTCCAGTCAAAGGAAAGATTGACCGTATGGCTGTGTATACTTGCTATATGCCTGTCACGGATGCGACTCAAGAAGATCTCGTGCGTAAGCAAGCCGCATATGAGTGTAAGTCATTGGTCTCAGTCAAACTTGACGAAGGTAGGCTAACAATGTGTTCTCTTACAGCTCGACTAGGCACAACCCACTGGCCCAACGCTCGTCACACGGGGTCTAACACCGCAACCCGGAATGGAAAGCCGGATCACATTGTTAGGGAAAGACCACTGAACGACAAGAAGTTGAGTGAGCGAGCTTTCAAACTTACAGGTATTCCTTACATCCGGCTATGATCCAGAGCCGGTAGTTAGTTGAACATTCGGGGAGGCGCCCTAAGAGCTAAGAGGCTGTATTCTTAGCTTAGTTACACGCACAATGCCACAATCTTTACTATACCAGGTTTCTAGACTTACTCTGAAGGTCACAACGATGTTGTCGACTGCAAAAAGTTTCTGAACGACGGTCAGGGGCCTGAAAGACAAATAGAAGACCACATCATACATGAGCCAGTCGATTCTACAGGTGTATGACGACGTGTCTACCCTTTGGACCATTTATGCATTGCTGAAATGGGACGAAACGGACAAGTATTCTCAAGGATTGTTGCCCGCTAATAGGATTCTACATTTGTGTTCATAATTATTTCATTTTGCTTAGGGACATGCATTACCACAGCAACGTTGACAATCTAGCACCTACGCCCCGGAACGAGATGATCTGTTAGGCACATTATAACCAAAATTCGCACGAGCGAGCACTTATGTCTACTCTACGAGTTTCTAGCTCATCTGTTCTACGGAGAATGGAGCTTCGGTTCAGAGACCGACCCGGAGATTTGGCTTCGCCTGCACTCAAATCCGATGCAAATGCCGATGTGACGATGCGGATCGAATCAAGCCGGCAAACGGATGCCGTCTACGTCTGACTTCGAAGTAGCAACATAGCTGAGCAGTATTCTTGATCTCCGAACCGAGCATAAACAACGCCAGAGTGACAACGGCACGGATATTGAGCCGAAGACTCCAAGTCCGGAGCATCCAAACGGGTCACATCCTCAGTTGCGGCCCAGGACGTCCTTGTTTGCGTAGGCTTCCCCGCACGCAGCTGGAGCGATCACACTCTGCCGAAGCAAACTAGTGAGTGACCAAGCCGGGGCCCCTCTCCTGTACCCCAGACTGTTCACCCCCACACAAAGTCTGGGGTTGAATCTGGGGGTGGGAGATAGTCTGCCAAGGGCTGGAGAACAATAGACACGAGAGATTGGTCTGAACCTAGCTTGACGAATGGCACTCAGTACATTTGTCAGGGTGTCTGTTCAGCAGAAATACGTGCAGTTTCCCGTGGCATCTGATGAACTCGATGATAGCAACCGATTCACGAACATCAAGTCCTCGTCCTTGACCAGAGGACAAAGGACAGCAGACGTTTCCTTTCAAAACTCGGAGCTAAATTTCATCAAAGCAACCCCACAAGACACCTCCAATATGGGCGAGATAGAGAACAAGGTTACTGAAGAAAGGGTTGAGTCTGCATCTGATTTGCTTCAGAAGCCGCAATTCGACGATGGCAACTTCGAAGCAAACGTGCAACTTGCTGATGGAGATATCACTTATCTTATTCCAACTCCAAGTTCAGATCCACGGGGTAAGGTGAAAATTTATCAAGGTCCCTTCAGAAGCTCAGGTGCCTCTTACTAACTTTCGACTCAATAACTTAGATCCCCTCAACTTGAGTCCACTTAGGAAATGGGTTAGTCATCTTCCGACAAATCGACAGCTATGCCTCTATACCAAGCAAAACTGACGCGTATATTCGTGGAACAGATCATAACGATGACTTGTGCGACTTTTGCTGCGATCGGCCTCGTCCAAGTCTCCGGCCTTGGAGCTCTTCTCGGAGAGTTCATCCCCGAGTACGCGGCCGAAGGAAGAGGATACGATGATATCTCCCATCTCATGACTTATCCGTCCTTGTTCATGGGTCTTGGAAACCTCATCGGAATGCCTCTTGCACTTGCCGTTGGTCGTCGGCCGGTTTTCCTTGGATCCTGTGCCTTGGCTGTCATAGGTTCTATCCTTTGCGGTGTTCAAAAGAGCTACACATCTCACCTGGTTGCTCGTATGGTACTCGGACTAGCTGCAGGTCAGAGCGAGGCTCTTTGTCCCCTGATGGTGCAAGAAGTCCACTTCCTTCACGAACGCGCCCGCTGTCTGATGTGGTTCACTCTCTGGCAGTCAACACTTAGCGCTGTCTACTCGCTTCTCACCTCCTACATCGCCGCCGGTATCGGCTCGTCTGGCTGGTACTTTTTGGGCTCCGGCTTCGCCGCCGTTACATTGATATTCGCCATCTTCATGGTACCGGAAACCAAGTACGATCGCCCGCTTGCCGCATATCAAGGCCAGACTGCCCAGGTCTCCCACTTCGTCAGCCCAGCTGGCCCAGGAGTCGACGACACTACCGGGGTTTACACCGAGATGCTCACGCGCAAGACCACCACAGAGCCCCGTCAGCTTGACTTTGTTAACTTCAAGCCTCGCACCTTTGCGTCTGACCTTCGTCTCTTCACCCAAAAAAACGACTGGAAAGAAGGCTGGCAATGCTGCACCGGCGTGGCTCTCGTAACCTTCTTCCCCGACATGATGTGGGCCCTTTTGCTCAACGGCTTGACGATGTAAGACGCAACCCGGGCTTTAGCCAATCCATGCATTCACAAAGTTTCAGTGTACTGTCACTAACGTATCTAAATTCATAGCGGCGTCAATATTGCTCTTGGTACTACATACGGCGAGATCCTCCAGCACGCTCCATATAACTGGAAGTCATCAGTTGTCAGTTTCGCCATGACTGGCCAAATTGTGGTCGCATTCCTTGCTCTTCCAATCTTAGGTAGAGGATCAGACTGGGTTATCAAGTTCTTCGCTAGAAGGAATGGTGGTGTTCACAAGGCGGAATACCGACTCATCCCTCTGATTATTCCCGTCATTGTCGGTACTCTAGCATCTGTCCTCTACGGCCAGGCAGCTGAGCACCCTGATAGGTACCACTGGTTTGCCATTGTGTTTCCTCTGAATGCCTACTACTTCGGCTTTGTTGGAGCAAACCAGGTCGGCATTACCTATGCCCTCGATGCGTACCCGACTCGTTCTGGCCCGGTGCTGGTCATCATCTGTGCTATGCGCGGTGTCATCTCTTTCGGAACAAGCTATGGAGTGACACCTTTCATCGCCTCCATGGGGTACGATGGTGCCTTTGGTATTTATGGAGCTCTTACGGCAGGTATAGGTGCTGCCGGGATCTTTGTCTTTATCTGGGGCACTCAGATCAGGGAGATGGTATCTAAATGGTCTATTGCAAACACCGCAGCGACCCCGTCATACAATCATTAGGATTGTCACCTGTGGTTCAACGAGATTTCCAATATTCGAAGTCAGTTGGTTGTGGTTGGTACCTGACTCTCTGACTCCCGAGCTTTAGCTTGCGTGTAAATACCTTAGGATGTTCATGATAGTGTGTTGGTATGGAGCCACTGATTGAATGAGGAAAAAGGAGTTTGAGGTGGAGGAAAGAAGTGCTGTCATCTTTGACCTAACTTTGAAATTCTGCTGTGTTACGTGTTTGTGTCGCAACTCTGTATTCTACTAGCATATTCAAGAAGATGGGAGGGCTGTATTATCAAGTAATTTTAATGTCCCGTGGAACTACCGACTCTGTAAATACGCTGCCAATTACATGCACTTTTAACACCTCTTCGCGTAACACAAAAGCAAAGCCTTCGGTAATTTACATGAAATTGGAAGATTACAACAGAGCTCATAATATGCTGAAAGCTCCTCTTTCCCAAGCCCACGCGGCATCAGGCCGCTTAGGTGGAAAGCAAGTAGTAATATAGAGTCATGGAGTAGTAGGCACGGAAGCTTTCAAGTCGAGGCCGGTGATCATTCTCAGAATATACTCGACATTTCTTGAGGTTATCTTAGAGCATCTACATACTGATATTACTGCATCTATCCAGCTCTTGAAGTATTATGACTGAATAAAGGGGAGGATGATGCGACTCTGATGTTCCGGTCCACAGTGGATGAAGTGCTCGCCCTTATTCCTCTCATAGTCTGGCCTCTCGGTAGAAAATGCCTTGTACTCGGCGATGGAAGGGAATTGGCCGCCAATCTGCACCTGGACCGATTCATCCGCCTCATAATCTACACCCATGGCCCAGATACCAATTTCTAACTCCACAATGGTGCCAGGTGGGATCTTGTCTTCCCGGTCGTGGGGATGAAATGGGAACTGAGGATGCATTGATCTCTCTGGGTCAGTGTTTCGGTGAGATGCCCTCAGCTGGCCGACCGAGCCGAGATGTAAATTGGTGCTGCTTTGCTCTTTCTTCGGGATGTAGTGGATGGACTTGACAGGTGCAGCCCAGAACGGGAAGCAAAGGTGCATCATGGTCTTTCCCTCTCTATCAAGCTTTCTGACATTGACAAACACGTTCATGTCATCGTGCGATGGGCAGGACATGTATAAGACTGCCTTCGGGATGCCAATCAGGCGAGAGGGTTTATCGAAAGTGTAGGTGAACTTGGCCAGCGAATTGCCGTCTTCGGAGTTGTATGATACTTTTGAGGGATTTGAGGGAGCGGTCTCGGACAGTGTTTCGTTGTCAAGATAGAATGTCTTGTACTCGGTGTTCGGTGGAGGGAAGTCTTCGAAACCGATGTCGCTCTCTGGCTCCTGGTCGCCAAACCTCAAGGATGTCCACCGCACCTTAGGCGTCTTCTCCCAGCCGTTTTCGATGCCTCTAAGATACCTGTCAAAGAATTTCTTCGGCAATCGTCAGCACACCTTTCGACAAAGAGCGTCAAAGAAGAGTTTTGAGACTTACTGCCAAATCCTCATTCGTCTCTGGTACGCTGTACAGATCGAACCATTCCTGCCAGGCACTCCATCGAATCCATTTGTCAGGCGTGCCCAGTTCCATGAAACCTCTGATGCTACCCATGGTATGGATGGAGCTAAAGTCGGAGCCAGAGATGTAGGCCGGGATGTTGATCGCCTTCATGTTTGCGCGCTTGTCTTCCCACCAAATGTTGGAAAGGGGACTTCGGCGGTACATCTCCGCAAAATCTTCTACGCCTGAAGTGCCTTTGATAATAAGACTGGTGATTAGATCGAAGTTGCTCATGGAGAAAATGCCACCTCGCACGAATTGCTCTCGGAACAGATCGCCGCTGGCCTCCCACGGCGCGATCGCTTTCAGGGATGGAGGGTTGAGGGCAGCAACGTGCCACTGAGCAATTGCAAGCGCAGAATTACCCGCCATACCGACATTTCCATTACACCAATCGAACTTTGCGAGAGCCTCGATAACATCGTAAGCGTCCTCGGCATCTTGCAAACCCATGATTGGGACTTGACCGTCGCTATTGCCGGCGCCTCTGCTATCGACACTAATGATCGCGTAGCCTTTGGGGCACCACCGTTGCGGATCGAGACCTTCGAACTTCTCCAGGCCACTCAGATCGCTCTTCTTGACACAGCAAGACCATGGTGTCATCGGGAGCATGGTAAGCGCACTATATTTTTTGCCGTAAGGAGACCAGCCGACGATGGCGGGGATCTTCTCGGTGCTGTCCGCCGGCCGGTAGATATCAATGTAGAGTCTGCATCCGTCTCGGACTTTGATTTCGACATCGTGATCGATTCGAATGTCGCTCTCGAGAGGCTTCGCATTATAGCCGTTCCAGCCCTTTGGCAGGACTTCGGTTCGACCCGGCGTGAATCCCTGGTAGTTGTTGGTGCCGATTTCAGGCTTGCCAATTGGCTTATACGCGATTTGAATTGGAAGAGGCATGATCGTGTTTATTCGGTTGATACTTAGGGTTGGATGACGGAGATAATGTGAAGTAATTTGACATCACGAGCGGTTCCTCTGATCATTGAGCATGCAAACAAAGTTCTTTTTATGGAATGCGTGATTCAATGGTCCTACGAGAACATCGCGTTGTCGCGTAGCTCAGGTCCCATACCTCGAATGCCTCGGTCTAACTCTGCCCGGAGCGGGCTCTCCAAGCGGATATGCAAGATTCGGTGGGGTAAGGAGTCCGTGGCATGAGATCTAATCCAAATCGCGGGGCAACCGGCCCCGCCTTTGCTGCGAAACTGCGGAGAAGAGTATACCAGAGAGATTGTCCGAACCGAACCGAACCGAACCGAGCTGCCCGAAGACACAATAGCTGTCTCATCAACCAAGGGTCAAACGGATGGCCGAACCGGGCCTAGGATGAAGCCCGAGGGAATGCGGCTCCAGGCATGAGAGATCGATTCAGGCATGAGATCATGCGGGGAAGCCTGGCATACGGGTCTCAGGATAGCCTCATGAGTTGACTTTCAAGATCTCTGCTAATTAGGGAAAGAGAGAGACGATACATAAAACCGTAGCAATGATGACAATCATTCTAGATTTAGTGAATCTCTTTTTCAACAGCTGACCAGCCGAGTATCTCCCATACCATCCGAATTACCAACTTGACCAGATACTTATACGAACATCAAACATGTCGAAGAGCCTCTTGAACCCCAAGTCAAACTACGGCGATTGGCGCGACTTCTTCTTTGAACATGGCTACGCCATCCTTAAGAACGCTATTACTCCTGAGCGAGCTGAGTACTACAAATCAAAGCAGGTCGAATGGCTCAAATCATTCAACCGTGGATTTGACCCGGAGAATGAAGACACATGGACCTCTGAGCATCTCCCCGTCTCCTTCAAGGGTGGCATGTACGGGTCCTATTGCGCTCCGCATGAGCGATTCGCGTGGGAAGCACGAATGTGAGTAGCCGTCCTCCAGGAGCTATGAGTCCTGGTGCGTGTGCTGAACTGTCGCAAGGGAACCTGGAGTGATGAATCCGTTCATTCATATTTGGGAGACAGAGGAGTTGTTGGTCAGTTTTGACATGTTCAACATCACGCTCCCTCGCCAGAAGGACTTGAAGTGGTCACCATGGCCCCACTGCGGTAAGTCTACTTGCAGGTTGCTCAATCGCTCCAATGCCTAAGAAAGAAATTCCAGACCAGGATCCCAAGAGAAAGGGTCTTCAGTGCATCCAAGGTCTTCTCAACTTTGCCCCTAATGGAGATGACGATGGTGGCCTTATTCTGATGGACGGCTCCGCCAAGCTCTACGATCAATTCTTTAAAGAGACCCGAGAGATGGCAAGCCATGAAGATGCCCCACCTCCCGAAGAGAATTATCGTGACCTGTTCATCTTCAAGGAAGAGGATGTCAAGTGGTTCGAGGACCGCGGATGCCGCCTCATCAAACCCAACCTTGAGCCAGGCGACCTGGTGCTTTGGGATTCACGGTATGTCCCCAAGACTACAGCCCCAGTTCCCGCCAAACCCTCATGCTGACCATATCAAGATCGATGCACTATGCCAAACACCCTACAGGAACTCAAATCAGGCACGCGCAGTACGTCTGCTTCACCCCTGTGAAATTCGCAGACCCCCAGGCCTTACAGGAGAAGGCAGAGATTTTCCGCTCGTGGGGAGGCACCACGCACTGGCCGCACACCAATATTCATCCTCAAGGAAAAGCAAAGAGGGACGGGGTTCTTGACCCACAGGAACGCGAGGAACCTTTGGAGAAGCCCGTCGTGACGGACAGGCTGTTGCAATTGGCGGCGGTCAAGGCCTACTGATATTCGCAACTTCAGCCTGGCGCCAGAGATCATGTAGACATACTTATTAGGCCGCGTACAAATAACTTGTCCTCATCAATTGGGTTGTGTTGAGATCCTGTGAACATGTCAGTGCTTCACTTGAACAGATGCCGTACGTGCCCCACCAACCGACCAATACCCGGACGGCCTAACTCTCATCCCGCCAGCTGATTTGGTGGCTGACTTGGATCTACATGTCCTGGAGATGGAATCTCTATTCCTTGTTCAATGTCTACCTAAGTACTGGTTAGCCGGTGTGAAGTCAACGGTTTGCCAATTGACGTGAGAAACTTCATCTCTCAAAGTACAATCCTGAGTGCGGCCCGCTTCGGGCAGCTCGCTACCTATAGTGAATGGGCCTCACATGCCCACATCTAACTCGATTAAACGGAGCCCGCGATATCCTCAGTCCCAGCAACGATGAAACAGAACCTGAGCTAGAATTACAAATGGCAGCGCGTCGACTGGCCTTTGCTTCCGAGGAACTTTGCCGTACTCCCCCGCCCCCGGATTCTCAAGGCGGGGTTCCCTTGATCGCGGTCTGAATTGGCACTAGTGAGTTCATACTCGACATGGGGAAGCGTCAAGTATGCCCCACGCTCGGGTCAGACGCGCGTGGGGAAATGCAACATAAACTAACCGGCACACGTATCCCTCTTCTTGACGAATGCAACCCATCTGCTTTCCAAGTAACACAGGACCCTCCGTTAGGGGTCTCCAGTATATACCTTGTTGTTGAAGACATCCGGGCCTCGACCGAGGAGAAGACTAGCTCTCCGTCCGGATCTCCCAACCGAGAACCTCTGTTTTTTCACCGTCCGTCAGCAGTCATGCCCGACTCCGTCTCCAGCTCGGGTGAACAGCCACAAAGTTCCCAACCCAAGCGCATTCGACTCTCTCTGGCCTGCAACCAATGCCGCAAAAGAAAGGTCCGGTGCGACGCTCAGACTCCGAAGTGCCACAACTGCATCCTCCGCGGCGACGATTGCCAGACAACGAACCCAAGAAACCCAAACCAGCAGGCCGTACGGAAATGGGCAGCTAAGAGTGCCAGCACTCAAAGCCAGGGCGGCGGCAGTGTACACGAGGTCTCCGAGACACCTCAAGATCACCTCCGTGCCATCTCTCCAAGGCCGCGGCAGTACCTCTCGCCGGCGTACGATGAAAGCTCTGAGGCCGAAGATGCAGCCTTGCGAAAGCTCTCATGGGTCGCGGAGGCATACCGTGCCAATGCGAGGGAGAATCACAGCCCTCATGAGCACGCGGATCTGAATCCTGATATGGCCCTCAACACTGACGAGAGTCCGCATCGGCTCAAGTTCATGGGCGGCAGCAGTGTGCAGAGTCTGACAATGTTCGCCGATCTCTTCTTTCGCAAACGCGGTCTTCGGCCCCTATCACCCTACTTCCGTTTTGGCATGCACCATGTTGAGGAGTTCCAACTTCCTCTATCGTTTCAGCTCCCTCCCCTACCTCCACTTCCTACACTCGATGCCTATCTAGATGTTTACATGAAGAGAGTGTACCCGCTCTTTCCCGTCTTCGACGAGCCCACTCTTCGCTCGGAATTGGGCAGACTTACGACGCTGCAGGATGCTGATGCCTCCGGATCTCTGCAAAATTCCATCGACCCGTCTCAAGTTCCACTGCTAGTCTCTATCTACAGCATCATTTGTATCGGTGCAGACGAAGAAACCGGAACATTGGCTGAAATTGGGAGCCATTACCTCACTGCTGCATACACTCTTCTCGCGCATGTAATATCAACACCATACTTGGCTTCAGTACAGGCTCTGCTACTACTGTCCATCGCGCTGCGTGGCCGTAGTAAAGAGGGCCAAGGATGGCAAATTCTCGGCCAGGCCATCCGCATAGCTCATTCCATTGGGCTCCACCGACACGCCTCGACGCGGCATTCCCGCAACCCCCCCGACGCCGGAGATTCGACAGCTTCGCCGGGCTACCAGCCGAATCGAAAACTGAATGGTCAAGTCTGGTGGGTTTGCTACACCCTTGAAAAGTTAATGGAGCTTGAGACTGGCCGTCCGAGTGCGATACACGATTCGGACTGTGACCAAAAGCTGCCAGAACCAATTCTCGTCCCAGCACCCTCGACACTATTTACATCAAGCCCTGGAGGTCAAGGCGATCGACAGACTATAGACTACTTTCAACCCTGGGCATCGTTATCACGCATCATCAGTAGTATAAGCGCTCACATCTACCGCCGTTCAGGACAATCCCAAACGTCACGAATCCTCCTCGGCGACACGGTCCGTCTAGATACGGCTCTGACGGAATGGGCCCAGTCATTGCCAGCCGAGATCCGCCCTCCCGGGCCAAATAGTGGGAATGCAGATCTGTGCGATACTGGGCATCAGCACTTTGCCATCTTCCTCGCCATCCACTATCACCACGCACTTATCTCGCTCCACCGAGCGGCGTTGGTCTTCCCCGAGTCAATGTATCGAACACACATCAACTCGCAGGCAGATTCGGGGGCACTATCATCCGTCGAGCTCACAAGACTCAGACGAGGAGCTGAAATTTGTATCGGCTCGGCGAGGGCAATGGCCAGACTCATTGGCGAGATTGCAGATGATGCAACGCCTACGCCGCGCGGCGGTAACGGCGGCATGTTCGCCCAGTCTCGCCACAATAGATCAGAGTCTATGGTCTTCACAATGACCCAGCCCCTCATGTCGGCGGTAGCACTAGCTCTCCACATTCTCAAACAACCTAGCTCACGGCTTGCACGGTCCGACTTGGAGCTTCTGGGCATAGCAGCTCAGTATGCGGAGGAGCAGTATACGAAAGTCACCCAGAACCCTCGATTCATCCAAGCGTGCTCCGTGCTGCAGTCCAACATGTCAGAGATTGTGTCTGGTCATCGTCAGAACCGAGCTTCGCTGAGCGTATCGACAGTCGAGCCCTGGCAGGCTATGCAAACGCCGGCAAGGGATTCCGGCGAGGCAAATGTAGACGCGGATATTGACCTGATGGATCTCGAGCTTCCGGATTTGTCGGGGATGTTTACCGAGATCAGCAACACAGACTTGTTTGGGGGTGTTCGGCTAGAGCATCTTTGGGGGATGCTAGGAACAGATGGGCATTTTGCGGATGGGATAGAGCAGCGGCCACAGTCATGATATATTTTGTCTAGGTATGTAAACTCATTGTAATAGGTCAAGTATTACGGACTCTTGCATCAATTGAGGTGGGCGTGTCGGTGTTCTGATCCAGGCACCATAAACCGAGAATCTTCAGTCTACGAAGTATGGTTGCAACCTTGTTTGAGATATGGCAATGGGTAGCGAGGTACCGATTTGGATGCAACCTCGTGTTTGCAGCCAAGCATCCAGCTACATCACTGTAGTCGGGCGTCGGAAGGATTGGCCATCACCTCAAGCGGGGAATGTGATAGAAATCATGCGATAGAATCGGGTTGAAATATGACTTACCTAATGTCACCATTCGACGGGCTGATGCACCATACCACTCAGTACGTCTACATCGTTTCCTGGAGCCGAATCTTACATCAGAATCGATTTGGCTATATCTTGACCTATATACCAGTAGGTCATTGAATATTCACTCGCAAGCATATACCCATGCGCTTATCGTTCTCGCGCATGGTTTTCAGAGATCCTCGGTCGTGAGGGTTACTGGCTGGTGATTTAATTCTCGCTGTCTCTCATGCAATAGTGGTCTGTTTTGTCAACATCAGGCTACTTCGTGTTGAAGCGAAGTATGCTTTGTAGAAGTTGGCCAGTATCTCTGCATGCATAACGCATACATAGAGACCAGAGTCGCTTCTTTACAGGTGATTCCTTCACTGCCCACCCTCAATCTGGTGCTTTTGATGCAACCGGATCCTTCGGAACCTGTGTCTCCACGAAAAGCCTGCGAGTCCAATCCTCCGGACGTCAATGGAATCCGTTGGCTATCCGAGCTCTAGACCTAGGCCATAACCACTCTCCCCAGTAAACGAATTGCGGTGCCGCAGAATATCGCTATGCATCGAATGACGCCGCATATATTTGCATGTGCTAGAGGGCTATGTGTCAAATTAAGGGAGCATCACTAATTCAGCGATCAAGTGAACGTTTCGGTCACCTGTGTTTAGATACTCTCGTTCTCAGATGTAGCAATCATGTATGTATGCAGTGCATTATCACAATACCTTACATCTTCCAATGAAAACGATATCATGCCGCTTCCGGTGACTATCCCGAACTTGCCGTAGATGTTGCAGGCCAGCTTGGGTAGGTATGGAGTGACCAAAGTCATGTGCTATGCCTCAACGGAGTTGAGCTAGGAGTGAATGAATCCTATTCCGAAACACGTTGGGATCTCCGATGAGATAGTCTTAGTGCCCGTTTGATATGTCTTGAGGGTTTAATATGATAATTGCATTAATCTTTGTTGTTGTTGCCAGCCTACTCAAGTATACATGTACTGTATATAAACTATCAAGTTTGCCCGCCCTCCTCTTGCTGATATTCTCATCACAAACATTCTCAACTTAGTCACAGAAGATCACAGGCCTTCCATATTAAATCCTTACAAAGTAAGTGAGTCATATTTTGCATCTAAACTTTTATAGAGGCATAATAGATTTCTCTGATCGCTAACGCTGACTGCCCAAGCTCAGCTAGCCCTACCAAAACTCCGCAATGAGATTATTCGCCGCCGCCATTATCAGCGTTTTCGCTGCGCACGCCATAGCAGCTCCCGCTATCGAAAGCACCGAAGCCTTGGAGGCTCGCGCTGAAGCGGTCGTCAACGAGCTTGTCACTCGTCAGATCTGGTCTTGCACTTGCTCCAACCACAAGAACGTTTGCTGCGGTGCCACTTCTTGCTACACTGGAAAATGCTAGGGGACCACTAGATCCTGATGAAGAAACCCTTCATGATGAGTTTCATTCGTATCTCCAGCGGTGCGTGTGGTAGCTCCAAGATGTGGCTTCGAGTTCGGCTGATTGTTTGGGGTTTAAGTCCTGTGAAGTAAGTAGGATAGTCGATGAACAGGTTGTTGCACTGAGAAAGCCTTTATGGCCCTAAAGCGAAGTCATGTTGCTTGAGTGACTGTGACCAAGTTTCGAAGCCTGCATGTGCTGTCGGACGAAGTACCCGCTTCTTTGTCCACCAATGCCACAAAGTCTTGCAGATGCGAAATCCGTTTCTCACTTGATTCTTGGTTATTATCTGCTAGAGAAACTCCAAAAAAATGTGTTCCCCCTATTTCGTACTTAAGTATTTGAACCCAATGTATGGAGTGTATCCGCATTTGAACTAGGGAGTAAAGTTGAAATTCAGATGATACTGCATAACTTATGAACAGCTGGAGATGGTCTTTGCGACACGTAGCTATAAGACTTGTTTGGCGTTTGCCATCACTCAGATAGTGTAGATCTTATAATCCCCTGGTAGTGGCCGTCAAAGACGATCTTAATGTCGAGATGAATCCAGACCTCCTGGCCATTTCTGAGATAGACACTGATCTTGCCCTTGGCCGATAGAAGATTGATGTTGACAGTGATTGTCCTTGAGGTTGTCAAAGACGTTACCGAGGCTGATGCCGGCGACAGAGATGGTCAAAAGGATTTCATACGTGTTGGTATCGACGTAGCCAACGGTCTGAGGACCAAGACGGACATGTCAGCTGAAATCTATCCAAGGGAATGGCCAGGTGGGCACGGCCAACAATGACGAAACTGTGGCGTTGGAAGCCCTAAGACTTGATAGACCTGAGTAAACGTACCTTAACCGGACCAAACGACCAGTCGATTTGACGGCGCCCATAATCATCTCCCGGTGGCAGGTTGTGGTGAATCTCAATCTGCTTTGCCATCCATAAATTGTCGCCTTGCTCAAGGCATGGAGGACAGAGGGTAACGAGGGCACCTGTTCGGAAAGTTTATGGTCAGAATTCTGTATTCCAAGCACATCCTTCCTAACATTACGTTGGGAGGCAGAATATACATACCAACGTTGAACCCAGGATCATCGTTAAATGCAGACATGGTCAAAAGTTGCGTCAGGGGGGAAGGGGTTTCTGCTTGAGGGTAGAGTTATGTAGTCCTTGGGTTCAGGATAGAGACATGTGTGGAGTGCGCGAGGTGGTGTGACGCCGTGGTGTATTATCGCCCTAGATGATTGGAAACACGCGCCTTTATATCTTCATATCTGCTCTCTCTTACCCTATCCCGTGAACGTATGTCGTACAATTACAGATCTGGTCTCTCCACTTTCGCCCCTCCTGAAAAGAGTCAAAGCATGTCCAAAGTATTGTCCAAGACGCGCTGATCTTCTTCCAGACATATGTTTCTTGCACCGGTGTCTCACCTTCTCGTCGTGAAAGTGATGAATGTCCCCCCCCCCTATGTTCCCTGACGAGCCAGTCAGCGGCGTAAATCATACTTAGACGCTGTCTACTGCATGTGTGTCAACGGAGTCAACCGGAAGCCACAAAGCACCCCTCACGGCATTAAGACGCCTGCGCATCCTCCTACCCCTTTCGAGCCATTTTTCTCCCCAAGAAAGGATCTCAACGTGTTTTAGAGGTTGAAACGCTAAACATCGTGAACATGCCTTCCACGTACGTGTAGTCGTTGGCTGACATTGTTCTCCCCTGACAAGTCGTCATCCCAATGATCATCTATTGGGGGAGTGGCGCCATTGCAGCCCTTTTTTCCGAAGACATCTGGCTGCCACAGATTTTAGTAGTATCTCAGGCACAATGGCAATCAAGTGTCGGTGTGTATAATACTCATCGCTGCGTAGACCGCTGTGCCAGACAGGCTGAGCAAAAGACTTCTTGACTATCCGCTTGGCCTGCCTATGTCTACCTGTAAGAAATACCTCAAGAAGTCAAAACGTTGGTAACATTGAATGCTGGCTTGGCAATCACAGACCTCTTGATCGGCAAAACGCAACGATTGTCTTCGCCTTCTGGTTGGCTGCTGGAACGATCGCAACTTCGAGCTAGTTTTTGCAGGGACATGTCGCCGCTGCTAAGAGCGCCTGCCGCGTTGATCAATCCTCACCCGAGGCCATACGTATAATGTTCGTCTGTGGAACTGGACAACTCCAAAGAGACATAACTTACGAGCCTGATGGCTGCTGCCAACATGCAATTGAACCGACCATGATTTTGCCGGAGTGGCAGGGAAGCGATCAGTAGCTGGCATTGACTTCCCGCTCTTGGACTTCGTGCGACATGCTCATGCTCCGACCTCGGACCAGCTCTTCTGTTTCTAAGGTACTATCTCTAGAATACCCGACTCACAAGCCAAATTTTCAATGCCCAACAGCAGCGAAACAACGTTTGAGAAGCCTTTCGCGCCTTTCCACAAAGGACTGCTGTCCAACTTGCCTCCCTTAAGAGTACGATTTACAAAAGTAAAGCTCCATTAGCTCATAAGCTCTGCTGCAAGAATGGACCCTTTTCTCCTCCGTAGGACCGACGGCCTCCGGCCAGGCCGTGACGATATTCGCTGCGGCAGTCTCTTAAAAACCAGAGGTCTTGGTCCTCTTTACTTATTGACATGATCAAGCCCTAGCCTGTTGACAAAAAGCTCAGATACGTCGCCCGAACCAGCCCGAAGCTCCATTGAGAGGAGGAGTGTTCGGTGAAAGCTGAAGGAGAGTTTGTTAAGATTGCCTTCAAGTTTGCTGACGACAAGAAAAGTGATGCTAGTTTCTAGGGGAGACCGAGGCTTTGGCCTGACCGCATGTAGACTCCAATGCGGAAGAGGCCGTTATGGAGCAGAAATGACGAAACATGGACCTTCACGACTTTGACGAGAATGACTCTCAGCAAATTTTAGCTGCCGAATAATCCTGCACGATTTTGGCTATGGCCTTGATTGTATACACAAAGATTTACCAAGCCAACGTGATCAAATAGAACGAGGCACGCGACAATGCAGGTTGCGAGGCAACAGTATTCACGCCCGCAATTACTACCTAGGGCTGGGCTAATACGGTAATGCACAACTAATCGCAGTACAGCTGGAATATCAATTTCGTCTGCTGCGCAGTTATCTAGCGCAGTATTACCCAGCGTCGATAAGATAATATGACAGTGTATATTCCGGTGGACATATGTAATATCAGCCCAGATAAGCTCGCACGGCACGTGGTATCTGGCGGTATTGTCCTGCCTGTCGGAATCGGGTATATTTCTTTCGGCTAGCTGTTCCCATTGCCGAAAGAGAGTCTCAGTCTCAACTCAGCTAATTAGTAACCACTCCGGACGTGATGAGGGGCGGACATTGGCAAGTCTGGGATGTGCGCCGTGCGAAGCACTTGGTCGACCATCCTAGACAAAAGCGGCGTTCGCTAGTCATTACTCAACGTAGGCGACTCTATGAACGCGGTTATGAGAAGTCAGGCTTCTAAAATCGAATACTCATTTTGACAGTAGAAGAAAACGGCAAAAAACCGTCAAAGCGAAGCTTGTATGTTGCTACACATGGAACAGAAACGCAGGAATGCACGTGGCCGTGTCAACACTTCATGCAAATTCCAGTGTCTCTGCAGAGACCGCCACACTTCACGCCATGGCTTGAGCACATTCTTCACGGTATGTGAGCTACATTGATGACACCACGCCCCCGCTCCGCAAGATAACAGGCATCTAATCAGTTTCAGCTGAAGTACTCAAGGAATCTATGTCTGGTGACGCCGCGTTCTTGAAAGTTGTATGAGCGCTTGACAAGGTCGTACGGTTGCAGACGCTGACTCTAGTTGCGTGCCGTCCCGCTAATCACAGGCGCGGGGTTGGAACAATCGGCAATTGAGTACTGAGTGCATATCCACGTTTGCAGGCCCGGGAAGTGGCTGGCTGGCTGAACCTTGAACTACCTTGGCCATATCCGTCGATGCCATGTCAGTCTGCTCACGCTTAAGTTCAGCTCGACGCCACAGCATTTGGCACAGGAACAGCTGCTAATAACTTTGTTCATGCGAGCTTTGTCCGAAATACATAAATTGTTAGACCTGTCCAAGATCCATTGACCATGTCAGAATCTTTCTACCACTACCCAAAGGCCCTATCTCGCTTGAGGATCGTGTCGGCACCATGTTTACGAGAGTCCTCGTTTACGGCCTAATGGGCTTTGCCCATCTACCGACTCTTCGTGCAGAAGCTGCGTTGCCGCCAACACTGGTGCTGCCCTGGGGAGTGTACGAAGGTCAACCTATGACAGATGATCCAGATGTAGGCAATAGATAGACGAGGAAACGGTCGCTTTGCTGACGGCCTGTATAGATTTATCTATTCGAGAACGTTCGTTTTGGAGCTAATCCTCCCCGTTTCGGCGCCCCTGCCTTCCCGACGTCAACAAGCACAGCTATCCAGCCTGTCAGCGACGGACGCAACTGCATTCAAATTGACCCGAATGGTCTCCATAATGCCCCAGGTGGTCAAAACCCCGTCGATACCCCTGATGACCAGGTCACTCTGCAAGGCGAAGACTGCCTGTTCCTCGATCTCTACGTACCAAAGGCGGTAATTGACGCCCCTCCAGTGAAGCTTTTGCCGGTAGTTGTCTGGATCTACGGCGGCGCGTTCGCATTCGGGAGCAAGAACCAAATCGGTCCTTTATACACTGGCCAGTCAGTCATCACAGCAAGCAACTACCAGACAATCTTTGTCGCCGGCAACTACCGCCTCGGTGCTTACGGCTGGCTTTCGGGAGACTACATGCAGAAGAGTGATCAGCCAAATGCGGGACTGTACGACCAGGCTCTCTTGTTTGAATGGGTACAAAAGTACATCAATAAGGTGTCTGGTGATGCGTCTCAGGTTAGTGCCTGGGGCGAGTCTGCCGGTGCCGGTTCTATCCTCCACCACCTAGTCCGCGAAGACGGTGCTGTAGATCCCACATTCAAGACCTTTGCTGTTCAGAGCCCAGCCTTTGAATGGGCCTGGGATAATAGCCCGATGGGCAAGCTGGACCAGGTCTATCAGAACTTTTCAAGTCTTGCCGGTTGTGGCCAGGCGTTTAATCTTACCTGCTTGCAGCAATCTACAAACTTGACGGACGCGAACCAGGCACTCTTTGACACTGTCAAACAGACTGGTCTGTTCCCCGTTGGACCAGCTGTGGACGACAAGTGGATCACTACAATTCCAACCATTTTGTTCGCGAATGGTGAGTAATCGACACTCATAACTGAGTTTTGGTACAGGTTGACTAATACCGAATCCTCAGGTAGATACTGGAAGTCCTCTATTCAGTCGACAATCATCTCACACGTTCTCAACGAGACTGCTTCCTTCACCCCGTCGTTTGTGACTTCTTCCGATACGTTCGCTGAGTTCCTTGATGTCTTTCTCCCGGGATCCGAGCTGGCGTCTCAAAGACAGAAGATAGCTGCCCAATACCCATGCACCGAACCCCCCTATGACGGCGACTATCGGCTCTGCATCGCGACCGTGATCCGCGACGCTAGCTTCACTTGCAACACCCGCGACCTGTACTCCGCATTTCCGAGCATATCGCATATGATGCGGTACGGGTTTCCGACTGCCTCATTAGCCCGCCACGCGTCAGACCTGGTTCCCCTGTTCTCCAACCACTACGGCGAGGCTAAGGCTATCTTGGAGAAGAACAATGTCAGCGCCGTCGAGGCTGATATTTATGCTGTGGCCCTCATCGACACCGATCTGGCTGAGGCGTACCAGACGTACTTCGCATCTTTTGCGCTATCGGGTGGAAACCCGAATACACTTTCCATGCCGAGCGTCTTGTTTCATGAGCCCCCGGCCTGGCCCGTGGCAGATGGCAGCGGAAACGAGCTGACCAATGTGCTCACAATCGGGCCGCCGTACTCTGCGTTCCCGCTTGATGTTCCCGACGACCAGAACACAAAGTCAGCATGCGACTTTTGGACCGAGATTGCGAAGGAAGTTATTACAGCACACAAGGAGACGGACGTAACAGGGAACAGAGTGAAGGACATAAGCTCCGAAGAGCTGTGAAAGACGCACGATTCACGCTGAAACTAGTGTGCCTCGATCAAGGAAACACCAGCCATCCTGCATCTGCGAGCAGAGGCGCGTGACAAAGCTTGTAAGGTGATGTCGTGACCGATTCGGCAATATTGAAGTTGAGGGCAAGATTGCGGGCCGCGGGCAAAACTCGTCGGGTTGTGGGGGCGGGGCATGTCCCTGGAAGGGGGCGACAACAAGGCACTTCCAGGACCACGAGACTTTTGTTACCATGATGTCCTCATATTCCACTCCAGCTAGAAGGCCTAGCAGAGGACCTTTATCTCCTCAAAGGTCGCTTTCTACAGCTGATTGACTGCGATTAAGACTGTGATCAAGTGATGACTATGCGTTACCAGGTCACACTTTTACTTGGGCGTTGTAAACCCGTGATACCAAAGGAACATCAGTTTTTTCGAAACAAGAAGTCTATTTGCACCATCCTGAGCAATCCAGCTTTTTGCGCCGCTTCTTGACCAAGTCCTCTCTAACTCCGTGAGATGATCGTAATCGCGATCAGAGCCAAAATCTACTAAAACGCAACAGATCACCCGGCTGACTCGTGCCAGCTACATACAGAATTTAAAGATAGCCGATAACTTAGTTGGAAGGAGCAGTCCTTCTGAGGTTTAGAATGATTTTGTCATCAGTGTCATCGCCGGTCTCGTTCCATTTCAGGTTGTAAATGCCATCGATATCAGTGGCAGTAGCATACCACCAAGACTCGAAGCTACCATCCTCAGCCTCGACAAGGACAAAGTTTCCGTAAAAGCTGAAGCCGCTGGTCTTACGGCCGGTCGTAGAGTCGCTGCTGTTGAGGAAAGCGACGTTGTGCACGCCAGAGTCGGCGGTTGGGATAGTGAAGGTCAGGTTAGACCAAGTAGGCGCGGTGGTGACAGCGGTGGTGTTGGGGGCCCCGAGCCATGTCTCGGTATCATCCTCTTCAGGGGTGACTGTCATAGATCGTCCGGTCAGTCCCGCAATCGCCAAGAAAGGAAAGTGGGGATACCGGTACTTACAGATCACCGGGGCGGCATTGGAGTCGTTGAACTGGGTGTAGTCTCCGAAGTAGGCATCGCCTGTGCAATTGAGTGTTAGTCTAACGGCATGTCTCGGTAGGGAGGGTCTAGACCGAGCCCAGCTGGTGGTAAAGTTCCTGCACTTGGAGGGACACCGGGCGAAGACCTCGGACGGTCTCTAGGTGGTGTACAGCTTGACAGTCTCGGCGACAAACTCAAATTCAGATTCGCAAACGGGGAAATAGCTTACCTCCAGCAGTGAACAGTGCCAAGCCACCAATTCCAGTACCATAGGCGTAGATTTGGAAAGAGCTGGTGTCGGCGCGGCGAACGTGAGAAGACTTCGCAGACCTCACACTAGCCGGGGCAAGTCCTGGGACAGCGGCGGTGAGGGTGGCAAAGGCCAAAAGAAGGCTTCCGATGTGCTGCATTTTTGGAATGTTGTTTTGGGTGGTTGCTGAAAGACGGTATAAAGCTGTATGAAGCTTGTTATAATGACGGACTGCGATAGTATAATTACTTTTACTGCGAGTTAGAGGTGATGAGAGTAAGCAGAACTTCTTCAACGGGATCCAAGTTCCTTATTTATCTAGAATCCAGTCAGCCAACCTTGAAGAGTCTTTGTCCGGGAGATCCGTGGTACAACGTGATCTCTCCGCTCCAAAACCTGGTTAAAAAAAAGCTTCTTGACCAACAACACCACAATGTTCCAACTCCATCATCCCATATCGCGGCTCAGGCCACTGAGGCTGAGACTCCACCGGTGTACGTAGCTGCTCATCTATCATCACAACTTTCTTATGCAACCGCGCGGTTGGTGGGTGTCTGGAAGAAGAAACAGGCATTGGCCTTGTAATCGTCAACGGCAATGCCTTTTTCGTCTGTTCTAGAATGAGGTCCATCCCAGATGGCACATACGTTAACCAGTCCAAGTCGTTTCGGAATGTGGGATGAACATGCACGAGCCGAATCGAACCCTGAAAAAGCGCACAGGCATAGGGTATCTGTAGGGTAAGGCGGAGCGGGATTTTCTTTTTTTTTTCCTGCTCTTTTGCGGGCAGCCCGTCACGTCACGTCGACCCGTCCACCGGCTCCATCCTCGGAAGAGGCCGTGCCCCCACCGTTCCGGTCACTCGGCCATACCGGACGTCTTACGCCGATATTCATATGAGACCCTTCGCGACTGCAATCTCATAAGGCTGTTGTTGCGGAGCTACTCCAATGAATACGCATTGCACTGTTCAGGAAGTTTCCTATAGTATTCAGTGGGTTTTGATACTGCATTGACATCTCATTGGCAGGCAGAATCCGTCAAAATTTGATCTACGACGATGTGACACTGAAGGATCCGGGGTTTCCTCTCATAATTAATTTTTCAATGTAAGTTTTCGTTCTTTCCTAGGAAATAACTCTCACGGACCCGACGTGCTCAATAATCGAAAGCCCAAATTAGCAGGATCGAACGAATGAATGAACCATGCGTACGGTGTAATACAGCACACGCGGCGTTATAATCCGGTGGGATGGCCTGGGCAAAAGCTTTCTTGCCTCCTCCGCTCCGGGCGGGGTGATCTAGGCTGAAAGGATTCAGATGATCCCCCGAGCCCCTTACTGAACCGCCTCCGCCACGGGAAGCAATCCCTGACGAGCCACTTTGTTGGTCCTATTTCTACTCCCAATGAGGCTGAGCCGGTGTACGAAGTCTTGACGACTTACCTCGGTCATTCTGGCACATAGTAATGGGATGATTTGTAGCGTCCAAAGTGATTTTTAAATGCACATCGGAATTTTATCACATGACAAGCCCCCGATGCGACAACCACGACTGATCAAGTCAACCACTGCAAGTACCCAACATCGACACTCTTCGTCTTTTTGCATTTCTGTAATCTCTTTCTTGTAACTGGAGTAAAGCCCAAGACTTTACCGAGAGATTCAAACGATCAGTAATCCGTCTCTACGTGAAGCTCATTGGCTGAGTGCCCCAGCTACGCTGAGGTACCCCTTTTTTTGGGCCTACCAATCCGACACTTAAGAGCGACGTTATGTGGGCAAGCGGGAGGGATCACAGGGAATTCCGGAAAATCGAGCGTCTGAAACTCTAGTACAAGTCCATGTTCCTCAATTGGTTATTCGTACGTCATCCGTGCCCTGAAATAATCTGAGATGGAATGGAAACATCGGGTATTAATAAACGTCACCTCCGTCCCGTTCAGCTGCCAAGCCTCAAGCGAACGTTCCCCTGAGTCGCATCCTGGAATTGCACTCAGCGTCTTACGCGCTGTTTCCACGGGCCCTGTAAAGTTCAACGCCGAAGGATTTCTCAACCAAAGCACAACAGGGTGTAAATACGCCTCGCCATCGAAGGGCCAACACTGCGGATAGCGGGTTTCGGTAGGCCCGGTCTGATTACGACGAGTTCCACAGCGAATGCTGTAGAGACTTTGGAACCTAGCACAACTAGCATCCCCTGAGTTCAGCACAAGCCAAAAGCCTTGCTTGTGTGCCACCGCATAAGAACGAAGCTCGATCCAGAGGTTAGAGTATTCTCGTATATTCGAGTCACTCCAATGAACCAAGTCCCCCCGACTACGGTGTTAAAGGTAGGTGATTTGCTGAATGTCTGAAAATCCGACGTAGGCCGACTCAAGGATAGCAGGATGACATTTTGTAGGGCAAATTTTACAAGTTTTCCTCAGTAATTGTCATTGAGAACAGATATCGTCCTTCGGGCGTGAATGTTCCATCAGGATAGTGCGATGCATTTCCTGCCATGTCAAGGCTGATGCGAGCGGCAGCAGATGCGGATGGTTCAGTCATGGGTTGCCTACCTCCGCACCAGCAGGTCGTAGGGGCCTAGAATACATATCGACGTCAATTGAATCTTTGTTTAGCCCTTTCAAGACGAAAGACTCCAAAGCGGAAACGGGGGCTAAATTTCCGTCTTCCGATGCGGATAGCGATAGTTTCAAGCCGAGAAGCAGTGTGCTTTGTATTGGAGTCTTATGTTATTAGACAACCCTTCCTTGGCGTACCTACCTATAGAATGCCACTAACAACGAACAAAGTTGTATTAGTGAATACGAGTATCTGATCAAACATTGCGATCAAGTAGAATAAGGTACATGTATGAAGACATATCAGTTCTCGGCGACTCAACATCCTTCTTTCCCGTTAAACCAGTCCTTCATTACAACTCTTCTTTCCATTCGTACTTAACATCGTAACTTCAAATTTGTCCAGGTTGGTCACAAACTCACGTGCGAGCATATGTTTCTCCTATAGACCAGACTCTATCAACCTGATTGGTGAAGCGTCAAAGTTCAAAACGAGATTCTCCGCGATCCTCACCCTGGTGGTCGCTTTCGCCGCAGCCCCGAGTTCCATGACTGCGGACATGGGCCTCCAGGCCCGAACCAGGAAGACGACTGATGATCTCGCTGCTCATCAGTGACCCGACTATCCCATTAACTGCTAGATAACGTCACTATATCCGTCTCTGGTCTTCTTCTAGTTTTACTCTATTTCTCTTATATCCGCCTATACAGAATCTCGAAATAGATTAAACTTAGAGAAAGACTATAGACAGTTATAATGACGCTATTGAGCAATCAATGTTATAGCAGCTCCAGCGGCAAAGACCAGACTGGGGCCACTTCGGAATCTGCTACACTACCAGCTGCTACGCTACCCGGACGATGAGAAGCAAGCTCGGATCCATGTAAAAAAAGAGACCTGGAGAAATACGCTCGAGATAATGCGAAAATTGGCCTATGCTGAACGGGAACATTTTTCCTCGCATCCTTATGCAACCCTGATGGTTGAAACTAGCGGACAACCTTCGTTAGGCTCTTCATTATAGTAGATAACATATTGTGAAATGCATTCATTCTTTATCGATCAACCTTGTGTTTTCACCTTCGAAGAATGCGACCTTTCTTTCAAAAGGTTTTCATACTATTATGGCTGTCCTAATCGATACTCTATATCCCTTGAAAAATATCATAGACTGATCGGAAGCTGTTGCGTCAAAATCGGTAAAACCCACGCGCTCGCAAATATGAGCAGGTCCACCTGGTCTGCTGCGAAGAACCATCAAACAGTATGTTTCAGGCCGCTTCTTAGCGACAGAAGGATTCGGTAATATGCAAACGACCCAACAGAAAAACTTGTCCATATCCATGATTTCTTGAGTTGGTCGATCGAAGTAGAATGGAATTCTCTCCCCATTTCTCATCATGACGCCCGCGGATTGCTCTCTCGAAGTCATCAGCACCGATATATCAAGAAAGACCCCGCTAACGGTTATACTCCCTCGAGTCACCGCGCTTGTATTGTCTTCTGTTGCTGGAGTGATGTCGACACTACGGACGACAGTCTTATTGAGGAAACGCGGAGTGATGGGCTCCTCAGAACCCCCATAAGGGATCCACATGGTGATGGGTCCGTTGTGAGCTGCCCAAGACCATGACGGAGCAACACAGTCTCGTGAAAAAGTCCGCTCAGTTTCCTTCGTTCTAACAGGCGCCCAGCATAAGCTGCAGAGAAAGTCTCGATCCAGCCAGTGACCCGCAGCATACTTCGTGCGGAGACTCGACTGTACTATACGTGCAACTCCAGATAGTGCGGTAAGCCTGTCTGTGGCCACCGTCAACTTCCGTCGTGTGTAGTGCTCAACGGTACTCTGCCACATCCAGTTTGGTGTTTCCATGTCCCCTAACTTTAGACGAGGCTCGTACAGCTCCTTGATGGTTACCAAGCCTAACGGTACCGCGGGAAATGCACACTCGCATTGGTATTCATCTTCAACACAATGGAAGTTCATCTCGCCACCGAAGAAGGTGAGCAGTCGAGATGCGAGGACCTCCTCTTGGAAACACCAGCTTCGACTCAGTGTCCCGCGGGTTTTTGGTTCCGCCAAAGTCGACCAGCCAAGCCAACTGTGATCCAACATTGCTTTAGCAAAAACGGTCAAGGCAGTCCCCTTCTCCAAGCGAGAAGATTCAAATTTGACCAATTCTCGCGATAAATGTGGCGCAGAGAGAAAACCATCTTCAACGCTGTTGGAATCAGCAGCCGCAATCACCAAGATTGCGCTGCCATAAATTGCCGCCATCTGTGAGGACTGTTCTGCCCAGTCCCGAGAGTCGATATCGCCTTGTATAATACAAAGTCCATCGATCCACAAAAATGGGATACTCAACATTGCAGTAACCGTGACGGCGTCCTTGTATGTTTGTGGAAGAGTCACGAATGGCAGGTCGTCTAGGCGTCTTGAGAGGTTCTCCGGGGTCGTTGCGCCGGTATTTTGTAGACCCCAGGTATAACTTAGGCAAGCGTAGACACCGAAGTCTCCCCTAGAATCCATAAGACGTAGCCTTCTATCCGAATTGAACCCTCGAAGATCAAGGACTCTTCGAGGCAATTTTGAGATCCGGCTGTGCATTCCAAAGAAAGGATCGTCATTGAAACTCGCGGTAGACCTTTCTTGCTCTTTCCCTGCATTATACTTAACTTCACCACCGACTTCATTTGCGTGTTCGGCTTCAAAGATCCTGGCTGCTAATCCGCCATTGCAGTGATGATTCTGGAGGCAATGACGAATCCATGCTTTTGCTTGTTGCAGCCTCACCTGCCAACTCTGTTCTGAACTCCGCCCTTGAGTCAAAGGAATAGCTTCTTCAATGGAAAGTGATCGCCCTGCAAATTACTATTAGCCAAGTGATCCACCGTCTGAGCACTCAATGATCATTGCCTTCTTTGATGAACAACTCAAGGTTTCTCTCAGGCCCAGCGGCTAGATCATCGAGTATATGAAAAGGGTAGCACAGCTCTATTGTTTCGCCCAATGGGAGAAGAGCAAATGCAGACTTGGCGCATTCGCCTGTCCTACACAGTTTAAAGACTTCCGGCTGGCATTCATCACACTTCAGGCACGATGTGAACTTTCTCCAATCAGGAGACAAATGCGACAATGCCTCTTCAATAATTGAACATCCAGAACATCCGTCTGTCGACCGACTTCGCACTTTGCGCAAGTCAATTATGACAAGGCTCGCGAGGCTAGAGCTCTGCCTCTGACTAGGGGCTTCCAACCCAAGGCCGCGGCAGAATGGACATTGAATGTGGTCAGGACTGTTCAGTTGAAGCTGCGATGATTGTGACATTGTGTGACGTCTTGAGGAGCGGGGTAGGTCGCGACAGGGGTGTTGTTCGTGCCCCTGACATGCCCATCGAGTCGAAGTCAACGCCAGTAAAGCCTAACTAGCAAAGCTACCGGTATGTTGATTTTGGCAGCTTCGTCGCAAATTGTCACCGCGTTTCTAAAGTCTGAGACACAAGGGGGCGAATAGAGATGCTCAACAGTTGTATGGTGAGAAATTTCTCGCTCATAAATGCTGATCCCAACGCTTAGCGTCAATGACTAAGGCGAAAGACGTCGCCGATGTTACGTCTAAGGTACTACCAAACAATCTCGTTAATTACAGGCCTATGTGCGTAACAACATGAAGGCAACAACATGGAATCCGGCATCGTCAAGCAATGAACGCGGTCGTTCTGAAATCCCATGATGGTATTTAACTCATACTAAGTAGTATCATGAAGTTTTTGTAGACTCGGACTTGATTCAATTCGGTCGGACTCAAGCCAAGACTGCATGCAATCTGCTGGGCTTGTGTAAGCCTCAGCCACTGACCAAGCCATCCAATGAATCCTTCGCACGCTAATGCTGACGACTAAATATAGACCCTAATCCTTCGTCGACTTGATTGTCGTGCACCGTCTCGCACCTGGCCTCGCACTCACCTTCAACTTCATATCCAACACGTGCATGAGCTCGAGTTCATCGGATCCTTCTGTGCTTCATCTAGGGCATCTATGGGGCGAAGTCAACAACAATTGACGGAAGCCTGTATTTATGCTTATTTAGATGAAATGCTGGTCTTATGTTCATTACTGCGGACCCCTTGGCAGACCTGCCGTGGATTGACCCTAGTGCGACCTCTGCTAGAAGCCAGAATCTATGCTAAGCCTGGGTCCTAGCTTATGCCCGTCGTGATACTTTGCTAACGGGAGCCTGCCTTAGCTGCAGCTCCAGCCCCGCCGAGTATAGCTTTGATGAGGCTATTGTGAGCGCCTCAGTCTGATGTCTATGATAAGTCAATATAAAGCTAGAGCTCTTCTCCGTGTGCAACTCAGATTATCCACCACCGCTATCTCACCAGTCCACATTCAATTCACTATCTTTGCCATCGGTTTTCCGTTGCATCACATCTTGCTTTAAGCCGCTTACTACATCTCCCACGGCATTCCTTCATAGCTTCGAAATGTCTTCCAAAATTCTCATCGCCTTAGCCAGCATTGTTTCTCTTGCTGCGTCTTTGCCCCATACGCCTCGCGAATGCTCCCAAGCCTTGACAACAGGTTTAGTTGCCAACCCTCAACACTTCAATATTTATCAATCCGCCTCCCAACCAAACCACCCCACAGACAACGTTCCGCATCTTGACCTCCACACCAACATTACCCGCCAGGTCGTCATTTTCAACGGTATTCCGCCCTCGGCCACCACTTGCACTCTCGGTTGGCGACAGGGCCCGATCGAGACCCGCGTCTTCCGTGTCGATGGCAATGGCCTCGTCTCCTCGCGCCAACTCAAGACCGAGGGATTCCCGACATGGACTACTGGAAGCGACATACTGATCAACCCCACGACCATCGCGCCTTTCCAGGAAGGCAGCGAGTTCTCCGCGGGCATGGATTTCACATTTTGGGACCAGCCCGATTTCTCCGCCCCGGCGACGCATGGCGGCCCGAGAGTCGAGTGCCAGGAGAGGATTGTCGTGGAGCTTGCGGTCAACCTTAACAACGGACAAGATGGTCGCGTCTTCATGCAGGATGATGCCGAGAATGGCCTGTATATTTCTTACTCTTAGAGAGTGTTGCATCAGATGGCTTCGGCGTCATGGAGCTGTAGTAGACTTTGATTGACGGATGGAATGGAGACGTGGGGTTTATCTTATTATGCAGCATTGCATGGACATATTATTATTGCGTCAAAAGTAATTACTGTAAAGTTGTTCTTTTTTGGAATGTTTTCAACTGTTCTGACTTGGGTTTTTGCCAAGGATAAGGTAATGATGGTGGTATACTCATGTCTTCAGACTCATTTTCCGTACATCTATGAAATAAGTAGCATAAACACACCATGGGGCATCGCTTTAGAATTCTTGATAGTAACTCTCCCATGACGACCTCTTCCGCAATGCTTACCTTGATAGACAATTTCAGAAACGCGCTGATGTCACAAGGAATGCAAGGGCATCTACAATTGCTGAATCATTCGCGTCAGCAGGTTGCAGGACCAGAACTCGGGGTATCTTGGATCATGCAACGGTACGTACCGCGTCAGCTGGTCGCAGATTTAGCGCATAGATCGAGTGGGTCCTCGCTTCGAAGCTGAGGTAAACCAGCAACGTCAAAGAAGCATGTATCGTTTCTTGACTGAACAGTTGCCAAATCACAGCATCGTCACTAATTCCGGGCTGGACCCAACTTGCTTGCTGACGTCCTTTTCTTAATCCTCTTGACTCTTTCCTGTAGGTCGCAGGGAAGAGACGCCAACAAGACTGACGTCCACTGCCGAAAACGGTCTACCGTCCACCCGGTTACACCAAAGTCAGGCAGTCTTCGATCTGTCGCTCGGGATCGGTTCGTGCCTTTACTCTTTAGATCTAATTGCCTTGCCCTCTAGGTGCCCCAAGCCCGCAATGAGGCAGTAACAGCATCAGCATGTTGCCACATTTTTCACTCTTTACAGCCGATAAGCGCGATGAATCCGTTCCAAGCTCAGCCGTGGGTATAACACAAGTTTAATCCCGGGTGCTGAGAATCGATGCCTTAAGTTTCCATTACCAACATTAGCCGATATTGGGGCCGAGCCCGAGATTCTAGTCTGGTTAAAGAAAAGTCGCGACGATGCGGTGGTAGATTATTTGCCCCATCACAACAGCCTACTTAGTAGTTTATAAGTACTGCCGACAGCTCGTCCTTGAGGAAGATGATGCTCATTCGAATTCCCATCCTTCCCATTGCCAATCAATCATCTCGATTCTAGCCCTATCAAACCCATTACCTTGTAATCATCTTCAAACTTACAACATGACTCCTCAACTTCAACAGCCCCTGGACACCTACCTGGCTCGGCACCGCCAGCTTTCGCCGACGGCGGCCGTTCGCGTGTCCCCCCTCGCTCTTGGCGCCATGAACTTCGGCGAGAAGCAGAAGGCTACCATGGGCGAGTGTACCAAGGAGACCGCCTTCGAAATCATGGATCACTACTATTCCCAAGGAGGCAACTTCATCGACACCGCCAACAACTACCAGGCCGGCCAGTCTGAGGAGTGGGTTGGTGAATGGCTGGCATCCCGCGGCAATCGCGACGACATTGTGCTTGCCACCAAGTACAGCAGTGCCTACCAGCTTCACAATAAGTCGAAGCTCCAATCCAACTACGGCGGCAACAGTATAAAGTCGTTGAAGCACTCCGTCGCACGATCTTTGAAGGCTCTCCAGACGACCTACATTGACATCTTGTACCTTCACTGGTGGGACTATTCCGCTTCAATTTCTGAGGTCATGCACTCGCTCAATGATTTGATCACGTCTGGCCAAGTCCACTACTTGGGCATATCAGATACCCCGGCCTGGGTTGTAGCTAAAGCAAACCAGTATGCCCGTCTCTCTGGTCTTCGCCAGTTTGTCGTCTACCAGGGCAGCTGGAACGCGTCCCTGCGTGACTTTGAGCGGGAGATTATACCCATGTGCAGGGATGAAGGCATGGGTCTCTGCCCTTGGGGTGTTCTCAACGCTGGCCGCTTCCAGACGGAAGAAGGCTTCAAGGAGCGCGAGAAGCACAATCCCGGTAGACAGAACACGGTATCAGAGCACGATAAGAAGGTTTCCAAGGCTTTGGAAAAGGTCGCCAACGCCAAGGGCGCGTCGCTTCTCGACGTCGCAGTCGCCTACGTCATGCACAAGGCCCCGTTCGTCTTCCCTATCGTGGGTGGACGAAAGCTAGGCCATATCGAGAATAATATCAAGGGACTCGGTCTCGCACTTACGGAGGAGGATATCCGGGAAATTGAGGGTTCGCACGAATTTAACCCTGGATTCCCTCACACTTTCCTGAGTGGCACTTCTCTTTTCGGAGGCGCTCCCAAGGGAGCTTACCATCCTGGGGATGTGTGGCTCACGAACCTAATGGGTAAGTTTGACTGGGTTGATGCCCCTAAGGCTATCTCACCGGAATGATGTCAACTCCCAACAGTGGGGGGATTTGCGATTCATCGTACCTGGAATACCCCATAGCTACAAGAGTAGAAAATTGCCTAGCAAGATTAGAAAGCTTTGCTCGATGAATCTACAGAACCACCATTAACCAGATATGAGTTTAATGGCTCTGCTTGTGAGTGAGCAGCCTCAATCACTTTTGCCAAAATGCACTGACCAGAATATTTTTCTCATACTTGCCTCAAATTAAAGAAAGAAATTGATGTCGTTACTCTACGATATCTGATGAAGTCGACTAAAGCTATTTAGCTAGGCATTTTCATTCACGTTCGAAACCATATCACTGAGCGCTCTCCTTCTTGTGCATGAGCAGAATTTTGTGGGTGTCTACCCTAATTTCGGAGAGTCACAAATTTGTTGATAGAGTGAGTGGCCTGATGGCATAGAATGACTCCTACATTACGTCAACTCTCATTGTAAATTTATCGATGAATGCGTCGGAGAAGGTCTGAAAGGGTAAATGAAAAGACCCGGTCCACGCCCGCTTACTCAGAGACATGTTCATGACGCTTTTGTAAGCCGTTGACATCTGCTACACAATGTGACATGTATACACGCACCTGTGGATGGTCGCTTAACTCGTTGCAATTCATTGCGGATAGGACAAGTTCATTGTCTACACATCTGTATCTTCTGCTCGACAAGAACGGATCGAGGTCCGCCGATGACGACTACGAATGTAACTTAATCTGTTCAGAGGCTTCCTCAAAGGGTAATCAGCTATTCGAAATGAGCCCTAATCCTAGCCTTTATGCAGTAATGGTACTCAAATACTGAGGTAGCCCACGTGAGGCGATTGGCCGGACTTAAGACAAATCAACGGCTGACGCTGGTATGGTGCCATGGTCCGGACCAAGCCCGGCTTGTGGTGGAAAGCGGATTCTCTCATGCGGCCGGGCCATCTGCACGCACTAGGGGGTCTAGGTAGTTGAGTCGGGCCGTGAGGTACCTCAGTGATAATCTTTGTGCGATATCCGACCCCTACTGGAGCTGTGGTCGAGAACAAGGACGAAAACACTGCCTTCAATGCCAAGGCGCCGCGGAATACCCTCCAGTATTCGCCAAGAAGAAGCTTGTGTTGACAGAATGGAGCAGTCAAGAAGTGAAGTTCGAATAGCCAAGCATACTCGACGTATAAAGGTGGCATTCCTACACAGAATGAACATGAGCTAAGTTCGTCACCCACCTTAGACAGTCATAGTTCGCATCCTTCGCCATGTCTCTCAACAACACCTTGGGTGCCTTCATGCGCGGCATCATGTACCGTGGTGTTCCCGGTGAGATGACTGTAGAAAACATTCCCATGCCCACCATCCTCAACCAGACCGACGCCGTCGTCCGCATCACGACTTCCGCTCTGTGCGGCTCTGACTTACATGTCTATCGTGGGTACCAAGGCGGCGCTCCTCCGTGGAATATGGGACATGAGGCCATTGGGTACATCTCCGAGCTTGGGAGTGCCGTCACTGGATTAGAAGTCGGTGACTACGTCATCATTCCTGACACGGTGAACCATGGTCGTCTTGAGATGGAACCCTCTGGCTTGGACTTCTACGGCAATGGAGGTATCGTCACGGACGGTCTCCAGTGTAAGTCTTCATTCCCTCCTCGGGACAGATCTTCTTAGCTCTCACCGACAAAGACTTCCAACTCGCGAGCAATTTCCTCGACTGACACGGCTTAGCCGAGTACGCCAGAGTCCGGTTCGCCGACTCCAACTTGATCCCCATCCCGCTTACCCGGGAGACGACCAACGCCACCATCGAGCAAGACTATCTGACGATCTCCGACATCTTCGCCACGGGCTGGGCTAGTCTCGACTTCTCTGGCTTTGAGATCGGCGACACGGTAGCAGTCTTTGGCGCTGGCCCGGTCGGACTCATGGCTGCATACTCAGCTGCTCTCCGCGGCGCCTCAAAGGTTTATGTGATCGACCACGTACAAGCCAGACTCGACCGCGCAGCCTCCATCGGATCGATTCCCATCAACTTTGCAGCCAGCGACCCTGTCGCCCAGATCATGGCATCCGAACCAAACGGAGTCATGCGCTCCGTAGACTGTGTTGGTATCGAAGCCTTAAACTCGCGCCTTGAACACCAGCCCAACATCATCCTTGATCAGATGGTCAACCTCACTCACGTCGGCGGCGGCATCGGTCAGGTTGGCGTATACATGGCGCAGCCGGACTCGCCCGGCTCTCCGCTTGGGTCCGCATTTTCCCCCATTGCCGAATTCCCTCTGTCTGACTTCTTTGGCAAACGTTTGAAGTTCCAAGCTGGGCCTGTCGATCCCAAAGTTTACGCGCCGATGCTTGTGGAGCTTATTAGCAGCGGCAAGGCAAGCCCTCATTTCATCGCTTCGGCGAGCATTTCGATTGAGGATGTGCCTGCCTACTACGCCCGGTTCAACGAACACGATGAGATCAAGGTTTTCATAAACTTTCCTTGAATACCCCTGCAAGAAGGGTATTCAACCGTGTAAAGCATGGCGGTGTATCATCATCACATACGGTAGACTGGATATGCTTTGATAAAGTTCGCATCTCCAGTGGCCATGATCTCGGATCAGATGGATACTTCTCAGCTACCGGAATGATCATCACGGCTACATTAGCATTCAATCGAACCCAAGAGAAAGGTGTGAGATGTATTCGAGTCTTACTCTGCCTGAATCACTGTTGCGCGCGTAAACACCTCAACATTCAATAGTTCCCCTGTAGCTACTAGCACCACTATGTAGACTGATCGATTTTCTGCTCTACAAACACATTTTCCCATGAAACGATCGTAATTATTCCCGATAGCGACGCTGAAAAGATCCAAGGCAATGCATACTACTCTTCCTCGTTATTACCCTGCTCAACCAGCCTCTCAAACTTGGGCCGGTCCCAATCCCGGCTTTCTCCGTCACCAGGCCAGCCCGCCTTTGTCATCTCCCTAGCCAGCTTGTTATGGCTGAAATCTTCCTCAGGGTCAGAATCAGAGTTGGGCTCGGATTCATATTCCCAACCCATGTTCTGCCTCATGACGGACATATCCCACGGACCAAGCCCTATCCAGTTCATCTTCCGGAACCTCTCCTTGCAGATCGTGAAAAAGTCGGCAGGCTCATACACATTGAATCCGTCCCGCCACTCGTTGGCCTCATCGTCCTCGAACCGTGCAAGACTGCTATTTAGCTCGGGCGTGGGCTGCTCGTCGTGCTGTCCTTCTGGGTCTCCCCAGTAGATGTAGCCGTCGTCAGTGTCTAGTATGACTTGATAGCCGCTCCTGCCCCTGTAGATGGCTATGCCTGCACACAAAGACGGGATCGCGGGGTCTCGGCCGGTGACAGGCGCAGTGATGCCTTCGATCTCGCCCTCGCGGATCTTCTTCTGGAAATCCTCGCGGCGGTAGTCGATGACAGGGGTGTTCTTCATGACGAGGGGCGCATGCATAAGATAAATCTCGACATATTCGACATAGGGGATGTGGCGTAGGAGATCAATGACAGTGTCGTTTCTTTTGAGGTTGGCCAATGTCTCCTGGTCGATCGAAGGCCAGCCACCAGCGGGAGCCTGCGCGATAGTGGCATTCCAGAAAGTGCGGTTACGGAAGTTGTAATAGTCTGTAAAACGACGGACGAACTCGTTGCGATCATATGCCATGATGAGGATTGGCGGCTCTTGTAAGCCTCAGTGTTTGGTAGATGATGGGAGTATCTGGACCAGATGGTGACGAGAGGCAACGGGGATTCATAAGATAATAGGGACGTGAGGGCTCCCGAGCTCACATCCCTGTCGAGAGAGGCAGGAGTGTGAACCTGGTGTTCCGGAATTGGGACGGTTTGGCTTGAGAGTGATCCTGGTTCTTTGGGCCAAGTCAAGGATTAATGTTGTAGCCTGTAGATCAAATACGGTGTGTCCGGACTCGTGATCAGTCTTAAGCTTAATGAGGCTAGAGTTTTGTGGCCTCTTTGATGCTCGGCGTGTCGACATAAACAATTTTCTTACCAACCTAACTTGCCTCGACGGCGAATCCATGGCTTCGTATAAGTATCGCGGTTAAATTGCGTATACCGTATCATGTGATTTCACTTAAAAGCCAGATCCCTTCAAGCTCGATCTCGTTCGGCTACAGATCCGGGGGGAAGAGTATCATTACCATACTTGCCTCTAGCAAACGTATTTGCTCAAGTATAAAGAGAATATAAAAGGCAAGAATGTTAGAGAGAATCATAATAACAGTAGTAGTAGTAGTAGTAGTAGTAGTAGTAGTAGTAGTAGTAGTAGTAGTAGTAGTAGTAGTAGTAGTAGTAGTAGTAGTAGTAGTAGTAGTAGTAGTAGTAGTAGTAATAGTTGTAATATTAACGGTAGGAATATAGGAACCAGAGGTCAGGCATTGGGCGACAAACTATTATCTCACCCACTTTCCAGTCTATAATAGAAGATCAATGACGGGAACACGATGCCAGGTTATTGGGCAGATGTCCGTCGTGATGCCAGGGACCTTAACAAAGTCATTGTGGTAGCGTCTTATTAATCAGTGACGCAAGTTCGTCATGGAAAAGCAACATCCAAAGTACATCACTGGGGGTGGAAACCCCATCTCTCGCTACTATACTTGTTTACCCTATGCGATCACAACCTCTGTCCTCCCCAAACCTTTAAAGAAATCCCGTCGATACCCAAAACCAATGCCAACTCTCTGGAACGCACCCATGACATTCTTACGGCGCAGGAGAAGCATGCCATGCTCAGAGATGGCAAGACAGTATATCTCCAATAACATTCCCTCAGTGATGTGCTCCGCAAGCTTACAGGAGTCCAGCTCGGCGACGATCTCCTGTTTCCGTGCCTCGTATGCAACCAAGTTACCTGTGAGGCTGTCGACTGCGTGTACATCTTGGCCCGGGTTGGATCCAAAACGAAACTTGTTAACGCCATCTACCTGGACGTAAACGTCGCTCCACTCCCGAAGCTGTGATTTGGGGCTCCAGAGCGTTCGCAGAAGGCCTCTTACCCGGACGTGACTCAGACCTGCCCCTTGGGCTACCGCCTCTGACGGCTCAATATTCGCACTCATCCCATCGCCGAGCAGCTCTATCTCGATTGGCATCTCGAATTCATTCCACATGCAAACACCCAGACTGATAGGCAGACTCGCCCAAGACCAGCTCGGTGCGTCGACGGTACCGGGCCATTCTTTGTCTGGCTTAGATGGTCGAGAAACTCTCCACAAGAGATCCTGCGCAAACGTCGCGCGCCATAAGCCTGCCATGTACTGATTGTATCCTGAAACAGCAGCTAGGTATCGCGTCGCCAAACCCGCCAGCGCGTTGAACCTATCTGCCGGGTTGCTCAGGCTCCGAGCTGTGTATGACTCCACTATGGAGTTCCACGCAAGCCAAAGCTCCTTGGGTTCAGCAGTGCGACACTCGGCGAGAAACTTGCGGAAGGGAGTGACAGATGGTCGAGAAAGAGTGGAAGAAGATGTGTCCTCGACGTACTCGCCGCGCCCACATGCCCAACTGAATCGTTGTCCACCCCAGAAAAGCAGCCGGGGTGACAGATGCTCCTCTTGGAGTGTCCATGCCCGGAGTGATAGCGGAGCTCTTGCACGAAGGCCGGCAGGTAGCGTCGGGCTTACAGTCATCCAGGAGGTGCCAATACGACATGGCTTGACTAGTTTTGACCATGCGAGACGCGGCGTTAGCAATGACTGCGTGGCTTTGGCCGTTGCCGTTGCACATATTGTGACGGCTGCGTTGCCATAGACCTCCTGCATGCGCTGGATCTCGACCTCCTTGTCTTGAACATCATCTTGGATGATGCAGAGCGAGTCAATCCAGAGGAAGCGCAGCTCCAGCCCGTTCTCTGGGTCGCTTAACCGCCGGGTGATCTTGATAGCATCGCGTATCGTGCCGGGAAGACTTTCAATGTCGAACGGCTGAAATCGACTCTCCAGATTAGCCCTCAGCGTCTGTCCTTGTTCGATCATCTCATTTTCATCCGCACTGAAAGTGCCTGTGCCCCAGCAATAGCTCAGTGCCGCATAGCGAGGGGCTTTGCCGTCCACAATGAGGCAATCACTACCGGCCAGTTGTGCTTCTGAGTCAGAGATGATATGAAGAAGCCTCGTCGGCACGCGATCCGAGTACGCAAGGTTGCCACAGTCAATATGACACTTCTCGCACTTACGGAGCCATCTCTTGATCTGTTCAAAGATGGCATCGTCCGCTGAATCCTCCACTAGCCTCGCAGGAGGCTTCGGGTCCTTACTCGGTGCGCAGCAGACCATCGCTGCCGGGATTCTGACGTCTCCATTTTCGTTGATATGTATCCTCACGGCAAGGTGATCATCCTCGGTTACCAGATTGGCGCAAACATTCCCTGGGGATTCCTCCAACACAGCCACATGGTCGGCAGTCACGCCCTCGAGGAGCAGCGCCTGACGAAAGATGCGGCAGGTGACGCAAAACTGGGCACATCTGTCGAGAGAGATATAGTTCTCGTGAAAGACAACAGTCTTAGGCGGTAGAGTATTATGGCGCCTGTAGAAACCCAAAAGAGCGCGGATTTCTTTGCAGCCACGACACTTTTTTTGTCCGTCCAGGTCGCCAAAGTCTTCGATGGTGGAAAAGCTGTCAGCGCTCTTCTGACCCTGGAACAACCACGACATCATCCTTTGCGAGGTTCGAGTGACTCGAGGGCTCGATGTTCCGATTTCCAAAAACCAATGTTCCTTCGACACCATGTCGATCATACGCAGTGGACTTTGAGTACATAGATGGGTGGCTTTATTGGGTTGGGGCAGTGTCAGGCTGACTGTGTTGGCTCAACAAATCGCATCTTGAGACCTTATCTGGATGTAAGACGTTCGAGTTCAGCCACCCCTCGCTTAAGCACGTCCGCGCGTTCTTTGTATCACGATCAGGCTGTCGGTCTTCGGGGTAGTTGCGGGATACATGGACGGTAATCCAGCAATAGATTTCCCATCGCTGCGGCACAAAATTAGAGTCATTCTTCCATTCATCATTCCACGTGCATGAAACTGAGGGAACAACGATTTTGTAGCATGCTTTCTTGATGATGTCGTGATATTAGTGCCAATGAAGATTATGCATTGGAAAGCAAGTCTTGCGTTGCACATATTGCCAACTACCTAACAATTGAATAATAGTTGGCGTTCCAACGCTTCATGTTGACCTAGCATAGCCTTTCAACACCTCTTGGGTTCTTCAAATATCGATAAACGGCTCTACATCGTTAAGCTGTTCTTGGTCAAATAATTCAGCAGACCGAGCTTCAGAGGCATCCGCACAAATTTTCCAGATGTCTACCACCAAAGCAGCGAGCGCCACAAATCTACAAATGTTGGTCAGCTTGGATCCAGATTATCGAGTGGAACTTTCGGCTTTGAACGTACGAAGCCACCCCAGCTACACCGCTGGCTGCCCTTTCAGACCAAATTGATCCGTATTTACGAAGCGATACAGCAAAGGCCCAGTCCGCGGCGGCGAAGCTTGCTGCAAATAAGGCGCTGACGAGGAGTATCGCACGGCGGATATTCATGCGACTCTCGTCGGTCATCAGAGCATTCGGTTGTTGGGACGAAAAGACTGTGCTGACAATGATGCCGTTGGCGAAGAGTGAGAAGCCGCTCTGTGACCAAAGAAATGATAAGCATACAAATATTATCTCCACAGCGTGTGAGCTTCTCGGGAGGAGGACTTGGATTGACGCACTAAAGCGAAAGCTCCCCAAGGCACTCCCGGCGGCATCGGGTGATCAAATACCAATGGTGTTGAAACAAAAGCTACAAAGCCGGCTACCAAGAGAGCAAATTGTGTGAGAAGGTAGACACCGTGAACGGTGAACCAGTGTAATCTGATCATCATGGACGAAGGGAAAGAAGAATGAGTACCACTATCGTGAACTGTCGGTTCTTCTAATACCAGGAGTGAATTTTTTGTGTCAGTAACAAGTCGGGGTTTTCAGATTCGTATCCTCCAAGGGACGCATCTTATTTATTGACCAGAGGCCTCCACTGAACGAGGCTTTCAGTAATATCTGCCTAACGCCACGTGACGAAAGAATCATCCAAGACGTTTCCGTCTACTCCTAAGACATTTCGTCGCCTTGCCTGCAGACAAAGTGCATTTCAGGTTACACCATAATTGTCTTTGTGCTTGTGAAAGCCACCGAGAATGATGTTCGGGAAGCTGCTGAGTCGATGGGTGAGAGTCATGTCGAAGCTGGTCCAATGTCAGCATTCCTTCGATGACTGCGCCACAGGCTGTGTCAGGCACTACAAGCAGGCGTGGCAGGACGGCAGGCGAGGCTGAGCTGAGCAGCTACATACTGCAGCTTCCGCAAAGTAGAGATGACCTGCATGACGCTTGATCCCGTATAAGCAAGGAGCGACCCGCACTTTTGTAGATGTTTTGCTGTCACTCGGGCATTCGAGCAAGGGCCATGTACACTCTATACCCCGAGTGTTTGCCCTGTCTTCCTCAATGTGTTCTGACGTTCAGTCTGCACATGGGCTACATGGGTGCCGTTCATTGGCGCGCTAGAGATGTATAGCTGCCTGAAACCTTGCGGATTTTCCAGTAATCGGGAGTAAGAACAAGATAAGAGGAGAAGATGGCCACTGCTTTCACTAATACATCACTATCCACTACACGGCCTTGAGAATGACTATTCTATCGCTCATAAATCAACCTCGCAAATGCTCATAGATTCAACAAGCCGAGAATATCTCAAACACCAATTGAGAGCTGTTGAGAGATTATCGGGCATCACCGTGCCTCATCTAACTTTCCATTAACGCAATTCCACATGACTTGTCAGTTCTGTGGTGAAGATCAAGGGGATACCATTCATGTAAGTGTGGTGAAGTGGCATGATCTTCCTCGGGGTATCCAAGCCGGCTGCTCCAGGTGCGCCTTCCTCAATAAGTGTATCAGTGCGGCTCCGTTTGATACGCAGCAGAGCGATCACATAAACGTTCAACAAGGCGGCTCATGCCATGACTGGCACAAAGGGGCAAACACAAGTACAAACATCGACATATTCACGCAAGATGGTGAGACTCCCCAAACTCGGCACTCCAGCCAGTACTCTTTAGGAGATATCGAATCTTGGAGGTGGTGGTCTAATCCGCTGTGGCCCTCGTCTGTTTTGCCACCGCTGATAAATCATGAGATAGGCCAGGAAGAAAATCCACTCCAAATGCAGAAGATGGCAGCACACCTTCCGGGAAGTACAAGCTCTGAAACGACCATTAGGGCTATCAAAGGTTGGCTTGATGAATCCAGTTCAAGTCACACCTGTCGTCGTAGAAACGGCAAGCATGGACATCAACGACAAGCTTTGCCCAAAAGACTTCTTCAAACCAGTCATGATACAGTTGGTTTGCAGGAGAACGCTAGGCAGCAACGTCATGCATGTCTGAGCTATCGTTAGGGCGATAGCGCCCAAATCACCAAAACTACCATAGAGACTATCGAATATCACCAAAGAAACATCCCTTGGAATCAACCTAATTCAACTTTTCAAGATGCAATCACAGTCTGCCGTCGTTTGAACATTCCATATTTATGGATGGATTCGCTGTGCATTATCCATAATTCCGCAGCAGACTGGAAGGACCAAGCTTCGCAAATGGGATATCTCACAATCGTAGCGACTAAATCAAGCGATGCATCTGGTGGTTGCTTCGTGAATACAGGCGATGAGTACATGTCAAAGCTCTTGCCTGAATGCAAAGACACTTATGTTCGTCAGAAGTGTGAGTTAATTCCTGGCCTCCCACTCATGCCGAATGGAAATCGAATAGGAAAGAACTCAGACTGGCCACTGATGAATCTTGGATGAGCATATCAGGAGATGCGACTTTCGCCACGCGTACTGCACTCCTGTGCTCAAGAAGTGATATGGGTCTGCAGGAATGTACAGAAATGCGAGAGCAAGAACAACGACAGATATTTGACATCAAAAGATGGATGGAACACTGTCTCCTTTGCCCTTATTCCCTATGGTATCCTTGAGAAAGACCCAAAGTACCTGTGGTATCGGACAGTTCGGGAACACTCACGGCTTCGACTAAGTAAGCAAGAGGACAAGATGGCTGCCCTAGCTGGGCTAGCCGAGCAAATACAGAATTTACAGCTCAGTAATCAATACCTAGTGGGCTTGTTGGAGAAGACCCTACTTCACGATCTTCTCTGGCACTTAAACAATTGCTACAAAGCTCCAAAATAACGAGTCACCCGCTATCCTTCTTGGTCTTGGGCATCATCCCCTTTTCAAGTCACCTGGTTTTCGGGCCTCAAAAGTCCCTCATGTGTACACAAGTCGAAGACATCAAACTGGCGAACCGAGGTCTGAGCCACATGGCCGACTGCGTAGAGGCGACAATCACATTGAGTGCTCCTCTTCTAGACGCAAGCTGTCTGCTTACTGCTTGCTAAGCATTTAATGCATTGGTCCAATCCCAGGCAGACGCGAACTTCACGCGCCATTTGGCCGCTTGTACTCTGACCCGTTCAACGTCGTCACTGGGGTTTGATGCTATTCACGTACAAAAGGACCATAGGAGCGAGTTTTATAGTCGGCTGGACGGAGCTGGGGCATCCAGCAGCTCCCTACATCGAAAACAAACCGGAGTTGAAGACAAAGCCTATGGAAAATGTGGCTACTGTTAGAAGGCTACTAGAAGATCTGCCAGCCCATAGGGTGACCTTGGTCTAGGAAGAGCGCTTCGCTATGGAACGCTGTGGGGCATTTTAAGGTCTCGTACATTGGCATTCTACTTGAGCATCAAGAGTTATAAGCCAGTCACTCTGCATCAAAAAATTAGACACCCCGTTCTAGTTGCTTTCTTGGTGGAGTAAATATTGATAGAGGAGGTGGAATTGGAAGGCAAGCGGCAATCATGGGAAGGTGCAAAAAAGATATAAAACACTCCAATATCTAAACAAGCAATGCTATCGCCAGCATATAGCCCAAGATCTCGAATAAAAACACCCCTCCCATAATCAAACCTCTAGATCATCACCACTCGATACCAGGCAAACATCTTAACTCTGACACAGCCACCAACCCCATCCTCAATCGAAATAGCCCACCTAGGCCTCCGGGCCAACAGTCTAAACCCCCCTAGTCTCATTCTCCAAAACCCTCCGCAACGCCCACGTCGTCCTACAAAACAACTACATATCCGTCCTGATGTGGGACAAAGAACACCACCGCCTCGCGATCCTCCACAGCCCCTCTCCATCAATCCCACTCTCCTCCTCATCCTCATCCTCTATCCCTTCTACCTTTTCCAACAACACGCCACCACTCACAGGACTCGACCACATCGTCCTGAAATTTGCATTCCTCGACGACCTCGCCCGCATGTATCACGCAGGCAAGACGGGTGGAATTGAACCGCATCTCTGTCTCGATCACGGGGTGACGACAAGCATGTACTGCAAGGATCCAGATGGAAACCAGATTGAGACGATAGTGAAGAACTATAAAACCCCGGTGATGTTTGAAAGCATATGAGTAATTGGGATCCGGACAACGCGCGAGGTGCCAAGTTTAACCCGGAAGAGTTGCTGCGAGTCTAAGTGTGCAGAGTATATGGCACAGCTCAATACGAGTAAGCGAACTAGGGTTAAGGGATAATCAGCGAAGACTCTGCATCGAGTCCCGAGGTCACAGAGGTCACTCAGTCACTTCGTCAGGATTAATGGAGAGCGCAAACTCTTCGTATAAGTATTAGTATTGACTATGATTATGAAAGGCAGCACCGCTGCCAAGGTACCTCCACGATTATTCTATCCATCGTGATATACAAAGGTACCAACTGTATGTATGCTGTGGAAGTAGTGTGTGCAGACAGACTTGTGTGCGCGCGTCTATGTCCATGGTATAAGGCCGTTTCCATACGGGTAAAACCGTCCATGCTACGTCCGTCATCTCGATAGCAAAAAATCAAATGTCTTGACTCCATTTGTCCATGTATAATGCAAGCTTTTAATAACAAACACCTGTTCCCCGTTCCCACAACTCATGCGTGCCTACATCTCGGCAGGGAGCTACCAGTTGCAGAACATGAAGTAGTGGTTGATGAAGAGGTTGTAGACGTTGATGATAATGAGTGGCAAGGGGTGATACCAGGTGAAGCCAGTGACCAGGCGCCATGTGACAACACCGACCATGGCACCAGTAACGATTAGGGTCCAGATGATGCAAAGAAGACGCATGTTACGGTACTTGTTGCTCTTGTGGGCCTTGGAGTCGCCAGATGCAGCCCAGAGAAGCTCGATGTTGAAGAGACGATCCTTGATAGCGGTGAGATAGGCGTAGCTCTGAACCGTCATGGCATGCTGCACGTTGAAGCCATATTTGGCCTTGGCCCAGCAGCGCATGAGAATGACACCGTACAGGATCGAAGGGATAGCAAAAGCCAGGTTCCAGAACTTGAACCATTCTGGACGGATGGCAAGGAGAAGAGTGCCGGCAATAGGAGCAAGGAAGATGTTGAGCGAAACCGCAGCGTAGTACAAGAAGCCTGCGAACTATTAGATAATTGGCTTGATGCAGAGAGAAAAGGGTACGGACCTGAGAGATAGCAGATCTTCTGCATCAGGGTGAGGTTCGAGACCCAGAAGTGGCCGTTGGTAAGAAGAGTTGTAGAACCACGAGCCCATCGCATCTGCTGGGAGAAGAAGGCGCGAGGGGAGTTGGGGCAGACACCAGTGGCAAGGCAGAGAGGGATGTACTTGACCTTCCAGCCACGGTCGACAGCGCCGAAACTGTGGAATATTAGCAAATGCTCTTGCAAGATGATTAGATCGAACATACCCGGTGTGGACATCCTCAGAGAAACCAATTTCGGCAGTTCCGCCAACCTCGACAAGGGACTCACGACGGTAGAGGGCATTGCTACCGACGCAGATTGAGGCTCCCCATCTATTACGGTTGACCTGTACAACACGGTAGAACAGCTCCTGTGTAGCACCTGCTCCCTGCTCAACCCAAGTCTGGTCGTCGGTGACACGGAAGTACTGTGGGCTTTGAACAAGGGCCGTCTTATCGTCGCCCAAGTGCTCAACCATCAATTCCTTAACAAAGTCAGGGCGCGGGCAGAAGTCGGCATCGAAGATTGCGAAGAAGTCTCCGCTAGTCTGAGCAAAAGTCCATCTCAGGTTGCCAGCCTTTCGGAGGCGAGGTCGGTCATCGCGAACGGAGTAGTTGAAGCCGTATTTCTCAGCGAGAAGTCGGACAGGCTCCGAATTACCGTCGTCCATGACGTGAACCTGAAGCTTGGAGGCAGGCCAGTCGATGTTGACAATATGCTTGTACGTGTTTTCCAGAATCTCAATGGGCTCGGAACAGCAGGGGAGGTAGATGTCAACAGTCGAAGCGTTCTCTTCGGTAATAGGGAAGCGCTCAACCAGATCCAAGTGAGCCTTGTAGTCCCAGTCTCTTCCAATGATTCCAACGGCGTAGGATATCATCAAGTAGATGCACATTGCTCCAGCGAAGACGCCATACCAGTAGAATGCCGGAGCAGAGAGCGCGAACAGCCACATTCCGGCGCCAAGCGATAGGAACGAGAAGATGCCAAAGATGTAGAGAAGCAGTCGATTGGTGTGAACGTAGCTGAGCTTTTCGGTGTCATTTGGGCATACCGGTAGGACCAGAGGTGGCTCCTCCTTGGGGCAATAGGTTGCGCGGAAACGGCCGTAGAGTCTCTTGGGGAACGACTCGCCTGATGAGGGTGGAAGTGCGGTGGTGTGCGTCTCCTTTGCCTTCTCGGGGTCTGATACGACAGGCGGCACATGGCTTGCTTCGACATCCGTCTCAGACGAGGATTGGTGATGGCCCTTTTCATTGTAGACCGGAACCTCTTTAGCCAGTGGTGAAGGCTCCTGAGATTTGTTAGTTGAGTTCGAGGATGTGCAAATGCTGAGTAACCTACGATGTCGGGTCTACTCAGGCGGTGGTGGGAGGAGTCGGCCCAGCTTGATCTCTGACCTGATCTGTCTGTTGTGTCGTACGGATGTGTTTGTCCAACAGCGTTCTGGGAGGTGTTAGTTCCGTTTCCTTCAGGCTAGAAGGCATTCCCAATAGCACTTCACACGAACGTACCACAGTGAAGGTCGAGTCACTGGCGAGAGAGGGAGCCGCGCTCGAATCGTTGTCGGTATCGAACGGGTTGGAACCGAATGGATTAGTCGGGAGCGGCAGGCCCGAGTCGGGAGTAGCTCCCCGAGGTGTGAATGGACGTGACATTATAGTATTAGGGTCTCGCGAAGCGACACAGGCTCTCTCCACTCAAGGTTGCTGGTGGTTGAGGAGATCGAGAGTCGGCCTGTGTTGGCAGTGGAACGAGTGCGTCGAAGGGGTGGTGAGGCAAACAAAGATGGCTTGAAGTGTCGATGTACTCCCACTAGGTTCCCTTGAAGCAGACGGAAGGGCCTCTTAGCAGCGAGTGCGTGGGAAGGTGTAACGAGAGATTGGAACAGGAAGAAGAAGAAGAGAGTAGCGAATGTCGTCAAAGCGAGTGACTGAAAACTGAAAGTAGACCAGCCCCGTGGAGTTGAACTAGCGAGCGGGCGAGGCGGCGAGAGTAGCGCGAGGATGGCAGCGGAGGACTAGTAGCCAATGTCTAGTCTGTAGGTGCAGCGAGCGGAATGGGGGTAAGGGAAGTTTGTTCGGGGCAAGCCACACAGACGGCGGAATGACGGAGGAAGAGAAGGTGTAGGGTTCCTTAGGAGAGGCGAGGTAAGGTGAGGTAAAGGCAGCAATCGGGAAGGGAGTTTGCTGAGGGCGCAAGGTGAAGTTGGGACGGGATGGAGCTGGTGAATCAGAAAGCAGCGAACTAAACGGGGAGGCTCACCACAGCCAAGGTAGGAGAAGGTGTAGGCACTTCAGACGCAGACGCTAGTATACGAGAAACAGGAAAAAACGGCGTGGAGACAAGACGGAGAATGGTAAGACAAGGCAAGGCAAGGCAAGGCGTGACAGCAGGCTACTCCAGAAGTTCAATCCAAGGAGGAGAGGATACAGCGTCTTGCTTCCTCCCGCAAGGATGAGGATATGGTATCACGGCCACGGAATGAGGTACGAATGCGTACGGCATGGTTGTATCCCGGAGGAAGGTACCTCATTGTTGGGGCTGGGCTGGCCTGCTTGAGGCTTCTACGCCGACCATGTTTATTCGTCGAATAATGTCCGATTCGTTGGTACTTGCTGCAAAATGGACATGGACTTTGCTCTGCCCCTGCCATGGATATCTTGCGAGTCGCAAGTAACCAATCCACTAGGGTCAATGTGTGGGCAATTGGAAAGGATCGTGGCAAGGATGTAGTGACCATTGGGCCGTTTGGCGTTTGCAAGGGCTGTGAGCATGTCTCTCAAGTCTGCATGCGCAGAGACCTGGTTACGGATAGGGTTGACTCCCGTCGCCTGCAAGCCGTGACAATGGCCCGGTGGGAGAGATGTTGTGACATCACCGCTTGAGAAGAGTCAGAGCAACCGGTGTCATTGGAGCTGTATGGATACCAAATAGATCAGATTAAGATATGGTAGCGTAGTAGCGTGTTACGTAGCTAATTACCTTAGCTTACTCAAGTCTGTATTCGTAGACCGTAGTTGACGGCCCATGGCCGAAATTTGCATGGGATGTTGACCGTTGCCGTGGACTGCAGGTGAACCATCTACCTTAGTCTGGAAGACAACTGTGCTGCAAGATTCTCACATGGCTACTCCGTATGAAGTAGGTACAAGTGGCGCGGGGGGTAATGAACGAGGGAGATTGGACCAGACGGAAACAGGAAAGAAAATCTGGGCAGAAAATGACAGAAAGCAGCGGAGAGGAGCCAGGCAGGAGGGAGTCAGAACAGAAGGCAGGAGGAATGAGAAGAGGGTGAGAAAACGAACCTGATGCTACGCCGGAGTGGAGTGGGGCCGGTCGGAGTGGACTCCGTTCGTGATTGGGCAGTGCAGCTTGAGATTGAGGGAAACCTTCGCCTGCCATTTCGGATAGAGATGTTGAAATACTAAGGTATCCGTGTCCGTAGTCTACACCTCATGTACCTTGGTCGGAGCAGGCGGCAGATAGCACAAGTCTATCTCATGCCAGACACAGAGAAAAGATACAAAAGATCAAAGCAGGGGGGGAATAAGGTAGGTGTCCCGTGCCTGCCATCCATGGCGAGCCGCAAAGCAGGTGGCAGGCAGGCAGTGATACATGGTGGGAAATACAAAGCCACCTGCATCATCAAACGTGGGCTTGTTTCCCGGTTTGCCTTCCTTAGATACCTGACAACGGAGGTATATTTGCGGCTTCTTAGGATTGAAGTTAGGGCAGTGGCTCATAAGATTGTTGCATGCGCAAACACCAAAGAGGCGAGGCGTATGGGAACATGGGAACATGAGCTGGATGGACATTAGAAAAAGTCCATGGAGGAAAGAGCCGCCAAGACGTTATCGGCAAGCGCAACGGAACCATGAGCTGACTATCGCAGTATGTACCGGGTCACGAACAGGGGTTGATCTGCAGGCGCCGTTAGCGTCAACCACATCACGGGCGCCAAGGCCCCAGAGGGCAAGTCGACATGCGACTTGTTCTGGGAACTTGTGGGAAGGAGCTACGGACAAACTGCACGAACTGCAGCCACCACGGCGCCTCATCGTGTCGGGCTCCTTCCGGATGAGCAGCTACTTTAGATACTTCTGCCTTACTTCCCGTCGGTTGTGGCCTGTTGCACCTGCCTGCCTGCTGTGGTCCATACCAGGCACCTTACTGCGTAGATAGACCCCCACTCCTTCCTCTGTCAGAGACTGTCACTCTTGCTGTCACTTGTGCCTCTACGCTCGCAGATTATGTGGATGTCAGATAAGAATTAAGGAAGGAACACCGCAGGACAGATATCAAAGACGAAGAAACTACTCCGGAACTGTACGACCAGAGAAAAGGCAGGAGCAGGGTTGACAGCTTTCGAGCAGGTGGCCCATGTCAAGATGGACCTTCCATGGTCAGAAGAATCAATCTGGACCGCCATTTGGTAGCATTTACCAGGATGTCGATAGCACCGAACGAACCATCCCGAACACATCCATACAGATGGACGGCACTATCGAGTTCTACTCTTCAAGTGCAGCAAACTCACCGGCCCTTTTCAAACTTGCAATCTGCCCAGTGCCGCGATCATCGAGAAAATTTTTGATTCAACGTCTGCCAGCTTCTCTGACCCGCGGCGCTACGCAGATAACCTTGGAACTCAAAAACACAAAGCGTTGAGCTAGCCCACGGTGGGAATGGCCCCCCGATTGGCATTCACTGCTAACCACAATACCACACTGCTAGACACGCTGCTAGACCCGAGACGGCGGCCGTTGCTATCAGATCGACCATCGGCAGTGACCGGACCGACTGAAGCTCCAGTCCTTCAGCTGTCCTGGGATCTGGGAACTTGGAAGAGAGAGACACCAGCCTCCTTTGTCTTCCTCAGCTTGTTCCAACTTCCAACGCTCCACTACCCACAATCTGTGGCTGCGCTTCTCCAACACCTCCCCAGTGATGGATGACTAAGGCTAACTAACAACGCACATATCCCTCTAGCCATAAACTAACACGCTATTCGTTATTGCCACTGTCGCACATGCAAACAGCGCCGGCGACCTTTCCCCCATTATATGCCTCTTGGCTCAGCAATCCATACTTTCTCCGGCCCGTAACATAGCCTTGGAGCCTCAATCCCACGCAATTGGGCCACGAGTTCGAGTCCGCTTCTTCCTTGGGCCGCCCACTAATACATGCGCTGCACGCATACGTTGCCCACGCCAATAAGCTAATAAGCGTAAACCATGACAACATCCACCTCAGAGGCTATTTCGACATCCCCATTCGCTGGCGCGTGCTCTCTCGCCTGTTGTACGGATACCTGGCCGTTGTTGTTCTGCAGTGTTTCTTTCTTCTGCGGCTTGGCCCAGCAGTGTCTCGTTCGCCGCCGGCTCTTTTTTTTTTTTTTTTGTGAATGTGCAGCGGCATTGCCGCTCGCCGCCCTTTCCGCCTCTGCCAAACATCGCTGACGAATCCTTGTCTTACACGGCGCTTGGCCTGAGCAACGATGACGCTTCATTCCGTCGTTTTCCGGTCACAGATTCTAGAATAGAGCTTTTTACTATTGGCAATGGCACAAACGAACGCTGACGATCAGGATTTCTTAGGAGGGGGCTGACGATCAAGCGCCGTCAAAGGAGAATATGCCGGCGCCAACCAGACTCTTTCTACCGACATTAACGGTCCGAATCCTGAAGTGAATGGGGCATTCCTCAATAATTTCGCCTGTCGTTCTCGCTCTCAGACTTTATTGGAACAAGGGCCCCCAAGCCTCCCCGCACCCCAGTCCAACGAATCCCATCAGATCCACCATTCCACGCGGGCAACAAAAGTCTCGACTCACCTAGAATCTGCCTGGCTGCTAGCAAAGTCGCAAAAACCACGATGTTGACGATTCACACCCGCCATGTCGATCCGGTCCTCCAATACCGAGACATGGCAAGCCAAAGCCAGCTGAACGGCTGGGGCGACCTGCTCTACCCCGGCCTTGTGTCCATTGTCGCCCGCTGAAGCATCCGCTATCGCAACATCGCCCAAAAGGCCCTTTGCTTTCACCAGAACGAGATATCAAACTGCATCCTACTCTGCGCTGACTCGCGATACCAAGGCACTTTTTTGCGGCGTAGCGATTGATCGCAGAGCGCATATTTACAGCCGCATACAATGAAAAGTGACAGTCACCGTGGTCCCAGAGGACCCTCAAACATGCTAGGCAAAAATCAAGGGGCCAAAAAGCACGCAAGACCTGGACTCACCATTTCGTCTCGGTTCCTATCCTGCAGCACATCATCGTCAGTAACAGAGGAACAAAACGAATGTTCCACGATCCCAAACTCCTCTCCGCTCTCCATATCCATACCTTGTCGTCGCCGTTTAAGCCGCCCGTTGTCTTGGCTGCTTCGGCATGGCGGCACGCGCGCCAAGCCGCCAATACGAAAGAATGGCGCGCCAGATAAGCACCTTGTCTTTCTTCCTTGGTTTTTTCTTCATACCGTCAACAAACGTTGAAACGACACCACCAATTCTCCCGCCGCTTCTTGCCATGTGTGGATATCAGACTATTGTTCTGTGACTGTCCTACGGATTTCGTTGTCCCGGATTGAGGCCACTCTCCGAGGCGTGGATCTCGATGACGCAGCATATTGATCCAATTCCCCTTTCCCTTCCCGTCGGCTTGCATTATGCATCGAGTCAACATGATTCCTGCCACCTGTGTTGGTCTCCTTCGCCTGGCGACGCCTGCAGGCAAGCCGCATCTCCAATCCCGCTCCGCCCAACCCGCCCCTTTCCCATCCATCTCCGCCAAGACCGTGCACACCATCCCACCCCCATCCAACATCCATGCCACACTGTCCCCATCAAAAACATCCCGGCAACTGATCCTTTGCGAGATGCATGTTGCCCACACACCAACTCATGGAAAACAAGATTGCCATACGCGTTCCCAGCCGTTCGTTGGAAACGGTCTTCCGTATGCGGGTTTCTAGTAAACAACGTCGGTCCATGGAAATCGCTCTCGAGCTGACTGCATGCTAATGTCCCTACTGCTCACGTCTAATGCCCGCATCGGACCGCTAGCCTCCCACATGTTGCCACCGTGAAGTAGCATTTTCTCCCGTATCGCAACCGTCAGTGGCTGACACTGTCTCTGTCCAGCTTGAAAGAGGATGTTCAAAAGGGGCTGGGGCTTAGTATACACAATACGGATACTCGTAGGCGAGGCGAAGATGGCAAGGGAATTCAGAAGATGATTGGTACTCCTATGTTTAGACGGTGCTCTCTTTCCGGCTTGGCTGCCTGGGAGGCCGCCACCTCCTCTACATGCCCTGATTGATGATTCCTTGAAGGGAGCCTGTGTGTGTGTGTGTGTGTGTTTGGTGTGTGACCAACGATCTCGCAGAAGAGGGTGTCACTGCTTAAGCAAGGCACGCTCCTTCGGGGGACCCCTCCTGCTGAGAGGTGGGCGTATGCTCCGATAGCTTAGGTGATTTGGCTTGGCTGGGTTTGAGAGCTTCGAAGCTAGCTTTCTTTTGGCTTCCATCTGTAGCCTACTCTGATACGAGTATTAGGCTGTCATCTTGAATTTTATCACAAATGGGGTTGATTATCACATTGCGGAAATGCAGATATACTGGCGAACTGTGTGTCAAGGACATGAAAGGGTCGGCCTTTTAGAAACTGTGCGCTGGAAGTGGTTGCAGGTTCTAGGTCCTTCTGCTCTCCGTATGCCATTATGCATTGATTAAGTACTATATTTTTCGAGGTTAAACCGCTTTAAACGCGGTTCCACTCGAATACTCGGATATCATCAACGAATCAGTATAATGCTGTACTCCAAGCCCTCATCTCGTCTCTCTAAGCGCACATATTTGTCGTAGCAAAGCAAGAAGGACGCGGTTTACATGGCCAACGCCGAAAGCGAGAGCAGTAGCGCAGAAGCCAGGCCCAACACCGAAAGTGCGCCTCTTCCAGCCGCGTTTTCATCGCTTCCACTGCCGCTGCTGGAACCGCTGTCACCGTTGTCGAGATCCATGCTAAAGTGAGCTGCGCTGAAGGTAATGTTCTCTGGAGAGTGCCATGCCTCGGAGCCAAACTCGACCAGACCAAGCCATGAGTCGCTGTCAATCTCGCCAGAGTCCAGAACAAACTTGAGCAGCGGTGTAATGTCCTCGTCGAACTGAGTCACGTCGGAACCGTCGCGCGTGACCCAGGTGAAGACCTTTTGATCACGTTGGTTGGTATCGAACCAGAGAGAGCTGCAGGGGAAGCGCGTTAGCACAATCGTGACCAGGTATCTAACACGAGAAGGATCGCAAAAGGGGAACTAGGAGGAATGCTTACAACTCTGTTGAGCCAAGGGTGATGTTGGTGAGAATAGAATCGCCCATCAGCGGGTACGGGTTTCCGACCTTGCCCAGCCAAATCATAATCTCCGCCTCCGAGTCAATGGGGTTATACGTCTTGGTCTTGTTCTTGTCGACAAAGAAATCCCAGGCGGCATTGGCGACGACGCCGTCGAGCTCGGCCTTGCTCTCCGCCCAAGTAGTGGCGGCGAAGTCGCGCGGCGGGTCATTTTCGGGGTTGCCTTTGCGCATGGTCCATTGCGTCGCCAGGCGCATCGTCTTGATGGCGCTCAGCTTGGTCGGCAGCTTTGTGGAGTTGAAGCGGACATGGGGGAACGAATGAACATTGTTCTTGTCCTCTTCCCAGTTCCAGTTGGCGTCGAAGGCCGGGACGGATTGGTCGATCTGTGCATTACGAAGAGGATCGTGTTAATGGAGGTGGTCAGGCGACGGGAGCAATAGATGCCCGGGCTTGTGACTGGTAGGCTGAGAGGCGTGACAGGTGGAAGAAAGTCCTGATGGAGCTCGTGATGTTCTCCAGGGTCGACAAAAATGGTGGAAGCGGGGTGGTATGAGCATAGATAGGAGGGGTCATGGTAGGGAAGAGAGAGAGCATTGAGGTATAGAAGCAGATAATAGCTCGTATGCGACAGCTTGTCACGTCACATTACTTACCGACACACAGGAGGAGCCATTTCCAACTGGGTTCCAGGCATTTGACTGAACTGCATATTCCTCGTATTAGCCTGGTCCACGATAAAGGGCAGGGCGAGAGTGTTGTGCTTCGTTTGTGGTAACGGCGTTTACATCGAGTAGATGGAGTAGATGACGAACAATTTGAAGGCAAGAGACCTATTGGGGGATCCACGTACAGATGAATTGGGTATCTGAGCTCGTAAACTTGTTTGTCTTTCCGCAGATTGTTGTGTCGTACGCAGCAGACGCGTGTCGGACAGCCGTCAGGCCGGCGGCAAGAAGAATCGCGTTTCTCATCTTGTTTGCGCCGTGGATGTGGTTAGACGAAGATGAGGTTTGGCGAGTTCAACACAAATAAGTGACGTTTGTATCAGTGCGTGCGAACGAGAATGGCTAAAGGCCGCCAATATCAACTCAGGCACTCCTTTGTTCGTGACAGAGACGGACGGAAAATAGACAATGACGAAAGAGGAACAAAAAATCGGAGTGCAGACCGGAGGACGAAGATGGCAGGCGATGAAGAAGGTTGACGGGGTACGACGGGATGAGCCAATGTCACTCTCTCAATGGACCGGACCGGGGAGGCAAGCGCAGGTTGGGGTCTGTGGGTGGAGCAGATGGAAAGAGGGAAGAGAGTGAAAAAAGATGACGATGAGGAAGGGGGAGAAAAAAAAGTAAAAAAAAAATAGAGACACTGAGAGAGAAGGAGTCTAGCCCGTTGGTTGCTGGTGACATTCCTGGTGTTCTGGGCCCAGCTCGCCTGCTCATCCAACAGCTGAGAAAATATTGGCAGTAGGGGCTGGAAAAGGACAGGAACCAGAAATCGACCCTGCCCGCTTATCTCGCGTCGAACGGCAGCGGCAGGACTCACAGGAAAGTGAGGTGAGTCCGGTGTCGATGATTCGGTTGTGCTCCCCCCGTTTGGTGTTGACGATTGGCATTGACGTTGGCGTTGGCATTGGCATCGACTTCGTTGGCTTTGGCAGGTACCAAGCGTCGTCTCATTACATCACCTCATCTGAATGTACCTCCTCTCCTTCACCTTGATTTTCCTCTCGTTAGCTTCAAAGTGAGGCAGCTCTAGCCTCAGCTGGGCTGCCACGGATGCCCAGCACATGTGGCCGAGCTAAAAACAAGCATATGCGCCTACTCTTCCCGATCGGGGAAAAGGCGTCGGCCGGCCGTCCATGGGCTGGTCGGTACGGCGTCAGTGGCTGCGCTGGAAAGAAAAGACCAAAATTCATCAAATGCTGATTTGTTCTCGCCTTGAAAATTATTGAAAATGAGATTTTGAGCGTCAAATGATCGAAACCGTTGAATAATTGAGTAGCAGTGAGTTGTCTGGGTGAGTAAGTGAGCGAATGAGGTCGAGTGAGTTTGAGGAGTCGAGTGAATGAGCCGGTGAGTATTCGTCTCACTGGCAGTGAACAGCGCTCAGCTTGAGCTACAGGAAAATCCAGCACCATCTCATCATCTCGCTTGAGCAAATAATATGCAGCCATCGCTTACTCGAAATAAGAGTAGAAAGTGAGCTTCCCAAAATCATATATCTATCTCATCTCACCAGTAACTGACAGCTACCTGTATCTCAGATGCCACGTAAGAATTGGTGCGAGAGGCGCTGGCAAGCGGGGTCATCTCTGGGGGTGGGAGACGATGAGAGCTCACACCAGACCCTGTGAAAGCAGCCCCGGCGCATGTCGATGCTCGAGCCGCTACCGTATTTGAATCGAGTGATGTTTATTACTTGCAAGATAGGAGCTCATTAGCCTCCCAGTATTCGACGCGATATGATACGATGTTCAGGGTGAGGCGAGGTGTGTTGACCATATTTCTAAGGGCTTCCGGTGGACCTCAGTTCAGAACGCAATGCACGCACGTCTGAGTAAGCGACAAGCAGCTCAGGTAAGATGAGGCTGCTCCAAACCTGATGAACTCAATACGAATATTGTATAGAAGTGAGATGACCCATTGCTGACACTCGCCGTACCTGTGACACCATGCTCCGGGTGCTCATGAATGTCACTTGAATCAGCTTCTGCTGCACAAAGTACGGTTTGTGCGCGAGTCTGGCTCTTGGATATTGGTGAGATGAGCCGCCTTCAGACTTGCCCTCATAATCGCAATCGCACGAGTAGAACCGAAGCTGACATAGGAAAAAGCTCACCTCTACCCGATGCCCTCAATCGCACTGGCTCCGGGCAACATCCCAATCTCGCCAGAGCCGCACATGAGTTTAACTTAACCATAAATCGCGATGCAGATGCAGTCGAGACTTGGGAAGGATTTCACAACCCGCGGGTAACTTGACAGGAACAGACTGAGTAATTCGACTAGCAAAAGCGCTTGACCAGGACGATGAGCGTCGTCGGATCGGAGACGGATGTGGATGGGAAATATGAGAAAATGTCGTTGGGGGCGCATAGGGCCAACTCTGGCGAGAGAGACTGAACCGATCAACCGACGACGAGATAGACCCGACGATTCAACGACCATGATGAGTCGCCAAACCAGGCCTGATCGAGGGTAAAACCGCGAAAAGAGAAGGGCGCTTTCTCTCCGGCCCTTCCAGTGCGACTCCAGAATGCCACGCCACGACCCAAGTTGAGACAGGAAGCCCCATCGGTCCTGAAGTTCTCCCTCGCCTTCTCGAATCCGAACCTCTGTGCCGTCCCACGATCCACCTTGCCGAGCCTGTAATCAACGAGGCGTCGTCAGCACCGACAGGGGATGATGCTAGACCTGGTGGGAACCTGCGTCTCTCCGCTCTTGGTGCCAACTTGGCAATCCGCTGCACTAATATCCGGGGGCCAAGTGACTTTTGTCTGCCCAGCCCAGCGTTTTGAGCAGTGCAGTGTTGCTAGTGCTGCTAGTAACGGTACGTCTCTCTCCCCTTATGTTGCACCTCACACACCCGTTCTTGTTTGATGTACCGTAAGCTTCGCCTGCCCGCCTTCAAGAGACGAACTTCTGTGGGTTCGCCTCTTCGTCTTTCTCTTGGCACCTCTGACCGCTTCGTCGCGAATCGTCCCACGCGGGTCTTTCGGCTACTAGCGACCCAACACTGATGAGTTATTTGAAGGTTCGCATCAAAGACGTAAAGACAATCTGCAATGATCAGGCAAGTGCAGTGTGGTGTACCCTATTCCGCGCGCTTACTTCCATCGATCTAACGGGGATCTCCTCGTGAGTACGGATAGCGGACTCACTCGCCTGGGGGTATCCGTACATGTCAATTTGCTCATCGTATGGGGTGCCCACCCACACAGCTCGTGCTCCCGATTGGGCGCGCACACAAGCACGTCAAGATGGGGAACCAGTTTCATCTTGGTAGCTGTCGTGGTACCTATGTTTGAAGCTTTTCAACAATGGCACTCGGCGCTACGTACCCGGCCACTGCTCATTCGCTGGTGGAACCAAATTGTGAGGTGTGGTAAGGCTTGCAATTACCGTACGAATGGGCGTCCAGACAGAAAACTCTCTGACTACTTGAGTCTAGACTGACTCTCGCCTTCATTGTGGATTGTCTCTGGCGTCGTCACATTGTGGGACAAGAGCGAGAGTCTTAAGCCAACGGCAGGCTTCATTTGAGGTGTGGCGGTCCCCCTCGCGAACGAAGTGGCTTGGCCAATAATGGGAAAGTGTCTCGTCCATCCGTCTGTGCCTGAAGATCGCAGACTCGTAGTCTGCGAGTCTTTTCTCTGCTCCAGCCCTGCATGGTGCATGTGGTAAGAGGAACCTAACTTGCTGTTGCACCAGAGTCTTTGGTGTTAATGTTGCGCCGCCGTCATTTGTGCGAGACATTTGAGCTTAAGGAGCCTCTGATAAACGTTTGCCTCTCGAAGTGTCTAGCCCATGGCGGCTAATGGATGATTGCATGTGCTCCCTGTTGATGTGCAAGCCCGAAGCCGTCTTTGGCAGCTGGTCATTGGAAGTCAACGGGTTGACATGGCAAGTCGATCAGGCTGAGGAACCGCTAGCCTCTAGAAAGTCCCAGTCTCGGCGGTATTCTGTGGCCAATGTGCTTTTCCCATAATGAAGGTCCCTCCATGAACCCCCGTCCTCATCTCCTGAATTCCGCCACTCCGATGAAGGAGGAGAGCGGGAGCTTGGAGGAGGGGTGGGAGAGAAAAAGGGCGTAGAGGGATTCGCGCGAGCGGTGTCTCGGGCAGTTGCCATCTTCGAATCCCGGCCAGGCGATGCAGCACACCTACGAAAGCTTGGAGCCCATGCGTTCTGTCCTCTGTAACAGCGGCACCCAAGTGCTCGCCCCGGAGAGTGGCCTGAGTCGCCAGCGAAAATAGTATCGCATGGCTGGCGGAAGACGCAGAATGGCTCAGCCAGAGTGGCTCAGCATGCCCCTATGCGAGGCGAAGAGACGGCAGACAGGGTCGGGATGACCCCTCGGGAAGTTGTATGGGCAAAACGACAGAGCAAACGGACGATGGCGATCAGCGAGTAGGTATGTCAAACCGATCCTAGTCTCCTACCTTATTTCTGAGGCGATAGAGATGCCCATGTTCATTGAGAAATGGGGCCACCATTGGGGGTATCTTTGTTGATTCCCTGCCCGTCGCGTAACAGGGTGGATGTGCGCTGTATCCGACGACGAGCGAGCCAAGCGGAAGTTGGAGTCCATTTCTTTAATGCGTTCCGCCGGGGAGGGGGGGGGGGGGGGGGGGGGGGGGGTTGTGGCAGATGACGATCGCTCGTGCGAGGGTCTATTCCTCTTGTTGAACGCAAGGAGTGCTGAGTCGGAGTCGGTCAGTAATCTCAACAGATATGTATTCCGAAAGACCTCGTTCGTGATAGTCTGACAGACGAGCCACGCGCCGGCTGGGCGGAAAGTTGACACTTCTGATGGGCCTTTGTTCGCGTAGGAGACCGCTCCCCGCTGAGTCGCTGACTCTGGACAGGCGAGTGGAGTCTATTCATTAACCGTGCGGGTTCGCTGAATGGTGAAATTCGGGGATCAAGTATCTCAGGCGCACGAGTGGAGTGATGGGCGCTGGTACTTCCCGACGGAGACTCGAGAGGAACGTTGTGGCCATTTGTTGCTAAGCATTTAGCCAAACCGAACCAAGGGCGGTGGAAGCGCCGCCGCGGTCCCGCCAGCACATGCGCACGCCATCTCGGAGGTTGGCGGAAGGTGAAGCAATGGAACGAGGAAAAGAAAGCAGAATAGCAGATATCTATTGACAAGCGTAACAAGATAGACAGTAGTGACAGTGAGCCTGACCTAACAGAGTGGGGTGAATCTGTTGAAGTCTCGGAGGCGCTTTAAGCTTGAAGGCGTTGCCTCCGACATGATCCAAAGATTCTAGACCTGTCTTGCCTGTGGTTGCCTGAGTTGTCGTAGTTTCTTCTCTCGCCCCTCCCTGCCCTGCTGCTTCTTGCATTTCGACAACGAACAAGTTGGAAACTGCTCGGGTAAGCAATGCACCACGGTATCTGCAAAAAGACATTACCGGCAAGAGCAGCTTCCACAATCGACAAAGTCCAGGAACTCCGGGCTGCGGTGCCGTTCGAGATGATGTCACAGACTCCAAGCTGACAGGCCAGCGGGCAAGTGAGGCTAAGACAGATTCAGGTCCCTTGCTGGCATGCCTGCCACGCTTGCCATGCCTGCCATGCCTGCCATGCGGTGCCGTGCTAGTGCAGCAGTTGGGACCCGGTAGTGAATCTCTGCTCCTGTCGTTGCGCCGTGTCTGCGGCATGGGTTCATCTGGGAGGTGACTTCCTGAGGTCCTATGGTCCCAAAGAACGGAGAGGAACAGTAGGAACGGACGGTCAACACTCGGACAATGATATGGCAGTGGCACCTGGGGGAAAGTGCTCTCTTGTGGTTTTGTCACTTGAAGCTCGAGAGAAGGGCAAGAACAGACAGAACCTAAAGGCAAAGAGAGGAAGGCATCTAGAGTATCCGTACGTCACTACGTATTTTATCTGCCAAGCAACTACGGGGGCCCCTCCTGATGTATCCGTAACGGCCACTCAATTTCACCTTTTATCTGCGCTTGCGGCTTACCTTAGTCACTCTGCTAAGGAACGGGCATAGAGTGTACGAAGTCGGTACTTCTTACCCAATCTTTCTTTGCTTCTCCAATCTCCAAGTTGCAAGTCACTGAGTACTTAGCACTGAAATTCGAGAGGTCCCCCCCGGTGGCCCCCTCGGCTCACCAGATGGCCCCGATTATCCAGCCACCGAGGTACTTCATCTTACCACTAAAGACTAGCACTGATTCGATGTACCTCGCAGCGCTGAAGGGAGACAGTATCAGAAAACGGGCTGTCTCTGAGGCCCTCCGTTTTGGCTTTCTTTCACTTTTCTCCCCGATCACTTCCTAGGTATCCGTACGAAGTACTTCCTCCGCGGGACCGCGTAATGAGAGACTTGTCATTAGTCAATGTGAAGCATTGCAGCCCGCGAGATCACATTGCGCTGACACCGCAAAACCACTTTGCCAGCAAGCTGGCAGCGTCGAGAGCCTCAGCAATGCAAAAGAAATCCCACAGCGAAGGCTTGGAACTGGCCCATCGGGCAATGTTTCCTGCCCATCACTCATGCCTTCAGTCCCTCACCAGTCCAGACCCTAGTCTCAAGAGCCAGAGCCAGAGCCTAAGGAAAGAGAAAAAAAAAAACCAGAGACAGGCTCAGACAGGGGACCCTAATGATACCGAGTGTTCAGGGACCGGGCCAAGACCTTCCCGTCGCTCGTCCTACACTCAGGCCAGCCGCCCTCGACTTTCCAAAACGGAGGACACGCATCCCTTCCACGCCATCCCATTGTCCGTGATGCTGCAAGCCTGCAACTGTCCGGGGCATCCCGCCACGCCTGCAGTAGCCGCAAGTATCCGGGGACTGCGTACAGAGATGGTACAGCGTGCGTACGACGCCTTCTTGCAGAAAAGCAAACATGGTATTAGGAGCACTCCGTACGGGACGACGTACCTTTCTATGCACGGCTGGCTTTCTCTTCTCCCTGGCCAGACCTGAGCCGCCATTCGATCCAGCCGTCTACGGGTACACAGTACGTTGCAGGAGGACTCCGGCCGCTGCAACCTGCAAGACGAAGGAGTCCTGGAAATCGACACGGCTGCCGTACCGAATGCCAAGCTTCGAGCGGTGGAAACGTTGCCGTACGATAAGGCCAAGAAGTCTCCAAGGCGAAAATCCAGCGACAGCGAACAACATGAACAAACCGAGTCACTCCCTCCCTTGTGTGCCTGCGGCTGCATCTGGCTTTTGCTTTCTTTTCTGCTTCCACTGCCGCCGATAATCGTCCAATATCTCTGCCACCAGCTATCCGAACATTGAGTACGCAAGCAAGGTACCCAAACCACGTCAGGCTCAGTAAGAAGCGAAAGAGTATTCCATGACAATACTCCGTGCGTACCGTTTAATACCTCTCAACGGACCCAAGTACCTTGCCTACACACGTCCATTCACTACACTACGCTATTCTAGGAAAGCCAAGTACCTGGTCCCTGTCCCGGTCTCGCTCCTCTCCTGCTTCTACGGAGTAAAGTCCTGGGTGCCCTCTTCTTCGGTACCTCCTGGTCCTTGCTCTTGCTGCTCCGACTTTGTATTCGCACTTGTTAGCACGAATACCGGTAAGGATAGGATAGTGGCAGCAAAGCCGAGCAAAGGAGCAGCGACGGAGTAACAACGGCAGCCGGGATGGATGGGAATTGCTGGTTCCCTCTGGCCCTCTGTGGACAAGGATGTGTTGCCCATGCCGTGCCTATCTTCCTCTCTCTCTCCATGTCATGCTCCCATCCAATCCACACTGAGGTCCCGCATCGCCCATCTCCAAGACTCCATCCCATCCCATCCTATCCACGCACCACGTCCCATCCCAACCCATCCCATCACGCATCGTCCATCACCCATCCCCTATCCCGACTGTCCAGCTCTGTGGTCCACAGCTCACAGTCCACAACTCTCGGACGGCACCGTCAACGGAGAAGGAGGGGAGCAACGAGAAAAAGAGCCAAGACCCTGGAGGATATAACAAGAAAGAGCCCCTGTGCCTTACCCGCCGTATTTCCCACTTTGAAATCGTCCGTTCAGCTATTATCCGTACTGGTGCTGTATTCGTGCGCTTTGCCCTCACCTTCGTTGGAGATTGATGAATTCCGGGTTTGAATAAACCTGCCGCTCGCTCCACGTCTGCCCAGCTTCTTCACATTAAACTACACCAACTCTCCCACCCTCCAACCAAAACCTCTCTTCACCTCACTTACCTCTTTTCCCGATTCACCTGTCTGGGACACATCACCGAACCTCATCGGCCACCTCTTACAACGGGCGCCAATTCCATGTGAAGCCGGTTTGAGCGTTAGTGCACCTGTCCAATCCCACTTTCGCTCCCACGTACGCCGTTCGTCCTACGTCTACGCCGTCACCCGCACCCACCTTTCCGATCCCGCCAATTTGTATTTCTGAGCTCCAAAGTACAACTCGACTCGATTTGTCTCGCTGTTCATTCACCAGACAAACCGCAGAAAAAGGAAGCAGAGACCGACTTGCCAAGCAACGCAAGGGAATTCAGCTTTGGGCTTTTGAGAAACCCATTTTCGAATATCAGTCACTTCTCAGACCCATCAATTTACACGACTCTCGGCCTCCGTCCCATCTTTAGAGTGCCCTCCATTTACCACACTCAACCTCCAATTCGAGTACATTCAAAAGGTCCGCTCTCGTCGCTCCGACTTGCCAACAAGATCACCAGCACCTACAACTTGTGTGTTCCGCTCGCTTTCTGCAAATCCAAGCTCCATTTCCCTCATCAAGATTACCGACTTGGATCTTTTTTCGCTTTTCCTCCTCGGAACCCGTCGACATCCCACCGGCCTTGCCTATTCTACAAATATCCCAGGCCTTCATCTCTTGAACAAAAAGGGACGTCAACCCTTTTGTCACTCGCCCGTCTTCGTTAGCTCTGTCGGTCAACAGAGCATTTAATCGATGGCTGCAAGCTTCGATCGTTCGAACCTCATCACCGCAGACTCATCTTCAACCGTCGGCAGCATGGTTTCCCAATCACCGGCTCTCAGCGCAGGCCACTCGGATGCCGCTTCTGGCACCGGAACGCCAAACTCGTCTCCCCCTGTCTCGAGACCTCGCAGCCCCGAACTCAAGCACCACGAATCGCTGGATGCCTCGGATCTCGAGCCTCTTGAGCCATTGAACGTCAAGAATGTTTGCTTCGTTGGTGCTGGCTTTGTTGGTAAGTGAAACTTTCGCGATGGCTATCGGCATCGAATTCTCCCCCGCCGCCGTGGTCATGACTCTTGTCCATCCTTCACCCTTGTTTAGCCCATGTTCTTCAAGGCTTGAACTGTTTTGTTAGCTGCAGATTCGAATTAGCTGGCAGGCGTCACGAACTCTATCGTCGAAGGCTGCGAATGTCACTGATTAAATCTGACGCAAGCACTGTCGTCAAGCTGGGGCTCATACAGACCTCGTATTCGATAGGATCAAAAATGGAACTAACAAATCGCTGCAGGTGGCCCAACTGCGGCTCTGATCGCACTTCACAACCCCGACCTTACCGTCAACGTCGTGGACCTCAATGCCGACCGTATCGCCGCATGGAACTCTCCCCACCTCCCTATCCACGAAGCTGGCCTTCCCAAGATCGTCCGCATCTCTCGTGATGGCACCAATGAGGCGACAGCCTTCCTCCCTTCAGTTAGCAACTCTGTGAAGATTGCTCCTCGCAAGCCCAACCTCACCTTCACAACTGACGTCCAACGATGCATCGGTGAGGCCGACATTGTCCTCATTTGCGTCAACACGCCCACCAAGACCTACGGACTCGGTGCTGGCTACACTGCAGACCTGAGCGCTCTGGAAGGAGCGTCTGAGACTGTCGCTAAGTATGCGAAGGATGGTGCTGTCATCGTTGAGAAGAGCACAGTACCAACGGGCACTGCTCGCATGATCCGCGAAATTGTGAGTTTCTTAGTCACAAAAATTTGGACGATCACGACGTGGTCCGTCTTCCCGGTAGAAACGAACCGAGACTAACACCTGAACAGATGGCCCAGTACCAACCCGACGCCGAGTTCGAGATTGTCTCCAACCCCGAGTTCCTCGCCGAGGGAACCGCCGTGCGCGATCTTATGCACCCCGATCGTATTCTGATCGGCAGCTCCACCACTCCTGCTGGCATCCGAGCCGCCAATGCCCTCAAGAGCGTGTACGCTGCCTGGGTTCCGGAACAGAAGATTTTGACTGTCAACACTTGGTCCAGCGAGTTGACCAAGTTGGTCGCCAACGCCATGCTGGCTCAGCGTATCAGCAGTATCAACAGCATCAGTGCTCTTTGCGAGGAGCTTGGTGCCGACGTACAGGAGATTAGCCAAGGTATCGGTGCAGACACTCGCCTAGGCAAGAAGTTCCTCCACGCAGGTGTTGGATTCGGCGGTTCTTGCTTCGAGAAGGATATCCTCAACCTGGCCTACATGGCCCGTACTCTCCACTTGGACACTGTCGCCGACTACTGGATGGGCGTTCTCGATATCAACAAGTACCAGCGTGAGCGTTTTGCGCAAAAGGTACACCGCGCTCTCAATGGTAACTTGCGCCGCAAGAAAGTGGCTATCCTCGGATTCGCCTTCAAGGAGAACACCAATGATACCCGCAACAGTATTGCGGTACACATCATCACTGAGCTGGCTCACGAGATGCCCAACGAAATTGCCATCTTTGACCCTGGTTGTGACCCCGTCGAGGTGATGGAGGAGGTTCGCCAGTCTATCCCAGACGAGCGTGTTGTTGAACGTGTCAAGGTCCACACCAACTGGAGGGACACCGTCCATGGCTCGAGCGCTATCTGTATTCTTACGCCCTGGTACCACTTCCGCTACCCGAAGCAGGCTCAGACTACCGCTCGTCGCTCATCTGTCTGGAGCAGCCCCGAGGCTTCTCGAGAAGAGGCCAAGGCTTTCATCAAGGAGTCTCTATCCGAGATGGACATTGTCGAGCTCGAGAAGTTTGTCTCTCGCACCAGCAGCAACACCCCCACGGATCCGTTGAAGCGCATGAAGGCCGAGGCTGAGTGTCAAGAAGGCTGCAAGGGTTGCAACTTCGATGCCGCCAACGAAGACCTCGGCGACCCAGTCGATTGGGAGTGGGCAGCCTCGGTTATGAAGCGCCCTCGTCTTGTGCTCGATGGACGCAACGTCGTCTCTGTTCCTGACCTTGAGAAACTTGGATTCCAAGTCCAGGGCATCGGCAAGGGACTGGTCATCTAAAATGACGTGGCCTGGATCATAATGACGAGTCAAAGAAAGCGGTAGATGAGCGAGAGACTACATGAGGCGTTGCATTTCGTTCGGACATACAACGGCCAAAGGGTACATTGGACGAGAAAACCTTGAAACTGCACAGTAAGGCGTTCCGGTGGGCAAAGGCAATGGGCGGCGTATCGTTATTCGTGGCTTGGGGATCATCACTTCTGAATCCCTTGGCTTCTTTCGCTTTCACTTCCACAATGCTGGAGGACATTTTTGGGGTCTAGCCAACTTTGTAATTCTGGCCTTTTAACTACCCTAGAGGTAGAGGTGGGAAGCTTTCGCTGATAATGGGATCAATATACCCATGAGTACACATGTTCCTGGAGATGAGGATTCTACATGTATCTGGCTTGTGATACGACTTTTGGTGATCTTTGATATCGCCAAAACCATGCATGCTGTAATCTCAACTAGCCAGTTGAGCCTCATGTCTAAGACCCTACACGGTGATATGCCTACAGTGAAAAACGACCCGGTCCCGACTCGGCAGAGTCTCCGCCGAATAGCACCACCCATATTGGCTCACCGCGGGGGGTGCTTGCGCGTCCCCAGGCGAACTCGATCCACCGTTTTTGAGGCTAATCAAACGGTAAAGGTGAAATTGGGTGGTTCTGAATGACGATCGGGGAATCGGGGAAGAAATTGATCATTTGCGCGGGGGGTCCTTGTCCAATTTACCTGGTGCCACGGTGGGGGCGGTAACTGGGGTTGTTCATTTGTTCTTTGTTCCTCCGCTATAACTTTATTCGAATTAACGAGCCCCCTTGCCCAAGGGCTTCTGGGATAAACGGTACGAAGTAGTGATTTCACCGTTACATAGGGGAGATGGGTTATGTACGGCGGGAATTCCGTACATGCGAAGTATTTTGGCCCAGATTGACGAGATTGTGTTATGGATTTGGGGGATGTGGTTTTAGGGGTGATCCACCTCCAGCTTGATGATTGACTCGCATACGCGGAGCTTTTTGCGAGGTATCCGTATCCGCACTCCGTAGAGATAGGGATGGAATACCTGTTACATAGGCAAGTACGGGGTACGTCTTACGGATAGACGACTCAACGAATTTCAGGTCCGACGTTGTGTGCATGCGCCCAGAGTTGTTACCATTTGTCCATATGGAAGGGGTCGAAACGGAAGGGTGGCCGTGGCCTGGCTTGCCAATTGCACTACGTGTCCATTCCCAGTTCAATGAATCTGTGAATGACGATCATCTGTGAATGACGACTTTCTGTCGGCGGCTCTTCCGGAGACGTTTGTGATAGATTACCTACCTCCCAACTTACCAGCGACATGCCCCCCCGTTTCCCAACCGGGCCCAGCTGGGTGGATAAAATGGGTTCCGTTGGGTTTCCCGCTGGGACGTATTCCCATTGGCGGGGATTCTTTCCATTGATGCACCGAACTTTCGACCGTCGCTATCAATCAAATGTTTCATCCGGCTACTTTGCGGCAGGCCTACTTTGCGCTACGGATACTCTCTAACAAACACCGGGCCCTCTACGCGGTGAGATTGAGAGATCGCAATATGGGTTTCGAGATTCGGGAATCTAAGTGGTATTATCCTGGTTCCGTTTTTGTTTCCCTGACGCGATGTTCACTATGCAGGCAGCAGATGGGAGGATGCGGCTCATTCAGTGGCAGGTAGAGTGCATATGGTATGGTTGACATTGACTGTTGCAGGCTGTTCAGGCGCCATCGACGGACCGAGAAAAGCTTGGCCCTAGGTTATCCGTCCTCTGCCGTCTGCATCGCTGCCGCCTGCCCCCCTGAGTATTGTGTATTGATTTAATGGCCGGTGTAACGATAGCCCACCATAAACGGTTCGGCGAGGAGACTCGGCCGATGTATCAGATAGGTGATCTGGCCATTTGGTGGGTTTTCTTCTGCTTTGCATTGAGGGATCAACTGCCGATGTGGATTGCTTGGAGACGCAAACTTTGGGTTTTGGTCTTTTTCCCTCCCCATTTCCTTGGCGGGACTCGGGAGGCGACGCGCGGGCGGAGCGGAGGACGAGAAATCTCTGGAGGTTCTGGACTTTGGACCATGGGCCGAAACGTGTTCCACAGCAGAGGTCCAGACACCATCCAGGAGTCTAGACTGGACCTTGACTGAGTATCGAGAAGTGGTCAAGCTTGCATGTAGGGGTCATGGGGTTTCTACGAATACAAGACTCAGACCCCCACCGGCTGAGGCTCACACGCGCCCGCGGCAAAGAGAGGAGTTCTCTGGCGTAGGTGGTGGCGCAGGAGGTGGGGCCGGATCGGACGGCGCGGCGGGCTTTTAGGGGGTGGTTCACGGATCTCCCTTCTCCGCCTCCGGACGCGTATGTCTTTCCGGGTGTCCGGCACGGCTAGGCCTGAATAGTAGAGAGGAATGCCATATGGTCAGATATCTGACGCGGATCGCTTGAGAGATCCCCCTTGGACTCCGCACATGAAGGCCGGTCTAGGTAACTTACGTCCTTACGAATGTCTACGAAATCTGGCACATGTTTGGCTAGGGCGAAATTCTCTGCATCTGACCTGAGTTATGGTAATCTCTGCTATTGGGTTTACGGAACAGGGAGTGATCTTTACACGCGAGATAAAATAGAACGGGCTTATGAAAGTGTCGGTCATGTTGTTTCCATCGTTGACGAATTAAAATTCTTCGATCAAAAGTAATGATCAGTGACTGTTGAGGCTAATAATCCGGGGAGGTGCACATCTTGAGTGAATCCGAGAACTCCATATATCGATCTGTTTCAAGTAAGCACTATTTGACCTCCCACCGAGCTTCGTTCGTGGTGCCTTTGAGCTACAGGCCAGAGTTCGAAAGAGTCCACTACTCGTAGATGCTAACAGACTTGACTGTGACAACACCGCCTCGCGCAAGTGTGGCATAGTTGAAGACGCCGTACCGATATCCCATGAAGAAGACGAACCCCCGATCAATCTCCTCATGTGGCTCACCAAGAGACTCAAAGTGGATACCATCAGTGCTGAACGAGAATCGTCCCTCCTGGCTGTAAAGCGAGTTGAGGCCAACCTCAAGACGCAACCAGACTGTAGTCCCGCTGACCTTAACACCATCGATCTCGTCCCCCTTGTTGACTGTATGCCACCCGTCATCCGGTATCATCAATATATTGTTCACCATTGCCACTCTGGTGCTGTTCTCACTCTTGATGCCCCCAATCCAAGCGGCGGTGTAGCGAAAGAGGACAACGCCTGCCCAGTCACCATCCGCCATTCGCGAGTGATCGAGTTCTACGGTAAGAGTAGACTGAGGCCCGAGAATGCGATGGGTGAGTGTATTTCGAGCGCGGAAGAAATCGTCCGTGACACTCGTCGTGCGAAGCTCGAGACCTTTGTTGATAGCCCATGCCGAGTTATCTGGCTCATGGTTCCATTGGTACTGGGGACCAAGTGCTTCGAACTTGTCTGTGCCTGTGATGGGCTTGACTGGGTGCTCTGAGAGAGGGTAGGGATACGTGCTCGCCCACTGCCCATCGACAAAATCCACGTGAGGCCAGTCCTCATCATCCCAGTGGACGGGTGCCAGGACGGGGATCCGGCCTCCGGGGTATGCTTCGAGATGCGCGATGTAATGCCACTCGTCGTCAGGCGTGTTCACGAGAGCACCCTGATGTGGGTTCCCGGCGCCTGGGACTGGATTCCCGTTACTTTGCAATACCCATTTCCATTCATAGGGCCCGAACGGCCCTACTGTTGATTTCAATACAAATTGGTTTGGGACTGGCTTAACGATCCAAAGATACTATGCGCCGTTCCTTTGTAGAACCGAGATCCCTCAATATAGCCAAGCTCCTTAGTCGAATTGAACACGATCTGGTCTTTCACGACGTGGAGGCCATCGTCGCTCAATTGAGCAACTGAGATGTTGGTATTGCCATGCGTAACATACATCGTGTCGTCGTCGTCTATGAGCATGCCCGCGTCGTAGAGACAAATATCGATGAAGGAGCTCTGCGTCCAGGGGCCTTCCACGGCGGGCGCGGTGTATACATATGTCTTCCAGTCGCCTACAATGCACCCTCCCCAATAGAATGTATTGGTGCTCTTGCGGTAGTTGAAGTAGGAGGCGAAGGTGCCCTGGTTGTAGCGCTGGCCGGGCCCGGATATGAGGTCGAAGCCTCCATGGTCCCAAAGTCGAGGCTCGGGACCGAGTGGGAGAGGTATTCCCAGTTGACGAGGTCGTAGGAGCGGAGTATCACTGCTCCAGGTGAGAAGTGAAAGGTCGAGGCCGAGTAGTAGTATGCATCGCCGTGGCGGATTAGATCGATGTCTGGGAGGTCTTGCCAGATGATGGGTTTGGTGAAGTTGGTCTGGGCAAAAGCCCAGGTCAACAACTGGGAAAGCACGAAGTAGATAAACATGATGATACAAGAAGAAGCCTCTTAAGAATCTGCAAGATAACTTGGAGCGAAGGGTCTGGTGAGCTTTAGTGTACAACCAGTTGCAAGACAAATCACGGGGATCCTCTTATAATACTTTCTGACCACCGAGATGAAGATATGTTAATCACCTCATTTCCTGCAATTATCGAATCAGATCGAACTGCAGACACTCTATTCGCGAAGGAGTACCGAGATGTCACCGTCACATAGGCATCCTCACGTCTAGACGGCAAAATGCAAACCTCCGGCGGGCCACCCGGTGGGATCTCCGGTGGAGTGATTGCTTCTCTGTCGTCGAATCTTCATGTCCAACATCATTGACAATGAAAATGAATTGAGAGTAAAGAAGCCTCGTTATTCCATGACTAAAGTCTTGGACTCTCAAAGTATTCCGGCCATCATCGTCGTCGCCCGATCGGATGTCGTCATGGACCGGGAAGTCGGGCTCAGTGAGGCAGTTGATGGGGCTTCTCGTCGGCGGCGTCGCGTGGGCACCCGGAATCGTCGTGCTTCATTCAAACGTGGTTATGAGCGCTTTTAGTCCCATGAACTGTAGTCTTCCGGGTTCTGGTCCCCTTCCGGCAGGCTTGTAGGTTTCGGGCTACACCATCAGGCGGAACAGATCGTCGCGCTGCAGACCGCGACCGCGCCCCGCATACCGGCCCGTTCTGGGACCGTAATCGAGGGTAAGATGGGTCCATCGGCGTTCCCCGCCCGGTGAGCACGGACCATGCGGGTCTCGACAGCCGCGAATTACAAAATCGGGGCTTCCGTTCGCAGCTTTTAGTTCGCGATGAGTTCCATCCCTCATCAAGTGCAGTACAGCATGTCTTTATCATGGTTCTCCAGCGATTGAGCGGCTACTTCGGCGATTTCAATCGCATCATCCGTCTAGAGAATGATGTGCACATTCTAGAGTTGTTCTATCCTACATCGTGGCTACGATTTGGATGCTGACTTCAAATGGAAGCGTTAAGTCGCACAACAACATCCAGTCTAGGCTGTACCTGCATTACCGGCTCTCGACAGCAACGACGCTAGTGGTCGTCGAGAGTGAAGCTTTTCCCTAAGTCCCACTTGTATTGGTATCATTCATCAAGATTTGCCTCAGAGTCAGTTCCGGACTTAAAACCGCCAAAGAGCGGCACGTCCCGGGTATCCCAACGTTCCTGTAGCTTCGCGGCAGCTATGATCACCACTTGCGGTATGGCTTGACTCCAATATTATCTTGTTTCCGGATATACCACCGAAGTCTTGTCTCCCATTGAGGGACCGTCGAAATCTTAGGGGAACAGGTGAGAGTAACAGATGATTGTTCGGCCGTGATCGTCGTAAAATCCGCACTGCGTAAGTTTCCCATTCCCAAATTCTCTCTTCGCCCAGTCATCCTTCACAAGAACCCAGAGACAGACGCCTGGAGACTTGAATCAGAAGTGGGAGTGCGATTGAATGGACTCGTGGCAAGGAAGTCAATTCAGCAAGTTGGGATGCAGATGGGGGCACGAATTTATGAAAGAGATGGAAAAACTGTTATCTTAACTCGTACGCGATACACAACAATGGCCATCAACTACATGTGAGAGATCCGGATAACGATTCCTAGTTATGATAAGGCTCTAAGATTGTATTTCTCACTTGCCAGTCCATATAATCAAGTGAATATAGTCTATAGCGTGACGGCCACTGACGCATGCATGTAATCACCGGTCTCGGGTAACGGTTCAGTTGAATATTATGAGTCTATCATGGCGGAGACTTTCAGGCATGACGAAATGGAAGCTTGAATAGAACAGCATCTGATATCACACCCACCATGCCGTATACGAGAAAGCACGCAAAGATCTTCGCCATGTACAGATATTTCGAAAACCGAGACCGATAGAAGGCTGGCTACTCCCACAGGCCTCTTGGAAAGTCAAGTTCCAACAAGAACATGTATGCATGACTCTTCCCATCCCGCGTGGTTTGCTTCAAGAATATCTAGCTGAATGGGACGATTAGGGAGCGAAAAAGGCAGGGAGAAGCACAAGATTCGCATGGCAAGGCAAAACTGAGATCCAGTTGAAGTTATGATGGCGGATTTGTTTCATACGGCAGTTATACTAGTTCTCAAGAATCTAGACGGTACTTCATGAATGGTGATGACTGTGCTTAGACAATGTACTAAGGACACGGTATTATGTATATGAGCTCACTTATAACTGTTAAGAGCCTTTACCTTAGCCTCTTGAACTTTTGGAGAGCAACGGCGGGAGTCACACCACTAAAGTGATTAGAAGTTGAAGAGCTTACGGCATGAATCGTGTCATAGTAGCAGCATTATCGTACTCGGATGAGGCGAAAGGTCTTGAGTCAACCCTACTCAAAGGATGCTGCGAATATTCCTATCTCGCAATCGGATTCTGTAAGTAAATTAAATTGCCCAAAACTTTATAAACTTAGAAGACTCGAAGATAGCAACTAAACGCGTAATACTCGTATTCTTTTGGATATATAATCATGGCTCACTCAATAGCTTTTGGTTGCATCCCCCATCATCAACTCATTCGACTTTACTTAATTACTCAATTCCACTCCCCTATTCATCTATCGCAACTGAGACAACCATCACCATGCAGGCTCACTCAGTCATCCTTCTTGCCTTCGGTGTTCTCTTGCAAGGTGCTTCGGCATTCACCTACTGCAAGGCAGCTCCTGGAGATTGTAACCGAAATAACGTGAGTAATGAAGACGTCAAATCACCATGTAACCTCATATCTGCTTTGCGACACTGACCGAGGAGTAGTGTGAGGAATACAAGGCTGTGCACGAAGACCCGTTGAAAGTCTGCAAAGCTAGGGTAAGGCAAATTTCTCATCATTCTAAGCTTCATGGCATGGTGTAGTTCGATGCTGACGTGATTTGTCTAACAGTGCAATGCCAACGCCAACACCTATGACTGCTGCAGCGGTGACATTTACTGCCCTTGAGCAGGCCAAACTGGCCCACGTCCACCCGAGATGGAGTCGGTATCGGCACAACGTAATGCACCATCAGGTCTATGCCCACGGATAACATTTGCGCATCCTTGGCAAGCGTAGGCTCAAGCCTGAACAAGGAGAGGATGCAGGATGGCTCTTGGGGTGGAGGAGGTCACGCTGGGTTTATAAGTTAAGAGACTTCCGCTTGGAGTCATCGAAATTTAAGTGTGCCAGAATGAATGCCCCGCCAGAGTGAAATTGTGAGCTAGAGCTGGAATGCGAGTGCGGCGAAGCCGTGTGGGGCCGTATAAGAACACGACAATACGAAAATCCAGCGATTGGCTCCTGTTGAAGCGCCCTTACGTTCAAGCACGACTCTGTGTTTCTTGGTCGACACTTAAATAACTTGTGAGCCATACTGATCAATATCATCATCAAGTATTGTAAGTGCATCTTTTTTCTCACAGTCTTTACGGCTTCAGTTTGTCTCGATAACGATACCCCCGATTTCAAAAGACACCTCGTTTGTCTAGAGAAATTTCCACTGTTGATCAGAGACCTCCTTGACCTCAACCTATGATCTAAGGTCCAGGATGGGTCTCGTTCACTTCGAGGACGGAAACGTCCTCTTTTACCCTTACGAACCTTCCAAAGCCGCAGGCGTCATTTTCTTGTTTCTTTTCGCTGGTATCTCTGCGTATCATATTTGGTTGATACGCAAATACAAAACAAAGTATTTCATGCCGATGGTACTCGGAGGAATATGTAAGTACTGAAGCTCGCGCTTTCTTGCGTTTCATACTTCTCCCAAATCTAGATCTTCCAAGAAAAGATACAAACGCTAACTCTTGCACAGGTGACACATTCGGACACTTGGGACGCGCTTGGGCAGGCTCAGCGCCACTGTCCCCTAAACCGTTCATGCTACAGCTTATGCTCATTCTCGTCGCGCCTGTCTTCATCTCCGCAACGATATACGTCAATCTCGGACGCCTGAAAGAAGCCTTGCTCGGCCACAAAAGACGGAAGTGTAGCCCGACCAGTATCTTCATTCTAACGGACATCATCGCCTTCTGCACACAGATTGGCGGTTCACTCGTACAAGTGATTGCAAACCCAAAGATCATGGAGATTGGAGGCCACGTAGTCCTAGGTGGTCTACTTTTCCAGCTCTTCGTCTTGGTTATCTACTTTGCTCTCGTCATGCGCTTTCAGCGGGTTACTCAAAGGGAGACGATTTATGTACAGCATTGGAGGCGTTACGTCTGGACTCTGATCATCTCGGTGGTGGCTATCTGGGTGCGTAATCTGGTGAGGGCAGCGGAATTTGCAGAGGGCTGGTACGGCTTCGTCAACCAGCATGAGGCCATGATGTACATCTTTGACTCGTTCTTGATGTTCTCTGTCATGGTGGCATTTGCTGTCTTCCATCCCGGTCAGCTGAACGATGTAGGAGGGCTGAGGTCTAAGAACAGACAACGCATCAATTCCGAGCAGGTTGTGATGGGTCCTTTTGGAGACATAGCCTAGAGGAGAGGCGTGTGAAAGGGTTCAGAAACGAACCACTCTTGTAAGACAAATTCCAGAACCTTCATATAACCAGATATGAATAGTTCTCTTGTCTCTCAACATGACTTTGATTGGCCTCGTTGTCGCCACTCTCATGATCCAATCCCACCGCAAAGCTACAGTCGTGGTAACAAGGCAGCAGCAGTTAAAGTCCCGATGAGAAGATAAAAGATCTCCTTGGGCTGGTTTTATGTCCTTGAGATGTAGTTACTGATTTCATGTAGAACGAACGGAGTCCCTGTAACCTCAAAATCGCGGCCGCAGAGTAAGAGTAGAACAGCTACATGGTCGCCCTTTCCTGGTTGAACAGTCACATACGACCATACCCATTGGAAAATTCGGGATCCCGTCCGCTCTCCCATAGACAAGCCGATAAGGGCGGGCTTAGTAGTGGGAGAGCATGATAATGACTAATTATGCCAAATGGAGGCGTGATCCTACATCGGGGGTGCGGTTCGGCGATAGGGGCCGCCTCCGTGACCTACTTTATGCGTCCGGAAGCCCGGAAGCCCGAGTAGCCGCCTGGCCGGGAGGCGTGTATATAACGTATAGAGAAGTAGGTAGTGGTAGATAATATTAATTCCAAGAACTAGAAAATGATGTTCTTACCGCCTCTTCCCTACCACCATCGCCCCTTCCCTTCCACCTTTGCTTCTTCTATTCCTTTCTTTCCGTTAACCTCTTAATTATATATTTAAAGTATGATCTAATTAGTATTTAAGATCTTTAATGGAATTTGTTAGCGGATTAGAGCGGGAAGGTAATTGCCTTTCATATAATATATATAATAAGCGAGTAAAATAGATAAGCGAGTAAAATATAGAACCGTAACTATATTACTTTAATATAATCGAGCGCTTTTCTTTTATAACTTACTATAATATACTAAAATAAAGAATCTAATATTTAGCTTACCCTCTAAGTTATTTAAAATTACTTAAAATGGAAGTTTTATTATAATTAAAGAAAAAGATTTTTGATTATAAAGAGAGGTGTTACGACCTAATATATATAATTAAGACTAGGGCCTGCCCCGTAGGCTTACGGCGGCTATAGCATATTATATATATATAGGACTAAGGAATATAAGAGTTACCTTACGGAACGGAAGAATTATAGAATAAGTTACGTATAGATAAAAAGAATAATTAAATAATAAAGTAATTATTATAATTACCTTAAATAAACGATTATTTATATATACCCTTAATTATTAATAAATAAAATAAAATAATATAAAGAATATATTTAGGAACGAGATTTATATATAAGATAGATTTAAGTTATATTATAAGGTAATTATAGTACTGTACGCTATAATTAATTATTACGGCTAGCTAGTCGTAGTAAGGTAAGTTTATAGAAGTTTAGGCCGTAAGGACTAAATAATAATAAATAAAGTTATTAGATATCTTTAAAGGAAGTTATATTTTATAAGCCGTAAGGTAAAACTTTAATAATTAATAATAATCTTATTAGAGAATTCTTAATAAAAATAGCTAAAAAATAATCGTAAAATTTAATATAAAGTTAATAATTAAAAAAGTTATAAAAAGTTTATTTTTAAGCCCGGCTTAAATCTATATTATATATAAATCTTAATCCTAAATATATCCTTTATCCTATACTATTTATAATTATCTAATCGTTTATTAAATAGTTATCCGTTTTATTTATTTATAAACGTCCGTCTTATTTATTTATAAACGTCCGTCCTATTTATTTATAAACGTCCGTCCTATTTATTTATAAACGTCTATTTTATTTATTTATAAGTATCCGTTCTTTATTTTATTATATAATTATAAATATATAACTTATTTATAGTTCTTTTATTTTGAGGGGAGTCCTCCTAAGTCCGTATTTATATATATATATATAGTATAGTAGCCGCTTCGGTCCTATAGGGTAGGACCCTAGCTTCGCTATATATATTAGGTCGTAATATTCTCTTTAAGAGGCTTATTATTGGCAATACTTTACTTAAATATTTTAATATAAACTTATAATAAAAATTACAAAATCTTAAGAATACCTATATTTTTTAAAATATAAATAACGGCTCTTATTTAATAATAGACCGTACTTAGTCCTTATCTATTAAAACTCCTTTTAAAGTAATTATATATTTTAAAAATTCTACTTTCTATTAATAAAAGCTATATTTACTTAACTTAGTATATAAATAAAACGCTCTTAACCTTTTAAAGACCCTCTTTAAATCTTCCGTATATTAGTCCCTATCTTTAAAATAAATTAGGATATTATTTATATATACTATATAATATATATTTAGTAAGTCGGTAAGTATCTAATAAATATACGCCTAGAACGATATAAGTATATTTATAAAGCCGAACGGTATTATTATATATTTAAAATAACCATATTTTATCTTAAATACTATCTTTATCTATCTATTAATTAGATTATAATATAATAATATATATCTTTAATATTTACTTTTAAGATCTATTAAGCCCCTTTAAACCTATTTAGAAATTTATTAATTAAAAAGAGGGAATATCTATTTTTTAATATAATTTTATTTAGCCCTTTATAGTTTATATATAGTTTAAAGGATCCGTCCTTTTTAAAGACGAATATTATTAGGGCTCCTATCTTACTTATTAAAAGGACGATCCTCTCGTTTTTAAAATTCTTAATAATATATCTTCTTAATTCGTTATATTATTATTTATTTAAAAGGTATATCGGCCTATATAATAATTTTACTCCTTTTTAAAGGTCGATCCTATATTTGGCTCCCTTTAAAACTAATAAATTCATTATTACGTTTTTATTAAATATAGCTACTTTATTTTATAATTTTTAAAAGATAGTTATTATTAAACCCTCGTTTTTTTCTTTAAATAATATTATTAAAGGTTCTAAAACGGCTACGGCCCTATAAATATAGAATATATATACCTTCTTCTTATTTTTAATAATCTTTTATATAAACGTAACTAGCTCGGTAATAAAGATTCGATTATAATACTAAATATTTATTCTTATATTAATCATTATACCCTCCCGTCTTATAGAATATTAAAATAAAAATAAGTCCCCTATACCTTTTAAATATAAGGCTTTAATAAATAATTACCAGACCTTTTTTAAGCGCCCTCCCGAGTCTAATAAAAAGAACGTTAATTAAAAGGCCGGTCTTATTTCTACCTTCTTACTATTAAATCTATATAAAAAAAGGACTTTAATATATACTAATTAAAGGCCTAGTCTCTTTACTAGCCTCATATTAATTAGATCTACCTAAAAATAACTATCTATATCTATAAAGACCTTTTCTTTAATAAGTCCTTAGATTATTAAGGTATACCCCTTAATAATAGCCCTAACGTATACCGACTCTTTAAAAAGTATAAATAATACCGGCAATATATTTACGCCTCCTTATTTTCTAAACTATTTATTTTTATTACTTAACTTCTTTGAACTATATTTATAAATACCTTTAATATATCTAGCCTTAATCCTATTAATACGTTATTTAGTAAGTTATAGTATTACTAAGCTATATATCCTATCTTCCTATAAGAATAATATATTATAAAGCTCTTATTTAGCTAGGCCCCTATTAATAGCCGCTCGGCATTATAATTCCTTAATTACGAGGACCTTTATATTATTAAATATAATTAAGCCGTTATAATAGTTATAATAGATCTTAAAGGTACTA